TTTTAATTTCAAAAAATTATTCAAGAGTAACATCATTTTCACAATATTTGTCTCGAATTTTCGAATCTCCTTCTTCGTTTCATATATTTTTAAAATTTTATACGACTAGGAAAAATCCTTTTGTAATATTTTTCATTTACAATTGATTTACTTATCTTTATAAAACTGATGCAATGTACAAGAGATTCCAAAAGAAATATAAGTATATAATATTTTACGTTCTATTTTAATTAAACGTTTACACTGATACGTGGCATAGAATCATTTTTCTTTTTTGATAAGATTATCTGTGATTCCGGGATGTAATATTTTGTAAATAGTGCGTGAATACAACTATAGATATGATAATAATAAAAAATCAATTAATCAAAGTATGACAGTTAACTGATTTAAAATATCGATGACATTATGCTGGACTAGTTGGCGGTTTAAAAATTATAATATATATGAAACATAGAAGTATATTTAAAAATTACACGTGTGAAGTGTAATGTACCTTATGAAGATATATAAATAGGGTGGGAAGTATAGATAATAGGAGAGGCACAAGTTGTAGCTGAAACTGACAGACGATTCTTCGACAATAGGTTGCATAGATTTCATCAACAAGTACGCTCGGAGAAACTTATTCTCTAGGAGTTGTATTTATTGCACATATGTCTTAACGAGCCAGTAAATGTCAGGACGCAATGATGCTCAAGGAAAGCATAGTGGCTCGACCTTCAAATGTGGTAGCTCCCATTAAAAAATTTTATGGTTCGGAGTCTCCGTTTTAATTTGTCAAGTAGGCTCAATGTCTACTTCGAAGTAATCAGTCTAGAGTACATGGAGTTCTGAACATAGTTTTTCACCTGCATGTGTATGTATTTCTGTATATATATATGACTACATAATATCAGTATACGTGTGTGTAAAATAAATGCAATATATAAATACAAATATTCCAATGATTCGTAGACATGCCAATTGATTCAATAACATGTGACGCGTAGGCATATGTATTATACATTTATATTATAGATATGATGATAGTGAAAAATTAATCAATCAAAATATGTCAACCAAACTTCCTTGATACGCCGATAATTCATTGAATGACATATGTGTCACATACTTTAGTATTATCTCGTGCCTTCAATATTTTCACACACGTTAGTTTAACCAAATAAAGTTTTAATTCTAAACGTTATGTATACTTATACATTCTAATTTATATTCACTAGAATAAATCGTATCAAGACGTATCTCACTATATCTTTTAGACATCATTCATACACATAAATTTAGTCTTTCGTGTACTTGTATATATCACAAAATACACGATTTCAGGCTCGACATTAGGATATTTAAGATATAATTATCAGCTTCTACAATCAATGAAAAGAAATCCAGAAGTCACATACGCACGCGACTTTACTAAAAATCTTATGAAATAAACACAAAGTATGAAAATAAATACAAGAGAGAGTCGACCTGAATGGGATTTGTTCTATAGGATTAGCACAGGTAGCATATTGCAAAAGTTCATTCCGATTCTTGTTTATTGTCTTATCTCAAACAGTTACAATTTCAATAATTCTCGATACTACAGTCTTATCACTATTGAAAAAAGACGAGATTCTTCGAATAATAATGATGGGGCGATGTTAGCTATTACAACGGTATTAATCTATTTATGACGCTGCTCGAGACGAAACATTTGTCTATATGATACACGACACTACTTCGTTGTATGGAATTCCCGAGCAAATGGCAATCACTTCAAAGTTTACCATTTTCGGCAGCAAATTAGCTGCTATGAGATAGGAAGTTGTTACCACACTTATGATGATTGGATGTGTCGATAGTGGGTGAGCTGAAATCTTCTTAACATAATTCTTATTTGAAGCAAAGTTAACAAATGCAAGCAAATGGGCAAAGTTTTAAGACTTATATAGCTTAATATTTATGGTATACGTGACGAACTTGTTTGTTCGGTATCTCAGTTCAGAGTGGTCCTCGTTGTTTCATTTAGTTGAATCGCAGAGATGCAGTCGACATAAGGGTAATGATGATTAATAATCATCCCGGAAAAAAGGTAATAAATTATAATAGCAAGTCGTTTATCCATTTTTCAATGAAGGAAAACCTTCCACTTGTTCGAAACTTTCCATTCGCTAAGCACGGTTAAAAGAATACATCTTAAAAGACAATTATATTTCTGAACTAATATTCATTTCCAACGTGATAATTATTCACAAATGTTTGAAAGGTCGTGAATAATTTACATACAAAAAATTGTATATACAAATATTATATTTTCTCCGAATGTCAGAAATGTTTTAAGAATAATATTCCATTCAACATTGAGCTAAAATTTTTTGATATAGTAACTTAGGGCTGAATATGTTTCTTAATCCAATCCCGGTAGTAAGCGATCTCCGTATATACTCCGGGGAAGTCAGCTTCAGCGCAGCCCAAACCCCACGAGGTAATACCGGCAAGACGACCATTGATGGTAAGTGGGCCACCAGAATCACCAATGCAAGTATCCTTGCCCCCAATTCCGTAATAACCAGCGCAGATTTCACCAGCCGGCACTCCACCATATCTTTTGTATGCATTATTGCATAGTTTTTTATCGATAATGGGAACGGTGACAGTTTGTAGCTGGGTAGATATTCCTTTGCCGGTATCACCCCAGCCAGTTATTACAGACATGTTTCCAGGCGCCGAAACTTCTCCTTGTTTGAAGAGGTCGATTGGCTGACGTGTATCATCGAAATGGATGTGTTCTTTTAATCGCAGGAGAGCAATGTCATTGGTTGGGTTACCATAACTATTGACGTAACAGTCTTCTTTACGAATGACTTCCATCACCTGATGAATACTGCCACCTTGATCTATTTTTGATGAGCCGACACGAACGATGATGTCGCGGGCTAGTAAGTCGTCGACGCAATGACATGCAGTCACGACGTAGTTTTTGTCAATAATTGAACCGCCACAGACGTGTCTGTCGAAAATTTGCAGAGAGACTTGATATGGGTAGGTGGTGATCTCGGCATCGTCGCCGCCGATGATGCGACCCATCGGGAATATTGATCTCTCACGAGTCACGGAGCTCGCTAAAACAAAGCAAAAATTTATTATTCAGTTATCGCTTACGCATCATCGATTTTCAAGTAAAACATAAGGGAATCTTAAAACTCAAGCGAACCATTTAGACAGTATTAGCTTAATAAACATGAAATGTAACTTTTTAATTCATCACAAATCACAATAAGACCACTTATTCCATAGAAAAATTCTATATTCACCATTTGCAGCAGCCACGAGAGCAACGGTCACCAGTAAGAGGAACATTTTGTTTTCGGAGTTTGAACACTGAGTAGAGACTAATCACGTTTTTATTTTATACTAGCAATTAACGTGGCCACTCAAAAGCTCTATCAGACTACGCGATGTACGAATAGATAAAAATCTTGCGATCACAATCAATATTGAAATTGCGTTGAAAGCGTATTGTTTTATGTTGGATTTGCCGTGACTTATCTCATACTTAGCACAGAAGGTGCCATAAATATTTTACATTGAGTCACTGTTATTTAGTTAAATTTCGTTTAGCATTCATTCATGTCATCAAGACTATAGTTAATAAACTTAAGTCTTTTATAATTGTATGATAATTATTGAGCGTATAGGATTCGTTGGTTTGTCACAATATTATTATATACACGTAAATCCTTTTTACAAAAACAATGGTATAAAATTGTTTATATTTTATTATCAACCTTAAGCATTAATGTATATTGCTTTTCATATAGGAAATATAACCCTAGCTCTTGAGCCCTCGAATTCTATTACCCTGTGAGACTACGACCCTAGACTCTTAACCCTACTTTCCCTAACCTATGAACCTAGTAACATGTGGGGCTGTAACTCCAATTTCCTTAATCTTCAAACTCTTAACGCTGTAACGCTATAAACTCAATTTCCTATATCGTAATTTCCTTAATCATGAAGCCTTATAACGAGCGAGTATAAGCATCAGGATACCAAACTATGGGTTCTTAGATACAATATCAGTTTCTATTACCAATGACAAGAGGTTCGGAAGATACATGCGCACGTGTCTTTACTAAAAATCTTATGAAATAAACACAAAGTATGAAAATAAATACAAGATAGAGTCGACCTGAATGGGATTTTTTCTATAGGATTAGCACAGGTAGCATATTGCAAAAGTTCATTCCGATTCTTGTTTATTGTCTTATCTCAAACAGTTACAATTTTAATAATTCTCGATACTACAGTCTTATCAGTATTGAAAAAAGACGAGATTCTTCGAATAATAATGATGGGGCGATGTTAGCTATTACAACGGTATTAATCTATTTATGACGCTGCTCGAGACGAAACATTTGTCTATATGGTACACGATACTACTTCGTTGTATGGAATTCCCGAGCAAATGGCAATCACTTCAAAGTTTACCATTTTCGGCAGCAAATTAGCTGCTATGAGATAGGAAGTTGTTACCACACTTATGATGATTGAATGTGTCGATAGTGGGTGAGCTGAAATCTTCTTAACATAATTCTTATTTGAAGCAAAGTTAACAAATGCAAGCAAATGGGCAAAGTTTTAAGACATATATAGCTTAATATTTATGGTATACGTGACGAACTTGTTTGTTCGGTATCTCAGTTCAGAGTGGTCCTCGTTGTTTCATTTAGTTGAATCGCAGAGATGCAGTCGACATAGAGTAATGATGATTAATAATCATCGCGGATAAAAGGCAATAAATTATAAAAGCAAGTCGTTTATCCATTTTTCAATGAAGGAAAACCTTGTTCGTAACTTTCCATTCGCCAAGCACGGTTAAAAGAATACATCTTAAAAGACAATTATATTTATTCAAATATTTTTTCTAACGTGATAATTATTCACAAATTTTGAAAGGTCGTGAATAATTTACATACAAAAAATTGTATATACAAATATTATATTTTCTCCGAATGTCAGAAATGTTTTAAGAATAATATTCCATTCAACATTGAGCTAAAATTTTTTGATATAGTAACTTAGGGCTGAATATGTTTCTTAATCCAATCGTGGTAGTAAGCGATCTCTGTGTATACTCCAGGGAAGTCAGCGCTACCGCATTCAAAACCCCACGAGATAATACCGGCAAGACGACCATTGATGGTAAGTGGGCCACCAGAATCACCTATGCAAGCATCCTTGCCACCAATTCCGTAATAACCAGCGCAGATTTCACCAGCTGGTACTCCACCATATCTTTTGTATACATTATTGCATAGGTTTTTATCGACGATGGGAATGGTGACAGTTTGAAGCTGGGTAGATATTCCTTTGCCAGTGTCACCCCAGCCAGTGATTACAGACATGTTTCCAGGCGCCGAAACTTCTCCTTGTTTGAAGAGGTCGATTGGCTGACGTGTATCATCGAAATGGATGGGTTCATTTAATTTCAGAAGGGCAACGTCATTGGATGGTATACTATAAATATTGGTGTTATAGTTTTCGTGACGAATGACTTTCGTCACCTCATGAACGCTGCCACCTTGACCTATTTTCGATGAGCCGGCACGAACGGTGATGTCACGGGGAAGCAAGTCGTCGACGCAATGGCATGCAGTCACGACGTAGTTTTCGTCAATAATTGAACCGCCACACAAGTGTTCGCCGAAAAGTTGCATAGAGATTTGATATGGGTAGGTGGTGATCTCGGCATCATCGCCGCCGACGATGCGACCCGTTGAGAACATTGGTCTATCACGAGTCACGGAGCTCGCTAAAACGAAACAAAAATTTATTATTCAGTTAACGCTTACGCATAATCGATTTTCAAGTAAAACATAAGGGAATCTTAAAACTCAAGCGAACCGTTTAGACAGTATTAGCTTAATAAACATGAAATGTAACTTTTTAATTCATCACAAATCACAATAAGACCACTTATTCCATAGAAAAATTCTATATTCACCATTTGCAGCAGCCACGAGAGCAACGGTCACCAGTAAGAGGAACATTTTGTTTTCGGAGTTTGAACACTGAGTAGAGACTAATCACGTTTTTATTTTATACTAGCAATTAACGTGGCCACTCAAAAGCTCTATCAGACTACGCGATGTACGAATAGATAAAAATCTTGCGATCACAATCAATATTGAAATTGCGTTGAAAGCGTATTGTTTTATGTTGGATTTGCCGTGACTTATCTCATACTTAGCACAGAAGGTGCCATAAATATTTTACATTGAGTCACTGTTATTTAGTTAAATTTCGTTTAGCATTCATTCATGTCATCAAGACTATAGTTAATAAACTTAAGTCTTTTATAATTGTATGATAGTTATTTAACGTATAGGATCCGGTGGTTTGTTACAATATTATTATATACACGTAAATCTTTTTTATAAAATGATCTCGGATAATATTGTTTACAATTTATTATCAATTTTAAGCGTTAAAGTATATTTCTTTTCATAAAGGAAATATAACCCTAATTCTTGAACCTTAATTGCTTGAACCCTCGAGCTCTTTAACCCTGTGTGACTACAACCCTAGACTCTTAATCCTAATTTCCTTAACCTTCCAACCCTGTAACCTGTGGGGCTGTAACTCCAATTTCCTTAATCTTCAAACTCTTAACGCTGTAACGCTATAAACTCAATCTCCTATATCGTAAATTCCCCAACCAAAGCCTTATAACCTGCGGGACTATAACCTGTAAATTTAGTTTATCTGTTATTTGTTTGAACTCCAGGTGTCTTTCAAAAGTCATGTTGGAAAAAATCAAGAATATATCTTTGAAAGTAAAATTTCCCGCACTTTCTAAATCCGTGGTCGAATTTTCAATTTTGTTGTAATATATACGTTTGACCTTCACATGACTAAAGCTGATGAAATAGAGATGAATGTACCTCGGCTTCGTGTTCAGTACATCGAAATACATAAGAGTTATTTGGTCTGGTTAAATTGTGAACTGTTTTTATTCTGCAATTTATTTTGTAAACAAAATATGTTAACTAAACTTTTTTAATACGCCAATGACTCATTGTATGACAATATATGTGACACATATTTTAATATTGTCTTGTGTCTTCAATGTTTTCACCCACTTTAGCTAAACACAGTTATAATGCTAAATTTTATATACATTAATAAATTCTGACTTAATTACTGAAGTCAATTGTATTAGAGTATATTTGATTATACAATTTCTACATCATTCATATACATAAATTAGTATTCCGTGGACTTATAATGCAAAATATGCAGCTTAGGTATAAACATCAGGATACCAAGCTATGGTATACCTTGGGTCCTTAGATACAATATCATTTTCTACTATTAATGACAAGAGGTCTAGAAGTCTCATAAGTACGAGTCTTTACCAAAAATATTATGAAAGAAACAGAAAGCACACTAGTCTGTGTCAACAGTGAACAGAGTTTTAAATCGAAGATAAGCACAGCATCATACTGCTAATATCTATACAGATTTTTCTTTCTCGTCTTATCGCAACTAGTTACAATTTATATTATTGTCAATCCTAGAGTCCTATCAATATTAATCAGGGACGAGTTTCATCTAATAATAATATTGGGGCGAAGATACAGAATACAATGACGATCGTTGTATAAAGTATTCTTGTATGAACGTTTCAAGCATTTTTGTCATCGCTACCACCGTTACATTATTTTCTAAAACTTTCCTTTTGGGATGCGATCTATCATATAATTATATTCAGACATTTGTTCATAAGGAAATAATGTTGGAATTCGAATTTTATCTTTTACACGTACGATATTATATAATACAAAACGTAAACACTGTACATCTGTTTCTACGAAAACTTTCGTTTCTCCATTAGCCATAAAGCAGAACAATTTAATTTACAGAATAATTCTTTTACAAATTCTATCTTTAAAACTTTAAATGTTCAAGTATTTAACTTACTTTTTCAACTATTACTTATTGTTTTTTGTTTGTGGAAATCAATTGGTTGAATGAGATCTCATTGAGCACAGTACCAGATAATTATTAATTTTCATACAACGTACGTTAATTGAGTCAATAACCTAAAATTTACAACTTTCGTGCAAATAAAGGAATTCAGTACAATCAGTAGCCCAAGATATTTCTGATATTTCTCATATTTCACTGATATTTTTTTTACATCTTGCTTTTGTACTGATATTCAATTTCATGTGCATGAATCAAATGACAACTATTTATAGACGGAATAAAAAATTCTAAAATACACCACGTACAACAAACTATTCTATGTTTTAAAAATCCATCAATATTGATTGGTAAAGAAAAAATTGAAATTATATTTATAGTTTTTATAGTAATTTTAATAACGTAGCAAATTTCTAGGTCTTTAGCTATAGGTATGGGAAGCGTACCAAGTTTTTTTTTTCGTTTTTTAAATAAATTGAAACAGTTTACATTTCTTCATCGTAATTATATTTTCTTGATTTTTTAATATATTTATCTACGATTTAAGACTTTCTGTACAATATCCTTTATATCAATAGATTTATTTTGTTGAAAAAGTATTTGAAGACAGTTTGGTCGGCTCATTTAAAGCATCACTTTTCACAAACTAAATTTTTTAATTTCCACTTTTAGTAATCATGGTGACAGTTTAAAGTTGGACTGGTGTTCCATTGTCGGTTTCACCCCAACCAGTGATTATGGGCATATTTCCAGGCGTCGAAACTTCTCCTTGTTTGAAGAGGTCGATTGGCTGACGAGTATCATTGAATTGGATGGGTTCTTCAAATCTCAGAAGGGTAACGTCATTGGATCGTTACCATAACTATTGATGTAATAGTTCTCGTGTAAAATAACTTTCATCATCTGATGTACTCTGCCACCTTGGCCCTTTTTCGTCTTACCGCAACAGCTTACAATTTATATTATTGTCGATCCTAGAGTCCTGTCAGTATTGATCAATGACGAGTATGATCTAATAATAATGTTGGGGCAATGATTGCTACTACAGTGTCTATAGTCTTTTCATAACGTTACTCGTGACAATATTTTTCTATATGGTGCATGGTTCACATTGCTGCATGAAATTCCTGAAGGAAGGGTTCTAGCATCACGATTTTACTTTTTTGCGTGATGATAAGCAACTATCAGAATGTAATTTTAAGTAATATAAATATATTACTTATATTATAGACAATATGCTGTTAAGTCACACTTATGATAATTCGATGGAACCATGCGGAAATCTTTATTGATTTCTATATTGTATAGATTATTATTATATTAGAGAATTTTTGTATCATCTCTAGAAATAATAATGAATACCATGACGATCGTTATATAAAGTATTCTTAAATAAAAGTTTCAAGCATTTTTGTCATCGCTACCACCGTTACATTATTTTCTAAAACTTTCCATTTGGGATGCGATCCATCATATTCAGACATTTGTTCATAAGGAAATAATGTTGGAATTCAAATTTTATCTTTCACTTGTTCGATATTATATAATACAAAACGTACATACTGTACATCTGTTCCTATGAAATCTTTGGATTTTTTGCTAGCCTCAGAGTAACAATTCAATTTAAAGAATAATTCTTTTAATCGTACAAATTCTATCTTTAAAACTTTGAATGTTCAAGTATTTAACTTATTTTTTCAACTATTACTTATTGTTTTTTGTTTGTGGAAATCAATTGGTTGAATGAGTTCTCATTGAGCACAGTACCAGATAATTATTAATTTTCGTACAACGTACGTTAATTAAATCAATAACCTAAAATTTACAATTTTCGTGCAGATGAAGGGATTCAGTACAATCAGTAGCCCAAGATACAACTTACCTTCTATCAAGACGTAAAGAAATATCAGTCTCACTTTGAGAAAAAAATTTCTCTCTTTTACCATACTTTTGTCGTCAAGTACGCTTTATGTGTTCATCTTGCATTTGTACTGATATTCAATTTCATGTGCATGAATCAAATGACAACTATTTATAGACGAAATAAAAAATTCTAAAATATACCTCATATATCAAACTATTTTATGCTTTGAAAATTCATCAATATTGATTGGTAAAGAAAAAATTAAAATTATATTTATATATCATTGAAGAGGTCGACTGACTGGCGAGTCTCATCGAAATGAATGGATTTCTCTAGCCTCTGGATGATAACGTTATTCTATGGCGTACCATAAGGGTTAATATAATAATTCTCATATAAAATGACTTTCACCAGCTGATGAACGCTACCATATCAGCTTATTTTCAACGAGCTGGCAAGAACGGCGATGCCGTTGTCAAGGAAGTAAGTCGACGTAATGACTGTCGGCACGTACTTTTAATCAATAATTGAACCATCACAGGAATGATCACCGTAAATATGCAGAGACCTGATATAGTTAGGTAGTGATCTCGGCATCTTCGTCGCCGATGATGCGACTCGCTAAAACAAAACAAAACAAAAATTTATTATTCACTTCATTCATTTATTATTAACGCTTATACTTCATTAATTTCCAGTACAACAGGGAACGTTAAATTTCAAGTGGATTGTTTAGATAGTACTCATTTGAAAATCGTAGTATGTAACTATTGAATTTATTAAAACTCACAAAAACAAAAAATACTTCAGAAGAAAAATGTAATAGTCTCACCATTAGTAGTAGCCATAAAGCTATGGATATCAGTGAAAAGACCATTTTGCCGTCGGTATTTTGATACTATAGATTGTATTTCATACTAGTAAAGCGCATCCTTATTTTCAATCATGTGTAAATAGATAAAAATTTCGTGATCTCGAGTTAACGTCGAAACTATATTGTATAACACTATATTTAACATTAGAATATTGTGATAGTATAATTTAGTTTACTAAATTAACAACAGTAAATGATGATAACTGTTTACTTTTTAATATGAAATTGATATAAAACGGACATACAGTATCCCTATTATGATAAAATTTTATTAATTTATACAGGTGAATAAATCGATTGAACGCTTATTTATCTGTCTGCTAATAAAATTTAGTTTTAATTGAAATAGTTGGTATTATTGTAGTAGTACTTTTGTAATGGTCATGACGAAATATTTCATAAGTAAAAAAATAATAAAAACGAATAAATTTATGAAATATATGAGTATAATGAATATTTCACATATTTCTATACAATTATTCCTATAGATTTGATAGATTTATATTTATTCATGTATGATAAATAAATTTTACGACCAAATTGGTTTGTCTTCATAGTAATATTGTCCATGGTGAAATTGCAGTAGACTTCTATTTATAGATTTTTCCGTTACGTCAACTTTTGCTAGATGTGTACCAGATAGTTTCTCGACTTGTGTGTCTATCCAATTTCTAAAATAAGCAATCTCGGTAAACACAACCGGTGGATATTCTGTATATCCACATCGATAAACCCATGACACGATACCAGCTAATCGGCCATCAACTACCAAAGGTCCACCAAAGTCACCCGCACAATCACCTTTATATCTTCCAGCGCATATTTGTCCGGATTTCAGAGTGTAATTTTCTTGTTTCATATATTCAGCAGCACACGTAGATTTTTCATATATCGGCACGGTGACGCAGTTTAGTTTATGTAAAAATTCTTCCTCATCAGTCCAGAATGATCTGTCTGTATAAGACATGTAACCCCATCCACAAACTTCTCCTTTTAATTCTGGTTTTATCACCTCGTCGGCATTGTATAATGAAATCGGTTGATGACTGGCATCGAATTCGAATGGTGGTTCGACTTGAGCTATCGCAATGTCGTTGACCCACAATTTTCCATTCAAGTCATTCAAGTAATTCAAACTGTAATTCTCATGATGAACATAAGATACGATGCGATGTATTGTGCCATCAGTTATTTGGTAATTCGAGCCCGATCGTACTGTTATATGATCAAAATAATTTGAGATACAATGCGATGCTGTGAGAATGAGATTTTTCGCGATAATAGATGCGCTACATGCGTTGTAAAATGTGCCTCGGAACATGGTAACCATGTAGGGATGCTTCCATATTTGATTGTGAAACGTGTCGATATTTGGCAGGCCTGTATCAATAAGAATAAACTTGATTTTATATATATATACAGAAGAATAACGAAAAAATTACGTTCTTATTGAACTTAACATTGACGGCAAAGATGAACGTAGACCAATAAAAGAAGTTATACAGTAGCATGGTGGATGTGTGACTGACTACGATAGCTCTTCATTTGATTTTTATATTATTGATAAGTACTCAGTCTTGAAGCCTTTCCTTAGACACTTCATTCATGATGTTTCCTGTAGTGTAAATATTGATTTATCATCGAAACCTATTCATGCGTACAGTTCAGTCACACAGACTTTTTTAGTCAGACGTATGTAGCTCAGAGAAAAAAACACAAGAAATAATTATTATCGTAAAGCTTATATTGATTAATATCGTCAGTACATGCATAAAATACGTATTAAACATATAATCTATTGATCGTTATTCTAACAGAAAAAGCAAATGATAAAGAACAATACCCGTATTAGCAGTGGATGAAGTGACCTTGGATCCAATTTTTGCAAGGCAGTGAATTTCTGCTGTTGGTTGGTTTTCAGTATTAGGTTAATTGTGAACGTTTACGTGAAGATTATTGTTTAATGAATTGTAATAATCTTCGATAACGACGTGGCTGATTTATAAAATCTCCGTCCGAAAAAAAAAAAAAATAAAATAAACACGACAAGATATGCTCGCACGCGCGACTTAAATGGAAGTCTTGGCTTTTTCAAAACTACTTGAGGTTACCAGGTTGGTTTGAGGACGTTTTGTAATGTATAACTATAGCTATCAAAAGTTTGTTCAGTCTTTGCCGCGAAGCCGCACGTCTCATCGTCTTGACTCTTTTTCTTTTGCACGTGAAAAGAAAAGAAGTACTCATGTTTTTATGCAAGTGACCTACTTTAATCATCGATTCTACGCGCGTGCATAGTATCGGATTTTCATGGCACGGACAGTTATAATTCATGAGAAATGTAACTTGCAAGGTACTAAATGTATTTTTTTTCAAAAGGGGTACGTATGTTATTTCAATTTTAGGCAATAAATGCTCCGTTCAATTCATTTATATTTTTAGTTGTGCAAAAAATTACTCTTAAAGAATTTCCAATCTTATACCTCAACTGGACATCCCACCCGTAAAAACTTTGTCCTTTTGCAATTATTGAAACACTAGAATAAATAATTACATTGTACAATAATGCGTACCATATTGAATTGCGAAATAGATTAAAAAATATCTGAAGAATACGTTAATTATACAATAGAATATTTTTATTTTTTCATCAAAATCTTTCCTATGTATCATTGGCCATCATAGAGTTGTCATACAGCTTAGTAAAATCAAAATGTTTTTAATGAGTTGATGCAATAAATATAAATTTAAAATAAACATTGGATTATCATAGATAATGACGATGTAGTAACGAATTCTAGGTAGATGAACGTGATATTAAATGGATATTAACGTGATATTAACATGGATATTGAATTACAATTGAATGGTATTACATGTTGTTCTCCTTTTATATAGTTTAATTCATTGCTTTTGCATCACCACGTTGATATTTTGTACGTTATTTAGTTGTTGATGTACTATGAAAGTGGTGAACACTAAATTAATTAGAACTTCAAATCAAAACACAATAAATTACTTCTAAGATTTCGCATATTTTATGATTTTTAAAAAACGTAGTCATCCATAGCGGTAATTAGCATACGATCAATATAAATTACACCAAAAGTGAATAAACACTTTTAGAGAAGGAATTAATTTCTTAATTAATTCATTATTTTCCATAAAATATGAGAATTGCAATCATGAAGGTATTAACATGGAAATAAGAAATAAAACCAACTATTTAGATTTATTGCCTTTTGAGGAATTCATTGAACATAAATTGTTTGTTTATATTAAATTAACGTGGGATGACACAAGTAAATAATATTTACTGATATAATAGAAAGTTTCACGACAACTCGGCATTTTTATTTATCCAATCGCGAAAAAATGCCACTTCAGTGTAAACACCAGGAAAGAATGCCAACGCGCAGTCATTACCCCAAGACACAATTCCAGCAAGTCGGCCACCTATAGCAAGAGGACCACCAGAGTCACCTTGACAGGCATCCTTACCACCTTTGTCATAAACACCAGCACATATTTGACCACTTGGTAGTCCACCGAATGATCTATAAGCTCTGTCGCAAGTATTTCTTTCAATGATTGGTATAGTAACAGTTTGTAGTTGATTCGCCGGACTACCGAAATTTCTAGTTCTACCCCATCCTGTAATAACAACATTCGTTCCAGGTGAAAGTTGCTTATTAGCTTCAAATAATTCGATCGGTCGATGAGTAGCATCGATGGTAAATGGATTGGCAATTTTCAGTACGGCGACGTCGTTTGATGGGACACCATAACGATTTGTCTGATAGTTCTCGTGACGCTTTACCTTTACAACACTGTGTACTGTACCACCTCTTTCAAAAAAACTCGTACCTGCGCGAACACTTAGTCGGTCGGCTGAAGCTACAATGCAATGTCCTGCTGTTACTACATAGCTTTCCGATATTATACTGCCACCACAGATGTGATTACCAGAGTATTGTAGTGATACTTGATATGGATAATTTTGAATGAAGGCACTTCTTCCTCCGACGATACGGTCGGTAGGTATTGATTCTGTGGGCCTAACTGAGTGCGCTGTAAAAACCCAAAATTCAAGTTAAACACTTATGGCACTGAATCGCTTATCATAAATGAAATCTTACCATTCGAGACGCCCACGAAAATGACAGCAAGTAAGTAAGCGATCATTCTACGTTCGTAGTCGGATCCCTAATGCACCTTCCTTATAGTATGTTCTCGTCCACTCGACGGATCAATATGTCAAAGTGACGTATTGATTTCATCGTTATTAGAACTATTCATAAACGGCACGCGATATAGGATGAATTTTTTATTTTAGATGGACGTTATTGGGGTATTACTATGAACAAAGTTCGCATGGACAGTTAAATATTGAATATGAAATCAAGACTCATACCAAAGAATGTTTCCAATTCGAGTGGTTCAATTGATAGTGTCAATATTATGACAGTATTAAGAAAAATACACATTTGACTAATTTGAAAACAATTTATTATTACATGATAGTTTATATACCACAATTATAACGTTTCATGTAAATTAACATGACTCGAATTTTGTTTGTTAATATATTTTCAAAAGTAAGCGACTTCGACATAAACACCAGGATATTCAGGCCTTCACTTCAGCTTACAAAACCAACTTGACGAACGCTGCAAGTGGACTAGTCCTTGCTATCAATGTCCTCGTAATCGGCGCAAATTTGGCCATCGACAAGGCCACCTTAAGTTATGTAAGCCAAATCACAGTGATCTTATAGAACTATGAGAAAAGTAACGATCTGAAGGTGAGCTAGCTGTGCTTAGTTTTTTCGTTAAGGTATCTCCGACCGGTAACACCGGTATTGACACTTGGAATTGATTCTTCATTCACTTCGAATAGTTCAATTAGTTGAATGTCATCACTCAAAACGAATGGTTTATCTACTTTGATCACGGCTACATTATAAACAAGATTATCGTCTCCGACGAGTACAAAATCCTCGTGTATAATAAATTCAACTTTTCTTATAATACCACCACATTTACAGTATACTGTAGCCGCGCGGACTATGATATTAACTAGTTAGATATCATAGTTAAGTATGATATTGGTTTTGTAGCAGTGGTCGGTCGTGAAAACATAATTTTCGAAGATTGTGTTACTACGCAAATATATCTGGCTATACGAAACTCGAATGTTTGACGTGTTGGCTCAATGGACTAAGGTGTTGATAAAGTAGCATATTAAAAAAATTCTACTGTTTTTTCAGTAGACAGTTTTTAGTGACAGCGGTAATACAAAATGATAACTAGACGTAAAAAGAACGTATTGACTCGGTTTCGATTTCGCACAAAGTGAAACTAGATGTATTATTGCTTGTATTTATAGATTGAACTGTATGTAATTATGCTATCTAATGTTTACAAGAAACATTTATTAAAATGGACGACTACGTTTACTTTATCAAAGTACCACTTACTACATGTTAATACTACAGTTTTAAGAATTACAATCTGATACTGACTTAGGTTCTGAGTTGTCTATATGAGAAAATAATTAAATTATAAGCTTGAAAAGCTTTAATAATACTATATGATTAAAGAAATAGTTAAAATTAACTTATTAAAGGTATATAGAATTAACAACAAAACAAATTAATATGCAAAATATTTTGATGATAATTCTATGTTCAAATAACTTACTAACATGAGGTCGTTCTGCTATTTTTTACAGTAACTATTTACAGTTCATTATTATTGATGAAACATCAAGTCTTCGATAAACTATCCAAGTTTCCACAGAATTTAATATAGCTGAACGTACTTGTTAATCTATTCACGGTAGTGAGCGATTTCAGTATAAACTCCAGGGTAGTAAGGTTGAGCGCATCCATAACTCCATGAGACAAAACCAGCAAGGCGACCGTTGATGGCAAGAGGACCACCAGAGTCGCCTTGACAAGTATCCTTACCACCAATGCCATAATAAGCAGCACAAATCTGACCTTTGGGAAGTCCACCGAAAACCTTAGTATAAGCTTTGTTGCAGAGCTGTTTGGTTATGATCGGGATGACGACGCTTTGCAGTTGATCGGATGCTATACCACCGTTTTCTGTATGCCCCCAACCAGTGATCACACCTGGAGTTGCTTTTTCATTCAATTTGTACAAGTCGATTGGCTGGGCAGTGTCGTCAAAGTCGATCGATGTCTCCAGTTTCAAAAGGGCAATATCGTTGCATGGAACCCCATAGGAGTTTTTATAGTAGTTTCCGTATACGATGATCTCCTCGAATTCGTAAACACAGCCATCTATATTACGGTAGGTTGAACCCACGCGGACGCTGAGTGTATTTACACGATCGATGATGCAGTGAGCAGCTGTAAGGACATTTGAGTCTTTTGACATTGAGGTCTTTTGAGATGATCGAAGCACCACAGATGTGATTGCCATTGTACTGAAGAGATGCTTGCTATGGATAGGTCTCAATCTCAGCATCCTCGTCACCAACGATACGACCGTTGGGAAAGATGTTATGTGATCTGATTGGATCTGCTATTAATGAAAATACGTTATTAGGTTTCGTTGTTGAGACGAAAAAATTATCAAGAAGAAGATTCAAAACATTCGTTTAATAAACATTTTTTAGTATTTCAAATTGCACAAAAATTTGTGAAATCTTCATAGCGCATAAATAGCAAGCTAAATTATCATTAATGATATTAAATAAATAGCTTCTTAAATAAATATGTTAATAAATAAATCTAGAGTTAGTTGCAGTAAAAATACTGCACCTTTGAAACTTACCAGTGGCGGCTGACACAAGGGCGATGGCATGATTTTACTTGGATTCGAAATAAATCTTTTGTACGATTTCTACTCCGGCACTACCATATATATTCACTTTGATCTCTCTATGCGTCATACTTTCTTCATACGTGGAAATTAAAATATGTCGGAATGATAAGAATTACTGATTGAAACGTCGGTGATTTGATTCATTTTATCAGATATTGATTCGATTCTTCAGTGATCGTAATATTGTCAAATAGTCTAATTTACTATGCGTTAACAATTAAGATTGCTTGTAATTTTCGGTAACATTTACGTAAGTACATTGCGCATCTATAAATAAAAATATCATATTTTGTTAATGAATTTAGATTATTATTACTACTATATTTTTATTTTATCATTTTGTAATTTCTATAAATATCCGTTGGTTTCTGTTTATTTATCTTTGTGTCATATATACATAATATACAGTTCGATGAAATTATTGATATTATCGTCATTTACACCTTGATACAAATCTTATATATACATGATTTTCAAGAAACAGTTTTAATTAATGAAACTTCTTGTCATTTTCTGCGTAAAAGTTTCTTTACATCTAAGCATAAATCAAAATTTATAAATAAATACTCGACAGTTTATTAACTCTGATAATGACGTGCAGAAGATCGCACGTATTTTATTTAGGTCGTTATTTATTTCAAATAATTAGAATTTTTTTAATGCAAACATTAATATAGAAGCAATAATCTTTGATTTCAATACACGAAGATATTATTTAGTAAAATAATACAAAAATCTAGTGCAAATGAAAACTGTAGGTATAGTAAATTCGCATTCAGTATCATTGTACTGATATAAGACAAACATGCAGTTACTTCCCACAAAATATCTGATAAAGTTGCACAGTTATTTATTTTTATTGTACATCAATGAAAAACGAATCGAATGACGAATTATATATACCATAACTTTCCGTCTCGTCTTTTCAAGAACTTCCATGGACAGAAATAAAAAGTCTGAAAAATCCCAATATAAATAGCTTTATTAAATGCGTTCAACGATATTGGCAACACCTTTCTAAGGTGCAATATGTTTGTCGATCCATTCGCGGAAATGAGCGACTTCGGTGTACACACCGGGATACTTAGGCTGAGCGCACCCATTACCCCAGGAGACAACGCCAGCAAGACGACCGTCTACGGCAAGCGGACCGCCAGAGTCGCCCTGGCAAGCATCTTTCCCACCTACACCGTAGTAAGCAGCGCAAATTTGCCCATCTGGAATCCCACCCATTTCTTCGTAAGCGGTGTTGCATACTTTCTTCTCCAGTATGGGAATATTGACGGTCTGTAAGTGCGCAGCTGTACCCCAACGGCCACCAGTGGTACCCCAGCCAGTAATAGTCCCGTTCACGCCAGGAGTCGTTTCTTCACCGACGTTAAATAAATCGATCGGTTGCCGCGTTTCATCAAGCTTGAACGGAGATGTGACTTTGATCAAGGCTATGTCGTTGAGGGGGATGCCCTTGCGGTTAATCTTGAAGTCTTCGTGGCGCGTAATCGTGCTGATCTTGTGGACGCTACCACCGGAGCTTCTCGTCGATGAGCCAGCTCGTATCGTCACGAGGAATGGTGTATCTACGCAGTGACCGGCAGTGAGGACGTAGTCTTTGGTGATTATGCTGCCACCGCACATATGCGTACCGAATTGCTGAATCGACACCTGGTAAGGGTAGGTTTCGATTAGGGCATTCTGGCCGCCAATGATTCGACCATTTGGGAATCTTGGTTCCGCTGAAATTAAGCATTGCATTCGTACTTGGCGAAACTCTGTTCCCGAAAGTATAGTCAATTCGACTTACCATTGGCAAGAGCCACTGAAACGAAGATCAACACGTAGCTAAACATCTTGTTCGGATCACTGCTGAACTAAATGTGTTTTTATTCAACGATGAAGGCTTATTTATATTCATTGATAGTGATGGCCTTTCATAAATGCAAATATGGAATCAACCCGTGACCGATTTACAATTGTTAATAATTGTTTAACAACGCATACGTATATCTAACATGTATCGTGAAAAAATCTGACGATTGTGGTTATCTCATATCTCATTTCATTTGAATGTTCATTTTATTTTTTTATTCATTTTGACGATGATGTCAACAAAACCAACTAAATAAACAAAATAAATAAACAAAATTATGATCTTAGAATACATAGAAAGTTCAATAAGATTTTAGCCAAGTGATAAATATTTTAAGTGAAATTTCATCGTGTGACCGGCAAAAAAAAATTAAAAACTGCCATTCTATTTTTGCTTTCATTTGACAATGAACAGTGATATGACAAAATGTTTTATGATGGTACCTTGCTCTTGTCACGGTCATTAACGTTTACTAACGACATGTCTGGCAATGGTACTCCATTGCTATGTACTTGACCTAAAAAATTGTTGTTTTTTTCAAAAGTCATTGTTTTAGAACTGATAGACAATTGATTATTCATAAAGATTATTTTATACATTATTCTTCAAGTTTTTTTTATAGTTACAATTCTTAGTCTTCAATTGCCTGATTTATTTTTTATATAATCCAGTATGTCCAATATTATCTGAATATAAGGAAATAATCACATTAAGAAGAATCTAGGTAGCAAATATTTATTTTGAACGCAACTATTGAATTACAAACGTTGCCTCACCGATAAGTTACATTTGTTTGTTTATTTTTTAAATTCTGATCAATACAGGTAATTTATTTATTTAACATGAACAACACGTGCATAGAAATAAGATTATAAAAATATAACAATAATAAAAAAATACTAAACTTTACAATATGGCTCTTGCCGATACTTATGAAGCTATATGAAAGTTTCATTTCATTGATAAAATCTCATTACTGAAAAATTGTTGTTATAAGTCTTTTTGCAGCATGACTTTGAGGTGAAATAAGAAAAATGCGGGCAGATATGTATTGGAGGTGAATTAATCTATCAGATCGAAAACTCATTATCCGTCGAGCTACGCATTTATGCGATAACACGCGTTTCAAGCTTTATAGATTAATGATAGCGTGTTCATTGATCCACGAGCGAAAATAAGCGATTTCAGTGTAAACACCAGGACTGTCTTCCTTAGCGCAACCATTTCCCCAACTGACAATACCAGCCTGCCGATCATCGATAACCAGAGGAGCACCGGAATCACCTTGACAAGAGACTTCACCTTCCCCATAATAAACAGCGCAGATCTGTCCAGGAGGTAATTTGCCAAAATTTTTGTAAACTTTACTGCACGATGTCCTATTGACTATCGGCACGGTGACAGTTTGCATTTGAGATGGCAATCCCTTGAAAGGGTTGCCCCAACCTGTGATGACTGCTTTCATACCAGATTCTGTCTTCTCGTTCAAGTCGAAGAGTTTGATTTTTTTATGTACATCGTCGTAATCGAAACCTTCTATGATCGTGATAATGGCAATGTCATTCACGGGAATACCATGTTCGTTGATGACGTACCTCTCGTGGGCAACTACTTTTTCCACGCGATGAATGGTGCCACCTTGATTTTTCATCGAAGAGCCTGCTCGAACCGTCAAATCCGCCGGTTCGTGTATTGCACAGTGAGCTGCAGTTATGATGTAGAAACTGTGGATGATGCTACCACTACAGTAGTGATATCCTAAATACTCTATAGATACATGGTATGGGTATTTTGTGATGAGGGCATTTGAACCACCTACTATAACTCCATCGGGAAATTTCATTTCACTAACTAAAAAATAAAATGAAACGCATAAATTAATCAGACACGAAAAGCATAATTAGAGCAATTAAATATTAAAAGACGTTGCATGAAATCAAACAAATATTCCAGGTCATCTACGTTCCGAAACACGTATGCGTCGTAATTTATTTATTCTCTTTTTCTTTATCGGCAGCTACTTTATCAGATAAAATACATTGACGCGAACACCGTATAGCGGCTACTTACCACTAGCGGTCATGAGAACTGGGGATAGCCATAGGAAGTGTAGCAGCATCTTGATTGATCCAAAGACCACCGGGCTGTATCGACTTCCGTTGTGTTCAAGCGTTACTTTATATCTTTACGATTCACTTTATAGGTCTTATCTATATACTGCACAGATAATGCTACGATAGCGGTACAATTGTCAGTATGTGGCGCGTAGCGTTTAACGCTCTACTTGAATTTTGGTCGTAGTTTTTTTTTATTGATGTATCAGTATTTAAACATGTTTCTTTTTATCAATTTGACTTCAAAGTATCGCTGGAATTTGTGAATATTCCATCAATTAATTGCTTCATTTTTGCTATGATGTGACAGCTTACATTATGATTCTTATTAGCAATTCACAATATCGAATTTCATGAAGAAATACATAGTTTCAATAACAGTTTATTACTGTTGATGAAGGAAAAATCCTTTTTAATAATTTCAACATCGTACATATCTTTATCTCATAGTTGTTTTATGATTTGGTAATTTATAATTGTTAATTCTGCCCATATTTAGGGATTCACTCCTAGTCGAGACTGTCGTGTCTTGCGTGAACGTTTGGTAAAAATTAATTTTTATATTGAATGACTGATATTTATCGTAGATAAATGATTTTTCAGAACTGTGAATTTAAAAAAAATTGAACATCGGCTAATTTAGTTATCACCCAAATACTTCTTAATCCAGTGGTAGTAAGCCGCAACTTCAATATATACACCTGGGTACTGAGGTAAAGCGCAACCAGGAGTTCCACTCCAAGATACAATACCAGCTTAATGATTACCAACTAACAGAGGACCGCCGCTATCACCATTGCACATGTCCTTTAATTCTATTTGATGAGCTGCGCATATTTGATTTTGAGGTAGACCACCCTGTTTTGCGTAAACCTCATTTCATTTTTTTTTGAAACTATAGCGATAGCCAGACGTTGAACTTGATCGGCCAACGTGCCGTTTTCAGTTTTACTTGAAATACGATAAAATGTTTTTTGACAAACGTAAATGATTCATAAAAACCGTCCTCGAGGCAATTGTATTAAAGTAAATAATTACCCCATCCAGAAACGTAAGCAGTTCGACCAGGTATAGTTTTCCATGCATCCTTCAACAGCTCAACCTTTTTTCTCTTCAGTCCATCAATCTCGAAAGCTGGCTTTACCCTCATTAGCGCAGTATCACTTACTGGGCTACCAAACTGGTTTGACCCATATTCCTCGTGCTTGATAACCTCGACAACTTCGTGCAATTGACCTCCGCGGTTCCAGAAACTCGAACCCGAACGAACGAAATACCCACTTGCTGGCAGATCTGCGCAGTGCGCTGCGGTGAGGATGTAGTTTGGCGAAATTATGCTTCCGCCGCAAGTGTGCCTTCTACTTTCTCTACGGACGAGACTCACTTGGAAGGGCGCATCCTTGATGTCGATTGTCTCTCCGTGAATTATGCGACTTGGCACAGCTGAGAGATTGCATAAAGAAATGAACAAAACCAGTCCGAAATGTAGCTTATGTACTTCTAAGGGTTCCAGCGAGTCACATACCGTTTGATGATACTGACACAGAAAGCAATCACGAACAGAGGAAGCATCTTGGACAAGTGTTGCATGTCTTCCTGTTAACTTCAATTTTATATATATTTCTTGATAACGATTATCAACTTCCTCGATTATCAGACAAATTATTATTTATACAATGAATTTCACATTCTTTTGCTTGATCAAGAAAAAATAATATGATTCGTCGTTTAATTAGTTTACAATATTTATTTGATTCTTGATCGGACGCGTAAGATGTTAGCAACAATGTAATCTTAATATTGACATATTTTCCAACACTAGAATATATTCCTTTAACGACGAATGATACGCGATAGAGAGAAAATATTTGTCGGTTCATAGGATTTCTATTAACGAGAACAGAGATGGCATGTTACAATTGAACCGAAAAAACTTATCTCCACGCAATACTTTGTATAATTGATACAATCTAACGTAATATCAAGTTTTCCAATTCATTACTCTTCTTAATTCATTTTAGGCTTAAAAGTTGAATACATAAATGTATTGTCAATTGACGTAACGCGCATCGGAATCACTGATAACGTATATTATAAGCCTCGATGTATTTTTCAATGCAGTCGTTACAAGGCAAAACTTAAGAACAAACTAAATTGTAGTGAACTGTTTACTCGTCATTCTAGTAAAAAATTATATATCGCTCATTCTCACTCTACGCTTAAAATTGACACCAAGAATAGTACAAAATCTTTTAACAATACAAACAATACTTTATTATTCTAAATAAACTAGAAAATAGTAAATTAATTCATGTGCTGGTCGATCCAATCGCGGTAAGCCGCAACCTCGGTATAGACGCCAGGTCGACCGGGTTGAGCGCAGCCGGGTCCACTCCATGAAAGGACACCCGCTTGTCTGCCATTGATCACCAATGGACCACCAGAATCACCGTTGCAAGCGTCTCTACCACCACCTGGGTATTCAGCGCAGATTTGTCCCTGACTGATTCCACCAGCGTCGGAGTAATTGCTGGAGCATGTACTTGTGTTCATCAGTTTGAGTTTAAGGCTTTTCAATACGTAAGCTGCCTCGTGGTATTCAGTTAGACCTGAACATTATTATTTCAGTAGTTATAATAGTGGTTCTTAGCTGATGGTAATAATCAACCATTGAAAACTTACCCCAACCAGTCAGCCAAGCATCATCACCGATATTTGCTTTCTCTCCCGATTCGAACAGTTCGATCTTCTTGATTGTCTTACCATTCAGGCCGAACGGAGGAAAAACTTTCACAAGTGCGATGTCGTTGAATAATACACCCTTATTGATAATGCCGAATCCACTGTGTTCGATAACTTTAGTGATTTTGTGCAAGTTGCCATACAGAACAGAAAAACTTGAGCCTGAACGAATTTTCAAAAATTCAGGGTGCGATTGAACACAGTGAGCTGCGGTAAGAACGTAGTCCCTGGAAATAATGCTACCGCCACATATAAGTTTAAGGCTACTTTCCTCGATGATACTTATTTGATATGGAGCTTTTTCTATCGTGATTCCTTCGCCATTGATTATTCGCTGACGGCCAAAGTCGTCAGTTGTAGCTGTACAAGTGATTATCATTTGAACGTTATTATGCGAAATTTTCATAGAATAAGGGATTAATTTGTTCGTAGCTTCAGTTATATTTTTGGCTCGAGAAGTGAAATTTACTTATTTTCTTACTTACCGTTAGCCGCATAAACGCAGCAAGCAATAACGAGCAGCCGAAACATTTTGGGCAAATATTACAATGGCTCTACTTTCTAAAGCTACTTGTCGAAGTATTTATATGATTCAGATGATGACATTCGAAACGATGTTCAAACGCAGCTGCTGAATATTAATGGGAGTCCATTCATTGACAGGTGCATTTGATAATGCCATAATCTTTATTGTTGTAATCTCTGATAATAATTAAAAATTCATAAATGCGCATTTTCAATTGACTAATGCAATATTTTTATAAAGTTTTCAATGACAATACCAATACTACTATACTTCAATTATATGTTCGCTTTCCATAAATTCTAATGATTGAATTTATGCGGATTTACATACAAGAAAGAGAATACTTACAATTGATCAAGCAGATAAGTGCTAGAAAGCGATACGCCTCTGACGTTTCTAATGTGATTGGGAAATTATTTGATTTTAAACTTTAACATGAGTCTTTTATATCTAATTAACATCTTCAGTAATAATTGATGTATGCCGTATCAACTATCCGATAAAAAAAATCAGACAGGTAAAGATAAGAAACAAATAATTTTCCATTAACTGTTTCAATAACCGACGTAACACATTACAATAGTACGTTGAAAGGCGTCATAATTGCATATCGCGTCTTTTAATCTAAAAATATAGATACTGACAGAATTGTGGAAACAAATAGAGAAACAGATCATATGCATAGATTTCTAATCAAGTTATTTTTAGCCTCTTTAATATGCCTGTATAACCAGTTGCGATATTTGTCGACGTCAAGATATACACTCGATGATCCACACAACGTACATTGTCACGAATGGACCCCAAGAAACTTTCTCGGTTTTTTGCTGCTGATCACCAGTGGACCATCCTAATTACCTTAACAAATGTTCTTCCTGCCTAACGAATGTTCAAGATAAAAATCGTCTATTGGAAACTCGTCTGTTAAAAATTGGAAATTATTTTTACATTCCACGCAGTCCATAACTTCAAGTTTTACACTTAACAATTGTTCGGGCGTTGACCCGATATTTTCATTGGTAATAGCTGCTAAGGAATACTAAAGCTACTTATAATTTATTGAAATTTTTGCAATAAATACATTATGATAGAACTATAAAACTTTGAAAATTTGTATAGCTTGCCCGAACCAGTAAGTAATTCTACGTCACCCGTATAAACCTCATCATATTCAACAAACAACTCTGTCCTACTCTTCGTCGCATCGTCAAGTGTAAACGAAGAATCGAATTTCAAAAGAGCAACGTTATTGATAAGCTGATGAACACCACTTTCCTCGTTATAATTCTCGTGACGTACAACTCGAGTAACTTTGTTAATGATACCTCTGTTCAAATAGCTCGAACCTGAACGCACGCTGAAGTTTGATGAACCAGAATCACAACAATGACCAGCAGTCAAAACGTAATCTTCCACACTCGACCAATATACCGACCTGATAAGGTGCTTCTGCAACTGCGTGATTTCATCGTCGTCGATGATACGCGCCCGACAAGCGTAAACTTTCCGTAAGCCATGAAGGAGGTATCTTTTCACCTGCAAAAATGGTAATGCAACGAACTTAGACTAGATATATCTTGTTTCGCCGACTTTGTTGACTCAACAGAGATTGAGAAGAGTTTTGCAGAGCGACGATGACAGTTTCGTGATTTTTAGCCAGATACCTATATCTATATACTACTAATATCAACAACTTATTTGCTATCGGCCACTAAAAGATTACCGGAATTACCGTTGATCATGTCTTTGTTTTTGTCGCAGATTTAACCATACCGAACGCCTTTGAAGTAAGAATAATCGACACTTTGCAATGGATTGAATGCTCTGACAGTAGTGGTCTGACCAGGAAATTGTACAATGACCGAACAGAGCTTAGACACGGCGAAGCTTTCATTTGATTTTGTATAATTAATTCTGACGAAGTAGTCCGCATGCCATTGTGCAAAGTGACATATTCCATCGTAAATGGGCGTGATTGAAATGGAGATTTCATCCTCTTCCTCCAATAGAGATGCTCGAATACCGCTCGCATTGTACGTTTCGAACAATCGCATGACGTGACGTTCGATATTCAAAAAACAACTCACCGCACCCGCCGAGAAAAGCATTCTCGTCAGCTAATCTTCCTCGACAGTTTTTCCATGATCATCGGCAGCTCCCATCGAAGCAACGGCATTCAAGGGTGTGCAGCAGGGCTGCAGTCGATATACTACTCGTATATCTTCCGCGCGTGTCGACACGAATTCCGAATGCCAGATGCGCACCGTGAGGATTATACCGCCGCTATACAGATGTGCCGTTGATAAGAGCGCCTGCTTGTAAATGCTCACCTGCTACGGGAGCGCTCGTCGATTTTTGACCAATGACGCGACTTTTACTGCTTGTCGCGCAACCTCGATATCGTCAAATTCTCGACATCGAGACCGACGAGTGCGAGGGGTCGATTGTCCTCTCACGACCGAAGCTACAGCGAATTTCTCCTTTTTTTATGGTCGTGCTTCTTTCGCGTTAATTCGGATACCGAATTTCATTGTTCGTCGTGTCCATAGCGAGTCGCTAGAGCGGCGAAGATTTTTCAAATATTTTTACAGCTGCGCGATTTGGAAGTTTGCTCATTTTCTCTGGCAATATTTTATGATATACGGGACAGTTCGCTTCGGTGTTGTTTTATGCATGACACGCTGGAAGCTCCACGGTCATTCATAAGTCCAGTTAATCATGCCGACGCGACGATTTCGCCGGACAGATATCGAATGATTCCACAAATCTGATAATCCTCTTTGTGTGACGCTGTCCGGTCATTATCGATCGACGTCTAGTGGTGCACAGTCAACATTCTGATAACAAAATTAACGCGCTATTAACGCGCACGCCGACAGGTTCGTTGAATTGCGAGAAGCCAATAATTCAATCAGAAACGATGACTGTTTGTTCGAGGCGCTCGCCGCGATCATCAAAACCCTGTGTGATCATACCCGCATGACTCTTTGGCGGCATATCGGTCAATGCAATGTAATCGACTTCCTCGAACTTGAAATTTAATTAAAACCGGTCTTGAGCGTCGCCTTTCAAAGACTCGTCGAGTGATATCTCGCTTGATTACGATACTGCTACGCTAATAAAATCGAACGCTCTTTTATCAAGAGTGCAGCCTATGCTGTGAAATGCAATTTCGCGACCGTATGAATGAGCAATTTTTTATCGGACGACTTAATATGAGGTAGCCGAAATAATAAACGTGCAATGCAGTTCGTTCAATAAATTTATATGAAAGTTTTTTGGTTCACCTTTCGAGTTTACGACAGCAAACTTTTTCCAGCAATTTTTATGGACTCTTGGACTTTCGAAAGCTATTCTCTCGGAGCCATTGATTTTTTTTTGTCGTATTTATTCTGTTCACTTTTATTACAGCTGTGTAAAATTGACGACCACGCCTCTGTTATTCAAACGATACAAAAAATTTGGTAAACTAAGAGATTTGAAAAATATTTAAAAAAGTTTTTCTTTCCAATTAATTACGTTGATGATTTACCGACATATGTAAATTATTTGAATTTGTTTTTTTTTTCGATAAAGTAAAAAAAAATGTTACGTGATCAAGTCGAAGAATGACGAAAAAAAGAAGAAATAAAAATGACGTAAGCATCCTTCGCATTATGATTCATATAGAGCTAACAATCAATAAGTACGGGTTCCATGCAAAAGAATTGACTCCACGATCATTATCAAACACCAGAATTCTTCTTGATCCAGTCCCTGTAGTACGCCACCTCCATGAACACCGACGGGAATCCTGGGCTGTCGCACTTGTAGCCCCACGAGAAAATACCAGCCAATTTGCCATCAACAACGAGCGGCGATCCCGAATCGTCGGCCGACCAGATCACCGAGCAGGCAGCGCCACCTGGTCGCTCGTTTTTCGCGCAAAGTGCGCCTGGCGATAAATTGCCGAATCTCGAGTAATAAATCTCGACGCAATCCAGCAGCGACATTACGTTGACCGATACAGCTGCGAACAAACGAATGCTTATAGCCGCGACTAAAAAGCAACGGCGACTCTCTTCTGAAGCTCGACTCGCCTCTTAAATTGCGATCGCCAGTCGTACCCCAACCACTGATAACGCCCTTATCGCCCTCGGTGAGGGAGACCTTGGCGCCCGTAAGTGGGATCGGCTGCTTGGTTTCGTCAAACTCGAGCTTGGGCTCGAGCCGCAGCAGCGCGACGTCATTGTGCCTCTTGATATTGGAGCCGTAATGATCGTGCTCGATGATTTCGCTGACATTGTGCAGCGAGCCAGCGACGCCGAGCTGCGCGCTGCCAGCTCGAACGGTAAGCGCGTCGCGCGCGAAAGCCGCGCAATGCACGCTCGTGAGCACGTAGTCCTCGGAAATAATGGCGCCGCTGCAGCGATAATTCCCGAACGAGTAGACGCTCACCTGGTAAGGGAACTTATCGATTTCCACTGCGAATGCGTCGCCAGCGAGGCGTTTCTGCGGACGCGCTGCAACATGTTACACGAACTTCGTTTGGCATTCCGAAGCACGGCGATCGCGCGGGAATCAATTGCAACTTACCGAGGCTCGCGCCGAGGCAAGCGAGAAGTACGACGAAACGGAGCATGTTGGCGGCTATACGACTGAAAACTGACTGATTGCGCGCTCGGAGGAAAGGAATACGAATGTTTACCCAAGGTGCGACGTAGTGGATTCGAGGGAATGGCAATCGATTTTATCTTCGGTCCACAACGTTCGACGTGTTCGCCTTTTCCATTTCGATAATTTGTTACCCATGCCTAACAATATGGCTTTCGACCGACGTAACTTCGTGCAATTGAATGAAAACAAACTTGTCGTGTAATCCAATGAAAAGCCACAGCAATAGAAAGCTAATGAAACAGCGACAGATACGACCAGCGATATAACAACCCAGCCGTAAAAAACAACTGTTCGATAAAGCCAGCAGCGACAACTATTTCGCAGCTCGGTGCGCCAGACGACGCGCTCTCTGTAGGAAAAGCCTCGCGGGACAATTCGAGCGTTCGCTCGCGAGAGTTACTTTTGGAGTTGAGTCAATTGCGCCCTGCAGCAGCGGCGGCGGCACCGGCAGCTCTAAACCGCAACTTAAGACGCGAACTTGTCTAAACGTCCTTCGTCCGCCGTCGCTGTACGGTTCCACCGCAGTCTCATAGTTTTGTTCTCGCCGCGTTGCAAGCACCACCACTTTCGACGACGCTTTTATCCTGCGTCAAGGCGCCGCCAATTTCGTGACTAGTGAGATCGCGACTGGGCGAACGACAATTCTCGAGTGCCGAGGGGAAATGCAGTCGAACGCGTTCGCATGGCAAATACGTTTATTCGTGATTCGTTAAGAATTTCGATATCACAGACTTGAGGCGCTCGTGAAAATTGCGATCCACTTGATTGCTCTGGCGACGAGCACGTGAACATCCGGTTGAGCCTCGTTACCACACGAATGCCTGGACGACGTTACAGCGACGAGTCTTCCATCGCCCAAAGTGACGGGATTGCCAGAGTCGTAGCTGCACGAGCTGCTTTGAAAATCACTGCCGTCGGTACACATCATTCCTGGGAAAATGTCCTGCAAGCGATCCGCGTATCTTTTCACGCAGTCTTCCAACAATGTCGAGCGTGTGTCGATCGAGCGTAGCTTGCTGGACGGAACGTAGCCGTCGGTGTAACCGTAACCGGTCACACGTAAGCTTTCGTTGGCTTTCAGTCTGTAGTCCGCGCTAACGAGCTTGATAGCTCGACGCGTGGAGTCCAGCTCAAAGGACGGTTTCACTCGCAAAAGTAGGAGATCGTTGCCGGGCTCGTTGTCGCTGAAAATTCATTGGCATTAAATGCAAATCTCTTTCGTTCGGACACGAACATAGCGATCTCACTGTTGTCTATAGAGCTGGACGATTTCGTGTACAGAGCCATTGGCGTTCGGGTCCTTCGAGCCGGCGCGCACTTTGAAATTTTCGACGAATGCATCGACGCAGCTAGCGACGGTGAGCACGTAGTCTTTGTTCAGGATGCTGCCACCGCAGGCCAAGTGTGACCTCTCGTGTATGCTCACTTGGTAGGCCGCCGTCTCGATTTCGATCTCCTTGCCACCGTAGAGTGCTTTCGTCGGTAAAAAGAGAAGAGGAGCAGTCGTTTCATTAGTGCGCAGGCTTGGGAAATCCGCTGTGTACTCAAGCGTGTACGTGCTTACCCTGCGATTGACCGCACACGAGTGCTATTAGCAGCGGCAATCGATACATCGCGCAGCGACTCTCTCGTACAATGCCGGCACCTCGACTGATCCGTTCGACTGCGATCGACTTATCGCGCACATCGAGATTGCTGCGACGCACGAAGGTACAATCGTCGCTCTGCCGAAAATTACAATTCGCGATAACCGATCGAGCTGGCGCTTTGTTTAACGAGCGACAGTGCGCGTGACGTTTAGTTCGAGTATTTACATCGAGATAAGGAATTCTTTTCTTCTCGAAAACTTGCCGAGAATTTGGTTACCGCCTTCTCCTAGTTTGCCGAAAATCAGCAGATTTTAGATCAAACAATCGGCACTTTTATTCAAGTTTAGCGCGAATCCCACGCGTATAGGTAAATTTACGAAATGACGTGGCGGAAATGTCTGGACGCGTGGTATCCGAACGATTTCGGTTTCGACCTTCTCTCTTTAGAAAGCGATCGAAGTCAGATAACGAGCAGGCAAAAGTCGCAATCGCCGGCGGCGACTAATTGCGATTCACCGTGAGCACTACTCGGCCAATTTTGGGTACATTCATTCGAGTGAGAATCACTATCTCACACCCTCTCGGCGACTGAGCTCATTACCGTTGAAGCTCTCTTTACGTTTGTCGCTAACCAACGAGTGAGAATAGGAAAAAAAGAGTATTGATTTCCGATTGTCAAAGTTGCATATACGTGTACATCGCGAGTGAGAATCCTCTTGTTAAATTATCGGATAACGCCGGTCGGGTTGATTTTTACTCGACGGATATTCAGTTATACAACGGCGTTTTTTGTTATCGAACACGGCAAAAAAATATGAAAGATGAACATTCGTTGGAATCACCGTGTATTAAATACAAGCATATCGATAATCCATAATTGACTCTTTTAATATGGAACGGTAGAACGTGTACGACAGAAAGAGAGGGAATGCAGAAATCAATTGAAAAAAATAACGATGATATGTTGAAATGTCGACCTACGGCTGAAAATATATCTCTTTTTTATTGCTTTTGATTTGTAACTTGTGGGATATCGCTGTCTCGTTAAGACTCGTCGAACCCCATCGACGTGCGCCCAAGAATGTTGGCTTTACGACCACCGTTTCCCGTCCGCGTCGCTTGAAATATCGTACGTTGACTTTTTTTCCCCCAACCAAATCTATGTAAAGTCCCCTGGAGTGTCTCCTCCGATCTGAATAATTACTCACTCGACTCGTTTTCCGAGCGATAGTTGCTGGATTATCATGGACGTCAACGTCAAAGGAGCATAATAATGATTTCGGTTTACTGCGCGGACACACATGTCTGGGAATAATACGGATGCAAGTTCCGCGATCCGAGCGCATAAATCCCCTCTACCTGTGCTCGACGGACACTCCTCGCAGTGCGCGGAGATTGATACCCTTGCGCCTCGTATATCTCCGGATTGAACTACAGTCCCTTCCATATCCTCCCGCAGACGCACAAGTGCCTCCCCTATCCCTCACACGATATCAAATATTAAACATCAATTAACGCCGCTTCCAGCGCTGAATCTCGAAGCGTCGGTGCGCGAAGCTGTGCGCGAAGCTGTGCGCGGAAAAAAGCGAGCGCTCCAATCGATACACAAGCTGACGAGTCGCCGAGCGCGTTCCTCCCATTAAAAGTTTCGAGTGGGCCGAGCTTTCGCCCCACCCCCCGCCGAGATTTATGCACGAGAGCTCGCAACGCCTCTCGCCCGCCGACTTCCAGCCGGAAAAATACATCGGTCGCACTTGTCTGCCGGCGCCGGAATAAGTTTCCACCCGGCGGATTGGCCTCGCTTGATGGAGTTGCGCCCGATGCGTGGCGTTTGACTGGAGTGCCTCGTCGAAATGCACAATCCATCTGGTGCGATCACCGTCAACGTCGTCCCGCCAGACCGCGACAATAGACAGCTCGGGCTAAGAGAGGCATGTCGCTGCCTTTAATTGTAAACTAACGCGACGCAGACGTTGCGTGGTCCTGGAGTCATACTTCACGGTGGATACGAGGCGAGCAGCTGTCGTCGCTTTTCGTTGGAATCCACGAGATGCCTCGAGAGCAGAGCGGGATAATTGTGCTCTTTCCCGAATGAAAAAATCAAAAGAGGCAAGAGGCAGCCGAACAAACGACGCCACACCCGAACACGTTTCTCAACGAAAATAGAATATCGCCGGTTTGACGGCCGTTGCGTGCGCACACGCACTCCGTTTTCTCGAGGAGAGGTCGATCGATCTGGCCATTTCTTCGTTCCACGAAGAGAGTCAATTAGACATCGATTGGGGAATTTCATATCGGGAGAAGGCAAACACCGGCGCGACCGGCAATTATCGAGCTCCTCTCTGAATCGCAAGTCTCGCGCGACGTCCGCCGTGTCTGGCGACTCCTTCCTTCGCCACGGCGGCGCTCGTTTGATTGCTAATTGCACGGGCGCCAGCTCCCCCTCGCCGGCCGCGCGCACAATTGCGCCGCGTGAAATAAAAGCTGTCTCTCCGTTCGCCTCGGCGCTCCGCGGCTGAGCCCCGCGCCGCTTAATTAATGAATTTCGCCGAGCGAGTGAATGGCAAGAAGGCGCCACCGGAGGAAAACAAGTCGCGATGCACGCGCGCGCGTGCCGGGCTGAATCGATAGACGCGGTGACCCCGTTTGACCCGCGTCGCGGCTGCACTCCTCTCTCTCTCTCTCTCTCTCTCTCTCTCTCCCTCTCTCTCTCTCCGAGGTGACCGAGTGTCCTTTCCTTTCGCTTGCCTGAAGAAGCGAAAAGGAAGATTTTCTCCTACTTCCAGGAGCGGAGCCGCGAATCACTCGTTCTCGGGTGAAATTAGCTGGCGCGCGCATTTACGATTGGATTTGCGGGATGCCCCGCGAGCCCACAGCTTTGACTTGTACGAACTCGATGTACCACGTCGGCAACCTCCGTCGCGTCCATCGCGCGGATGCTCGACGCAACGCGAAAACTCAGATAGACTCGGTCCAACCTCGAGCTCGCCTCCGTTTGCCAGCCTACCGCGTCTCCCGGACATTTCGACGCGCGGCGTCCGAGAAGTCGTCGCAAGGATGTGCGCGAACGGCAGCTCGGCGAGACGCGTGTGTATCTTTGGGCAAAGCGCGCGCGGCCACCGGTCGATAGCACACTGCTTCCGCGGGAGCGCCAGCGCGCGGTCGTATTTTTCGGGGCAAGAGGGAGGGGGGCGGGCGCGAGCTCGCGACCTCGCTTCCTGCCCTGTGCCCGCAATTAGAAAGCTCCTTCCACGGCTCGGAGGATAATCGTATCTCTCCGTCGGCCAACTTCTCGGCCGCGAGACGCTCTCTCGTGTCCAGATTGGAAATGAAATTGCTCGAATCGCGCTCTACGCGCTAACGAGCCGTTCTCGATGGAAAATGAACGCGAGCGGTCAGCCAGAATAGTGCCGCTGCGAAGCGTATAACGTTAGCCAACGAGGCGTACTCCGCGCAGCACCGACGGCGCCAAGAGAAACGTTGTGCAGCTGGGCCACACATTCCCGGAAAGCTCGTCGTAAAATCCAGCTAAGCAGTTGTAACGACCCGCGTAGCCTTGGAAATACGCGAATGAGCTGCGAGAAACTGGCTCTCTTTGTGCTCTGCGTGGAGGAGGGCGGACTGCACGTCCTTGAAGTCTACGCGGCATCGATTTCACGAATGTGTACGCGCGCTTTTCTCCGCGAGAGCTGGCTTGGTCTACGCTCGCGAAACGTACTACCCCAATCCCTCGGATGGTCACCGGCTAAAGAGCCGCGCGGATCGACAAGGAAGTACTAATTGCTAATAGTTGCTAATTGCTTTTCTCGCTCAGTCAGCGTTACGCTAGAGGAGAGCGAGAGCCCCCGTTGCTTTTCCCTTCCTTTTAATTCTTCGCGCTCGAAAACGCGCGTCGTCGATGCGTGGCGACGAGCAACGAGACGTTATTGTCGCTCCTCGCTTGCCCACGATACGCGATGTGACGCGGCTGTCGCGCCGTGCCATTTCTGCGGCTTGGATGTTCCAGCTGACTCGCTTTTGCGGAGGACAACGCGGGGTACGCGAAGGACCACATATGCAGGTCTACGCTCACGTTTTTCGACGGCGAGGCGGGACAAAGAAGTTTCGTATATTGCGTGCGCGCGCAGCCGCGTGCATTTCGATTTCGAGGCTCCGCGCTGGTTGCCGACGATAAGTTTGCGCCGGGGCGTCGCAGCTCGCGAATGATCTGCAGAATCAGATCGATACGGAGAAACGACGCCTCACCGTGCCAATTCGCGCGAGCGTAATGTCGCTTCGAGGCGAGTTGCGAGCGCGGATCTCCGCGGCGCTATTTTCACGAGGCTATTCTCGTCAAAAGTGGGCGCGTTACTGCGAGCTCCTACCTCCCCGCCTCCTCTGGCATTCATAGGCAGACTCTTTTCCGGAAGACCTTGTTAATCTTTCACTCTGGCATGAAGGGGGAGAGTAATTGTCGAACGTGTTTGCGACTGGCACGACAAGACACGAGGGGGTATGTCAGGGACGCAATTAACGCGACGGGCATTGACAAACGAATCGAGTGTCGCCGCGGCGCCGCGGTGGCCGTCGGGGGTCGGCAGGATTGATCTACTTTGTTTGGCGCGCGGTGCACGAGTAGCCGCGGCAAACAGGGCCACGTGTGTCGAGCGCAAACCAAGCCGCGGCTCCTCTCCTCGCCAATAAGCCACGAGGAGAGGCGACGCTCTGCTCGCGCGTGAAAACAGAAACCGTGAAAATTGGCCCGCGGCACGGGGAAACAAACGAGCTGCTCGCTTGCCTTCCACCCCGGGGAACGGAGGAACATCGACACGCGCAAAGTACACACACTTTTTGATCCACTTTATCGTCGCCTCTATTATTTTCTTTGTCCCCTCGTAAATTGCGAATTTTCTTTTCACTCACGCCATTGGGTTAAGTGTGTTTGCGTGTAAACGATGCCGGCGAACACATAATGCGAGAAAGCTTACGTTGCTGCAGCAGCAGCGTTTAACGAGGAACGATGTTACGAGTGTGATATCGATACGAGAATGTGCACTTGTGTGTATTTGGGGGGGGTGGAGGGGGGGGGGGGGGGGAGTGTTGGAATTGAAATGCTTATGATTTACTAACACGCGTCGCCAGTTAAGGTCGAACAACTGGGATCAGCAGAGAAATGGAAGGCAAGACGTAATCTCTTAAGAGACGCAGCGACCCTCATTAATTGGATATACGTCTCGTAGCATTATATTCATGCGCGCGCTTGACCGACTGCCTCGCGAGTGTTTATTCTTATTCTTAGGCTCTTGCGTCCGCTCGGGCGATTCGCTCGTAATTGGGCGGCTCGAGGGCTCGGGTCGTTTGCCGGAAGGACCCTTGAAGATTCTTAGCCTGCTTTTTCCCTCTTTCTCTCTCGACGACTGCGCCTTGCGAAATCGCTTTCACGTTCGCCGAAGGTGAGAGAGCTTACGGGATCGCACGCCTTCTCCACTTTGCTCTCCCGTGCACTTTTCCCCACGGCGGTGAAACGAGGGCTGCGCGGCTTTGTTTGCCGAATCAAAAATTACGACGATATTCACGACGAGGAGGACAGCGCTGCCCATAATCAAAAATTGATATCGCTGTAATCGTTCGACCCGCAAATGGATTGTCGCTTGTGAGCACGGAACAATCTCCTCGCTGGCGTTGCAATTTCACGTCACGCTCGGATCGCCTCGTGCGCGGCCACTAGAAAACGCGTTTGCGCGAATAAGTATCCATGTTCGCCCCCCCCCCCCCTCCACCGCTATATGTAACACGGAATCGCGCGCTATTTTTGATCTTGACGTCTTATCGATTCTCTCCTCGGCTGATGATAATTAGCGCGGAGAGAGTCGACGAGACGTAGAATTTCGCTCGAGCTCCCGACGGAAAATTCCAGTTGGCGCGGCGAGTTATCTGTCGCGCGCTCAGGCCGCATTTCTTCGACGTAGACACGGTTTTACGCGCTGCTCAATTTCGCTCGGAACTACGAAAGCTTGCGGGGGCAAATTTAGAGAAATTGAGACATTAAAGCGGGTCGGGAAGATCGTGTTTACGAGCGCTGCCGGATGCAGCGCGTTCGCTGAAACGCAGCGCGGCTATAATACTTTTGACGACTGCCACGGTCGCGCGCGACACGAAAATTATCGGGCGCGACGATCGGCAAGCCGGGGAAAATGCGCGATTGGCCATTTATTGGCCATTTACGTCGACGTCGCGCGTAACCCCCTCGATTATTTTTGGCCGCGGTGTCGTGTAGCTAATAATAAGGCGAAATATCGATTACTCCGGAACTATGTTTAGCCGTGAGAAGCGAGAAAGAACTTTTTCCAATAAACGGCCGCGCGAGACGTGGCAGCGAAAAAATAAATACACACCCTCGCATTGAAACACGGGTCACCGGCGACACGTCCGCGCGCGCCGCGACTCTCAACGACTTTCGAGCGATCCTTTCGGCGTACGTTCGCGCGTGATTCCGTCGGCCTTCCTTTCGTTCCTGCGGTCTATTTCGCGCGACTCGCGAGCGTCGGAACGCGCGAATGCGAGGCACCCAAGACGCAAAGAGGCAATCCCCGTCGATGCCAATCGGCGTGCACTTGACAGCCGCGAAGAGCACGGCATAAGAAAATTATGAGCTTGCGGTCGTTTCGAAATCGCCCTCTCGTGGCGCGTATAAAGACGAGGCGCGCGGCGCGAGCCTTAGGATGCGCGCTACAGGGAGAAAATAGCTCGAACCGGAAGGCCAGCGCTACTAAATCTGCAATTATCTTAGAGCCGCGCGCGAACCTGGATATCTAAACTCGTTCGATTATTAATAATCGCATTATGCGACCCGTATCCTCGATGGGTCAGGCAGGCGAAAGGAATTATCCGTTCGACAGCGAAATACGTCGTCGGAACCACGTTTCGCGTACAAAATCTGAAGGAACTCCGCTTGAGCCCGCTAATTCAGCTCGTCAAAGTCTCTGTAGACAAAGTCCGCAAACTCTTTTAAAATGCTTCTTACGAGATGAAAATCCCTTCGTCACGCAAGCCTTGGAGCTTGCGCGTACTGCACTAAGCTCTTAACAGCAACAAGGTGGACGCGCTTCTCCGTCTTCCCGTACTCACATTTTACGATACAAGTGTAACTCCGCAGCGTTAAAAAATAAATGAAAAGTAAATCCACTTTCGCATCAAACTCCGTACGCGTTTTGTAAAATTCATAGCTCGCATAACTCAAGAGAAGGAGAGAGAGGGAGCTTTCGAAATACCAACGTCGGCTCTGTAATAACGGGATCGAATGTGACGCCAGTCGAAAGCTCATCAAACAGTACGCTTGCCGTGCATCGACTTTCCCGTGAGATATCGAATGCAACTTCATTGCATTTTTCACCTAACGACAGATCGATCGATGTGCATACAGCAGCAGCTTCTTATCTATGTACATATTTGATTTTTCAGTTTTCCGCGTTCTCCAAACTTGTGCGTAGCCTTTGACTTTGCGCGGGAAGCGGTCGATACGACGCAATCTTCCGTGAGCCCGGGCACTTAACGCCTTCTCCTTGCTCTTTTGAATATTCAGACGGACTGTAAGCGACTTGCGGCTGGTGTGTGCGAATTCCTTCGTTCGACCACGAAGCCCATTGAGCCGCGTTGTTTTTCATCCGCCAGGAATTTTTGCATTCGCGTTTCACGCGTTTATCCGCTTAAGCGAGCATTCAGCTAAGCGAAATGGAAACTAGAGATAAACAATGGAGCGGAGAATCAATCGTGGATGCAGTCTCCACGGATATGAGCTTGCGAGTTCCGTGCTAAAACAACAGAGTCACGTAACGAGAAGGAGAGAGGAGGGAAATTAATTAGGTATACTCCTCGAGTGCACCAAGTTTTCCTTCGGCAGTGCCAATCCAGTAGCTAATCCGTATGTTATACAGTTAACCGCTTGCCGACTCTTTCGGAAAGAGCTTTCTCCGCTCATTAGAAATCGGCCTCCGCCGCGAAAGACTGACGGACGTAACCGCGCGCTCTTGCCGTCGTAATGAAATTCTTGCATTATTACCCGCGACAGTTGACGGAGCTTCTAATAAGCGCCGAAGGAGGTCGCGGTTGCGGAAAGAGTCGGCGATCGCGCTCGGCTCTCTCTCTCTCTCGGGGTGTGGAGGGAAGGGAGTTCGACTGGCGCAAAAGGCGATTCCGTACGCCCCATGCGCGCGCTATAGGCATTTCTCTCTCTCTCTCTCTCTTTTATATCGCGTGAACGAGGCCACGGGGCCAAGGCTGCGCGAGCGCGCGCACAGCTTATGCACTCGCGCGCCGTTTCTTCGCCGCCTCTGCATTTTGCATGTGCGTCTGATTTGCCTTTCTTCGATCCGCTTCGCACGCCGCGTTCGATTTGCCGCGCGTTCGCGCCCGACCGGACGACGCCTTTCTCTGCGCCCGACGCGCCAGCCGGACGATTGACCTGCGTTACGAACCGACTGTCGCGGGGGATGGCGTGCGCTGCGCGTCGCGCAATTCAAATTATCAGGGGGAGAGGGGCTACGATTAATTTCGCCCGCATTAATAACGAATTTCAATCTGAGCCTCGACGTTCGCGGCGCTCTCTGATTGAATTTCCAAATTCAATATCTCGCAAATTCAATTACATATGCGATTGTTTGAACGGAGATAAAGAAAGAAACACAAAAAACAAAAGAAAGAAAGGTCGATTTCGAAAGGAGACATGTGAAGAGACGAATCGATAGGTGCCTCGCGTTGAGCTTACCGTGCTTTCGGCCACATCGAGATCTAACATGTGTCCGTGTGCGTGTTGTGTTGCAGGTCGAGCTTGCGCTTGCTGTGGCTCTCCGAGCCGTCGCTACGCCGCCGGGTGCCCCAGGAGCCGCGCCTCTCGCGGTAGGGTAAGTCTCTCTTGCCTTCTGCTTTCTACCGTCTGCCGACGGGATTTCCGCTTTTTCACCCTCGTTAGTTACGAGGGCTACATTCGTCGTGGCGTCTGTCGTTTCTGTACCGAACCTCACGGCGCGAATAACGAATAACGAAACGGGAGCGAAGTCCCGTAACTATTACGCTTCGAGCGCAATAAAATTGTTTGCCGTCGAGAGGCAGAGAGAGAAACAGCTCGAAGCGCATCGCGGAAAAATTGCAGTGCCACTCAGAACATATACGCGGTTTCACGCTGCGCGCACCTTCGCGAGTCCTTCTCCTCGTTTGGCCTGTTGACTTTTCTCGTGCTCTCGAAGAAATTTTCGTCTGCGCGTACAGCCGGCGGCTGAAATCGATGAAGCTCAGGTGTCGCTAGACGGGGAGAAGAGAAAAGGTACGCGTAAAGCCTCGCCAGACAAACTTTATACGCGGCTCGTAAATCACGTCACGCGTTGTTGGTTTCCGTCTCTAGACGTGACCCCAGCGCGCGTGCTTTTCTCGTAGCGACGTGCTGTACCGAGGCGCAACAGCCAGCCTCGTTTTCAAAACTCCCGCCCGCGCTAATAATTATCCAAATTCGCAAAACCCTCCCCGAAAAAAAGGCTCAGCAGGAGAAAGGAAAAAAAACGTCCGACCGCGCAACTGAGCAGCCGGCCATTAGCGGCGAAACCAACCTCGTTTCCTTTTCCGCGCGGCCGCCACAAAGTGCCTCGACTTTTTCTCCGATTCATCATTTTTTTTTTCGCCCTCCGCGTACGTTCTATTTTAGCCTACCGCGGCGCGCCATAAATCAGCGTCGCGCGCGAGCAAGGGATCAAACGGTCCGTGTGACGCCGCAGAATCGATATCGCGCAACACACGTCAGCGCTTCCGCGCAGTGGCGTTGGCGTGTACACGCATACACACACACACACACATACGCGCAGCCTTTCGTTCGCTCTGACCCTTCGTCACTCGTGCGTAGCGCGGTTGAACGCAACGAATACGACTATAATGTCACCTGCCAAGATGTAGAGTAGGCTGGTCGGTTCGAGAGGAAGCGAACGCCAAGTAGTATTTTCGAAGATCTTGTGTCGTCGGGCAGATTTTCCGCAGTAAGAAGGCGGATTGCTCGCCCGATAACCCGATTAAGGCGGCCAAGTATAAACAAGGGGAGCTTGCGGTGATTCCGAGGTTTTATCTCGCTGGGAAAAGCCAAACGTAAACATTGTACTCACTCGATCAAATTAGTGTATTCATTGCACACAAGCCTGTAAATTATGAATAAATTGAAGACTAGAAACTAGTAGAAACGAGAGTACCTTGAAGTTTAAAATAGGAAGGAAAATTGGCGAGAAAGTTATGTGAATTTTCATACTGTTTCGTGAGTAATAGCCCATAGTCTTTCTTGGCAATTCTACATAATGGATTTGCAGACGCGCGAGCTTCGTTCCCGTTTGCCCATCTCTGCTGCCTTCGAAGCATCCCATCTATTTTCATCCCGGGCAAAACCACCGAAACCTCCCCTGGCGCGAGAGAGCTGTCAGACACCTCGAGCTCGATTCCCGATCGAGTAAGCTCGAGCTAACGAAGCGCCACTCGATCGAGGCGCCGACACGAAGAAAGAAAACACGAGCCTCGCGATTAAAGCAGCCTTGCCCCTAACCCTCTCTCTGTCTTTCTTTCTCTGTCGTCGCGTGATCCTTTCACCCAGTTTTCACCACCTTGGCGTGATGGGCGAAAGAGAGGGAGAGAACGCAGGTCAAGTTCTCGCGTCGCCAATCATTCCGACGGCTTCCATATAGTTTCGCTGAGTTTATTTTTAGAAGCGTTGTCGTGTTCTTCGCTTGTTTTACAATAGCGGCTCTTGCTAATCAGCTTTTATTGGATGCGATGTCAATCGATAAAGGCTGCTTTGCATTTCTTGCCGTCGTACTTTGCTTCGAGGAGATAGCGATGGATGGAACGAGGCTGTCCAAAATATCGATCGCTCAAAAATTAGTTTTGTATTTTGAATCAAATCATTTTATCAACTTCATTTGCGTCGCAAGTGCGATTTACGTCGCGATTTTAAAGACTCGACGGAAAGCGGTGGAATCGAGATATTTTTAGCGGTGTCAAGGTGCTTTTTACTTCATACGAATCGCATGTCACCCGCGACTGCAACGTCGGTTGAACTTGTTGTAACAATAATTCGAACGATCGTGTTTTTTTTTCTCTCATTTGTTTTCCTTTGCGGACTCTTTCGAGAGCTCGCAGAATAAAAACATCGATTTCGCTTGGTACGTTAACACTACGCTTATAGCTTCATTCACGGGAACAAACTATTCAAATCCACATGCAAAATATTGATAGTGCCTTGAAAAACTACATGTATTTTTACAAACGAACGCGCAGAAAAGAAAAAATAATTGCTCATACAACAAATTCACTTGCTGGCGGATGCTTTATATACAGAACAGAAGCTTATTCCAATGTCTGTACTATCTCTGACAATTTAACTAACTGAAAAGCCGATAAATGAACAAGTCGTCTATTTCGTACCTAACCAGCAATGAAGCTTTTTTTTATTACTCTCTTCCCGAAAATAAACTATCGCGGGGAATTTCCAGAGAACGCTATACGTTGAAAAACTCATCGTAGCAACGCTCTCCAGAAATTTTTTTATTACTTTTTTTTATCACTTTCTTTCCGAAAATAAGTTATCGCGGGGAATTTCCAGACAACGCTGTACGTTGGAAAACTCATTGTAGCAACGCTCTCCAGAAAGTCCTTTCAATAAACGAAACACCACTGCCATAACTTCCACGCAGTTTGTCACCCGTATCTTAATTAAACAATCACAAAAGCCAGAGAGTATAAGATCGATGCATCAGCCTCGAACTCGCCCGTCCCTCCACTCTAGGGAAAAAATGAAGCGGGGAAGGTAGGTCGAATTAATTAATACGCGGGGATGTTTCGATCGATGGGATGACGAATCATCGTACAAGATACGCAACTTTTTTCCTTCTTTATCGCGCGCTCCTACGGCCATCCATAAATTCATCAGTATCGTGCGAGGAAATCTATTATCTCTGCATCAGTTTCTGTCCATTAACGCCCACTTTCAGTAGTGCACATCAACGATGCGTGCGCCCAACAGTTTTCGCATGCGTCATGGCGCTGGCGAACAGCCGAAAATTTGTATCGCGTGGTTATATCCGGGCTAGTAGGCTATTTAGTTGAAGCCGAGTGGTCTTCTCGTAATTTCGACGACAATTTCACGTCCAGCATGTTCATTAACGCGGATACCGCGGTTGATTGAGTTTTTTCGCGTGCTCGCGAAGCTACAAAGTGCAGGTGTGTCATTTGACGATCTGAAAAAGAAGGCGGTTCGCAGTGGGAGTCGACTTCGAGAGCGGCCTGCTGGAATTCGAAATCCGTCCTTTTCAGAAATTGTCATCGCTTTCGTTTCTCGACGAAAAGACGAAAGCGAGAAGCCGGAAGATTTGCCGCGTGGTTTAGCGTATTGGCTCTGCAGGCGCGCCAGGCTCCACTGAAAACGTCCAACAAGATTTTTTCAAACGGATTGGGAGGTTATCAAGCGGTCTTACAAGAGGGAATAACCCCATCGTTCCAGAAACACAATTTAATCCTCTGCCAAGCTACAGCAGCAGTAGCACGCCACTATCTCAAAGACTATGCGGCAAAAGCTTCACGGCTCTTTCCGTATTCCAGTCGGCGCGACCTTTGAGAGGAGGCGACGCCAAGTCTGCGCTCCTTTGCGCGTACGCGCGCGGCCAGCCAATGAAAGCGATCGATTCGCGGCTTTCCATCTCGCGACGGCGGCGACGCAGCTGCTCGTCGTAATGAATCTGATTGAATGACGCGCGATGATGCGAATCATGAATTACGAGCACGTTGTTAAAGCCGTCAAAGGCCAATTTTTTCGAAAGACAAATGGACGATTTTAATTAAAATGCCGCCGATGACGACGCCTCGCGCAAAGCGTATATAACCGGCCGATCCATTAATATCCCTCGCACGGACTTTCCTTCCGACGTCATGTTTCATTGTTCCAAGTCCAAATTTTTAACAATCCTATTCTCGCGTTCGCTTTGCGCACCTTCGCTAAAAGGAGGCGATTAATTGTTGTCTAGCATGTGACGGGTGTCCAGCGCGTCGCCGGCCAGTACGCGAAAAGGAGCGAGGGAAAAGGGTCAACCACCTCGCTCGCGCGCCACAGTCGACCTTCTCTAAATATTTAAGCTCACTCGCGGCGCTACGATTAAACGAACGTTGGCATATACACACAAACACACACGCGCACCTCTAATTACTCGAGTTCGTTGCTTTTTCTTATCTCGGGATTCCCAAACAGAAACAAAGCGCTTGACCGTTTGGTCGAATCATTATTTTGCCTTGCGTTTTCTCAGCAAATAAATAAAACGATCGCCGGCATTCTATGTCCCTACATGGCAATACAATGACTAGCCCCCAGTTGTTTAACCGTACGGAGTAATCATACTGTACGATAACATCAATAAAATCTCAGTTGAGACCAATAAATAGCGAAATTAAGTGCGTGGCAGTGTATTATTATGCTGTTGTGTGTTGATATTAAGAACTCGGGTAGCCTGAATGATTTTATTGTTTATGCTTCTGTTTAATAAACACAGCTATTTTCTTTTCAATAAATAATCGTTCTATTCACTGTGTGTACGTGTGGTTGTTATATATTGGGGGCTCGTCCAAGATATTAATGGAAAAACTGATAAAAATCGACGATGTCTAAAATGGAAAAATGGAGGAAAACATCCCCCAGCCGCCAATATCAACAACACAGAATCGGACCACGCTCTGCCACTATTTATCAAAATTCACACACAACAAATAAGACTGATATCGTTGACTTTCACTGTGTCTCGTAGCTTGCGAATCCTTAATTTACTCAACAACAGAGAAGATAGCCGAGATGATCACTGATACTGATTTATAACTTCCACTGGATTCGATACTTGCAGCTCTTCCTACCAATGATGAACCGATATGTGCTGCAAACTAAAGACAAGACTTAACGAGGTACATCGTTTTTTAAGACAAAACATTGACATTTCATATGAACGAATGAAGAGACTACGATTCAACAGTACGACGCGTTAATTTTTAGGATGATTAAAAGGTCTGGTTTTTCAGTCCTCAATGACTAAAGAGTAACATGCTGAAGCTTGAGAGCAATTCGAAAGGACCATACAAGAATATCAACAAATCGACAATATTATTTTCTGTATTCACATAGATCGATTAGCAATTCATCACGACAGATGATTCCGTCTGTTAGCAACAGAACAAATGCTGGATCCAGGACAGAGCTGTGGTACCATGGTGTGCCAACCGCCTACTCTTATCCAAAGTTCCAATGATAACTCATAACTCACTGTTGATAACAATCATTCTAAAATATTAATGTGGCCAGTCACTTTTAAGAGACGGATCTGTGATAAGAACAGTTAAAGTTCATGTCGCTCGATAAGTGATAATTTGATGATGTTCAGTCTGTTTCCAGAGGATGAACCAACTTAAGAGACAAGCCCAGAGCAATGTGTGAAGGTTCAATTCGCTTAAAAAGGATTTGTTGAGGAGGAGAGGTTGACTTTTTAAGAGACGGGTCCTTGATCAGATGAACTAGCAATCAACTTGTTTGAAGAAAGCGGCCTTTTTTGCAGAGTGTCAAAGAAGCAATTTAAAAGAAGAAGGGATAGAGTTGTATATTGAATATGCGAGTAACAGAAGCATAGACAAGGAATTTGTTTATTTGCCTTTTCATTCTACTTTCATTTAACCAGTTGTTGAGAATTGAGTTTGACGTTGAGAGCTGAAGTAACCTGATGGGTTTTATTGTTTGCATTTGTGTTCGTTAAACACAGTTGTTTTCCTTTTTGATAAACATTCCTTCTATTTATCGTGTGTACGCGTGGCTGTTACAGTACTATAGCACGGCATGGCTATTTGCGCAAAAAGGAGAGTAGCGCACGTGACTCGCCGCGAGGTGGTGGCCGTCGCCACCGCGCCGCAACACGCGCGTATTGATCGCTCGCAAAAGCTGCCCGCCGACCTTATACTACATCGCGTATATATACACGCGGAACGTATCAGCTGTGCAACCGGTCGACGTTGGATAATTAGCGCGCGCTGCTACGTTTCGGCAATGTTCCTCATATAATTGCGCTTGATGTCCTCGCTGAAAGCCGAACGCTTGCGTTTCAATTTATAGTTTATGGGGCACGATCGCGCTGCGATTGGATGGATGCGTTACGATCGAACAAAAATGATTAGAAGATGTTTTCATGTACAATTATGTTTGCGAATAGCCACTGTTGTGAACCCATTATTTTACAGAATGCTGTATCCTATATCCGTAAAGTTTCGAAGATTATTCAGAAGGTTTTCAACGCAAACTTTTTCGACAAATACAAAATTCATTCAAGATACTTGCCAAATTTTGGAAATTTGTGATTGCCAATATTTTCTTTTTTGTTAGAATTGAATGTTAGAGACAAATCTAATATTTGTACTAGTTTTTAACCAAGAAAAAATCGGATAATTGACAATTAGATGAAATTTTATAAGAATGAATTTCTTACGATAAATTTCCGCGACCTAACCATCTGATAAAATTTGTTGCTTAGCAGCGTTATAGCAAAAACTAATTAGTGTGAAATCCATGGTATAAGATCTCGTTTTACAGCACTTGAAAACAACTTTGAAAAAAACGTTTTCATACTTCGAAAACTTCGCTTGCAGTCAAAAGTTGTAGCTGATTAATTTTTTTCTTTCTTCGCTATTTTAAACGAAATACTTCACTTCCACCGAACAATTGATAAACTTGTCAGTAAGCACGCTTGAAACGTGAATCTGGTTATGACGAGTGCATTGTTAGACACTGTGAGAGTAACTGATAACGACAAGAATAATAAAAATCTTTCGTTGTCTATAGAAACCGCTTCGTTGCTTTATACAGTTTTTACAAATTTTTTTTATTGCGATTTCTCTTACAATAGCCGCGAACGCCAGATAAAAGACCATAATCAGTACACGTATATCCTGAGCAGCACAAATCAATCTTCCTGCCGCGTTCTATTTTCTCACAGTAATTTGTCCAGTATCGTTGATGGAAAATAGATCCGCTTGTAAGTAATTTGCAGTACAGGTCCCTAAAAATAAACCAAAAGTTTTTAAAACAAACCCGTGCTTTGTTTTACAAAGTGCTCTACTTTGCTAGTTATTTATGTAGTGTGAGAAGGTAAGATTTTTAAACATACAATGTATATTTTTTTTAAATATCCAAAAATATTCGAAAGATATATGTGTATATTCCGCATAAACATAGTTCTCCAAGTAATAACGACAATAACAACAATAGCAACGCGCTTTCATGCAGAATAAAATGTAGAAAAAAAAGAGACGACGTCTAGCGGTGCAAAAAGATAATATTTCGAATGTGGCAAATTTAATATACGTACGCATATGGACCGGATAATGTTAATTCGTCTGCAGCATTTACACTAAGATAGTTTAATTTTGCTGAAATCATACCAAATAGAAATAGCTTAAAAGTTTTTAGAGACAACGGGAGATGAATGAATTTCAACGTGAATACATATTTCGCATTATATTTTTATCAAAAACTCGTTGATTTACTTACGCACTAAAAGTTTAGTTTTCGGATCAACATAAAGTATACCATCGTATCCGTGCTCCTCCATGTTAGTTTTAATTTTTCGAGCTTCAATTGTGATATGAAGTAAACTGTCACAGCCAATGAGTAAAAATGCAACAAAGATATTCTTCATCGGTTATTCGACAAATCTTACTATGTTGAATTATCAAATAAATGCTTGATTGCAGCACTGGTTGCAGTTCTGGTAACAATTTTTGTTTTCTACAAAACGACAGATAATACGTAACAGTATAGCTGAGTTGAAAAATAATGTGTAAAACACTAGCGATTGCAAACAACGCTAATTTATTAAAAGCTCCTGAAAAGGCAATCGGTCTGATAAGGGAACGTTGAACAAATGAAGAGATCTATAATATTGCCTGTTAGATATGTACGTATTCGTTGATTTAATATTTATTTTTATAACTGCTCGTTCATTTATGTAAGATTATTGTTAATACGGATTATTGTTAATAATTTGACAACGATAGCTGCTGGAATTTTTCATTCGATACATTTTCACCTGGCAGGATACTTCGTTGTTAAGAGCATTTTTCAAGCATTTTTCGTCTCATAAAAATGAATGAATCGTGTAATATATCGAACAAATTCAACTTGCAAAGATAGAATTAGTACGTTTATTTTTGTTCGTATGGTTATTACATTGGAAGTTATGATTAGCATTACTACTCGTACTAATCGAACATGAATAATTTATAAACATGCCCATGCGTTTCTCAATTATGATTATCAAACAAGTATTTGATAAAATACTCGATAACGAAAACACAGAAAAGAATAAATTATATTTCTTTTTCCCCTCGTACATCGCGTGTGAAGTGCGTAAATTTATCGATTACGAAAACTCGGGGAAAAAAAAGAAATGTTGTCTCCACTGAAAAAATGTCTGCCCGAGTCGAGCAAACGTTCTCTTCCAAGGCGATGCCAAGAGGCAAAGAACGAATCGCAAAGCGTATAATTCGCAGCTCGTTGCGAGTCGCTCGCGAGACGGCAGTCTGGCGAAGAAAGACGAGTCGACCCCCGCGAGACGGCAGCGGCGTTCTTTTCCTTTCGTCGTTCCACCTGCGCCCTTGGCGTTGCGCAATTACCATTGAATTCGTTGAACTGCAACCGAGCTCTCGGCATTAATTAACTCGAGGCCGCGTCGCTGTATTTCGTGTATCCTATCTTTGTAATCTCACGTTGCTGCGCGGGCTCTAAGTAATCACGAGCACGAAGCAGCAACGCAACGCTTTTGTTCGTTCCTTTTTTCCCTTTTCTATCATGCTCAGAGAGGGGATTTACTTTCGAGACAATGTCAAGTCAGGCGAGTGGATTAAGCGCCGACGGCTTGGAAAACGTTCGTATTCCGAACGACTGACCTCGAAGAATCGCGGAATTGGGAAACCGAACTTGAAGAGAGAAAATAGCGTGGACGAGTGACAAACAATTCTTGGGCTCTCTTTCGGTCTCTCTCTCTCTCTCTCTCTCTCTCTCTCTCTCTCTGTCGTGATGTCGAAACGGAATATACGTATGCGGGAGTAAATACGGGATCTTTCCGGCTTCGGAAATCCGAAACGGCTTTCGTTTTGGATTGACGCAGGTGCATTTCTCGTTGATATTCTCTCGGCTGTTCGACGCCAATAGTACATTTTCCCATTTGTCCTCGAAGTTTTCCGAAAGTCGACGCGGTTGAGAATTTGCAGCAAAAATAGTTCGGCGCCATCGAGCCGATTCGTTAGCCTTTCGGGGGCTTGACGAGGAAACAGAGCGAACGAGCTAGTCGAGTTTGGAGCGGATATGCGCCAGAAAAAAGCTTAATTGAAAGGAATCATCGGTCGCTCGGCGCGGCGCTGGAACTCGCGGAGTCTATTTTCACGGATATAATAACGCTCGAGTATGGCGCCTCGCAGAGGCCAAACGAGATTTATTTTCATCCGACTGCGCATATACATCGACGTTGAATACTGCTTGAAAAATGTGTTTCCGCGCCGCGCGCGCACAAATTGGAAACAGTCACTCGACTAATTGATGAAAAATGGAAAATCGTTAATGCGGTAGCAAGACTTGGCCGCTCGATCGATTTAATCCAGCAGAGCCGCGATGGATCCGGTGGATCGAGTAACGAGCGATCGATCCTCGTTGCGTAATGACGAGAGCGCCGCGAATAGATGTCGGCTCTCGCAGCCGTCGATCCGTTTGGACGAGCGAGTGAGCCGAATCCGGATACATATCGACGCGGAGACTTTATCGGTCTACCCCTCGGCCAGTAGAAGATGCCTGCTGTAAAGTCAAGAAAGAGAGAGAGAGAGAGAGAGAGAGAGAGAAATTCGCTTTCGATGGGAAATTCACTTTCGCGTTGCGCCTGAAAATATACGCCGAGTGAAACCGACGCGCGTCTTTTATTCTTCTTCGAGCTAATAAACTGGTATCACGCTGCCAGCTTCCCTTTTCATCAGAGGATCGTAATGAATCTAATCCTGCTATTGATAAAGATACCTGTTCGATTATTAATCGCCTACAGCCTAGCCTACAGTCACCTTCGGCGGACACACGCGGGCCCACATATGTGACGTTACGTAAGAGTAGCTCATGCGATTTTTTTCCCATTTGGATAAACTCATCAAAGTCTTTCTTCGGTATTTCCATTCGATGAAACTAAAGTTTTTCGATGGGTTATCACCGCATTTGCCGATCATATTATTATTAACAGTTTGTCAATAATTTGCCAAGCAATCCAAAAACAACAGCCTATTGCAAAAAGAAAAACAATTTCGCAAGTGATTGCTGAAGAATTGCTAATGATTGAGCCCAACAACAATCCAGCCCGTGAACTCAGAATCAACGCGTCAAAGCACGCAAGAAAATTGTCGGTGAATTCATTCTGATTAATCTTGGTTCCTCGACTAATAGAAATTGTCGTAAGGCCGATTCAGTTTGAATTGATAATTGAAATGAATATATACTCACCAGGGTTACACGGTACAAGCCCTCGACGACTCGACGGATGATTAAGTTTTGGTTCTACAGTCGGCTCGTTAAAAGACCAGCGATAGTTTCCGTTAGTATTCAGTTTAATGGCATAGCATCACTCAAAACTTTTATTGTGCCACGAGCGCGGCCACATGAGAGTCACTCGAAGTGCGCGCCGAGTTAGATTCGGCGCGACCAGGGAGGCATTCAAACTCGGGCAGCGCACGCTCGCGTAAAAATTCTTAAACTGACCAGTTTACTTTACTTTATTAGACGATAGTGGCTTTTCAGCCAGTACTCCATGCGTAGCTTTCGTTCAATACATGTTGTGGAGGAGAGGGGCCCTTTTCGAGAAGCATCTGGACTACTTTTCACATACCATATAGACATAAATCCTATATGGTATCTAGAGTGTTAAATTACTAGATGCTGAACTTACAGCTTAAGGTGGATTCCGAATCAGCAGAGTCGCGATATTAATTTCGGCACACGCCCTTCTTGAAAAAAAAAGCCATTGATACTCGCCGGGAGTCGAACCCCAGACTCCCGCATGGGAGACCGATGTTCTATACACTGATTCTCCCTGCTTCTTTTCGCACTGACTATCTACCATGCCAATTCTTAATGTATCGTAGATGTTACTTTTCAAACTTAAGTTTTTCTTGTTTATTCACAAGCTTGGAACGAGTCTGGTAAAACGTTTATTTATACGTATAATTGAGTAACGTTGAATGAGGTTTGACCGAACATTGACTAATTTTTATTTGCGAATCATTAAAAAAAGTTTGCTAAAAATATTTCCCAAATTTATCCGAAAAAATCGATCGAATAACCAAGATTAGCATCGTCTCATAGGACAATTTTTACCAAGCTTTATCCAACGCAAATTTGCCAAACAATTCGCAAAAATTAACATTTTTTTTATTTTTGTCTCTCGTTTTCAATTGATAAGACTTATACAGTACATTGCAATTCTAATTACATTTATTTCACATACCTAACCGTATCTTCAAAGATCAGACGGCGACTAAAAACAATCCTCTGTCTGTCGCAATTGACAAAAATAAATATTCTAAAATACACTAGTCATTAAAAATTTTCATCATTTCAAATATCTCAAAATCAGCAATTGAAAAGACTGAAGAATACAGTAAAAAACGTAGTAAAAATTTAAAAAACAATATAGCTTTTACGATTGTATTATGCACTTTTCATGAGGCTAATAACAAGCTTTGGTAAACGTCCCACGGTTGCTGATACAGCTAATGTCGTTTTGATGGACATTATTAGACACAAATATTTTGATTTGTTTAACAGAATGAGTCATCACGGATAATAATAATCGTGATCGATGAGGAAAAACATCAATAGAATAAACTTAAACACTTGTACTATACTATTGAACGTTTCTCCTATCTGATTGCCGTACTCTTCGAGAAAATTTGTTTATTTAAACAACATTAAAAATCGTAACAATTAACAAATATAAATTGTAATGAAATATTCTGTAGACTTTTTAAGTTCACTTAAACTAATTATATGACAGAATTATTGTAAGTAACGTAATACTTTGTCGTATATTCAACCTTTCCTTCTATGAATAATTTTTTAAGTAATAGATAAGAAGTAACATTGCATGTCGTGACTTTTGTCGATTATATAGGCCTGCATATTTGTCAACGTTACTTGTAGCTAACTGAGTAATTTCGATGAAAATGTAACGTGAAATCGAAGTGGATTAACGTGCGTGTGAATTGGTCTAAAGCTATGTACAGCTTAACGATTTGAAGCTAATATTTGACCATTGCACTTTACAAGTGAGCTAATCTATTATGTTGAGAATTTAAGAATTTTGTAACGTCTAGTTTATTAATAGTATTTTCGTTGAATTCAATAAATAACATTTCGAACAATGGACGAGGAAACTCTTATTTCGATTCGTGACAGAACTTTAAAAACAATACAATTGACGTGACGCGCCTAGGACGAGACACGAATGCAATACGACTCACACGCGTCATGTCAACTCTAGTATTTTTCGAAGCTTTTTTGCTCTCGAATCGATTGTTCGAACGAATTTAAATTATTTTTTTCATGACATTACACGTGAAAAGATGAAAGAACAGTTGCAAAGAGTAATTGCTGTGCAAAATTTATCAACGACAATATTTTACAATGCAACAAATAGAAATAATCAATCATTCACAGGACAAACTCTATCCTTTGAAGAAGCCGAAAATCTTAAGATTTCATCTTGAAGCAATTAACAAATACGTAGTGCTGAACGTTATAGGTAATAACGAGGGATGGCCATTTGGCGCATTAACCGGACAGAGCAGGACGACTTTATCTGGAGCTGCGCATCGTCGATAGCAGTGGTAGGCTGGCCGCTGCCACCGCCGCAGTGAGATCTGTGCAAGAGGGACAATCCTCTCTAGGGAGCTTTTACGATCTCTCTCTCTCTCTCTCTCTCTCTCTCTCTCTCTCTCTCTCCCTGACGTAATGGACCTCGGAATTTGTGGATACGCATTGCGTGCGCTACAGTCGCTCATTACTTACTCCGAAATTTTGTACTCGTTTGCTTCGTATAAATGTCACTTCTCAAATGGTTGTACTGCTGATGCGTAAAGAGATTTTTTATGAAACTACCGAATAAAAATGAACACTTTCGATTCGTCAATGCTGGGATATACCATTAAATACTTAAGATAAAGTTGTTTGTAAATCGACATCGTTGTTTTATAGTTGGCTTTTTATTGGGATGATTTTTATTGTCAATTTCGATTCAATAATGTACAACTGTATGATTGTAATTGTGAAAATTCGTAACGTTTGATTTCGTTAATACTTGTCGAGCAAGATTTTGCGATATCTTGGAAACGTCGACAAAAATGTTGGACAAAGTTATATACCTGTCGTCTTCGACGAAAAATATTTAAAAAATACGCGAATAATTCGAATATGGTAGGAATTTACGATATAATTCGCAAAAGGTAGGGAATCTAAAGCTCGCAGATATAAAAGTAGTTCCAAGAGAATAGCAAATACGACTTCAATTAAGCCAATCGCACAGCCAAAGCAAAACAGAAAAAGTTTGGACAGAGCGGTTCATATGTAACAATCCAACGACGCACAATACTACAAAAAGTTTTCTCTCTGCAGGGAATTTGATTTTCTCTGGCCCGCGCGTGACTTTGCAATCACGATTGTCCCTCTGGGGCAAAGTCCAGCGTGTGTATCGGTTACGAATTATCGATACCATATAACGCCTTCGGGCAGTATGTGTATACATAAAGAAAGAGTAATAAAGTGACCGGGATGCAATTAACGTCAAGGGGGAGACGTGTCGCGAAATTCAAACGGAAACTTGGCTGTGCTGCATACGCGATCCCCCTTGGAGCTACTGATTAGCCTTAATAACTTGGTGCGCGATTAGAAACTCGGAAAGCTTAGTTTATTACGTGCTGTTTGTGTTCCGCTCGGTAAAAGCCCAGGAGGGAAAAAAAAGTTACGTAGTAACCCAGCGCATCTTTATCTAATTCAGCGTTATATCAGAGAAAACTTTATTAGTCTTTAACGCAAGATTCACAAACGTGATCGCGAAGAATCCCATTCGCATTAATCGCATTAAACAGACGAATGAATCGTACTTGCTAAACGTGAACCTTTTGTACGGCGACCTAACGCCCACCGACACTAATTGGCCATTGTCGAATTTACGGCGGAAAAATAATACGGGAGCCAAGGTTTCACGCAATTTCAATTTGACAGACACTTCCCATTCCTGCTACGGCTTGACTATGAATTTTTCGCTTGCTCCAGCGCGGATTTCAATCGCGAAGTTTGCCGAGTAGCGCTAGAGCGAGTGGAAAGTTTGGGACGATCAATCGTCGCACAATTAAGTAGGCGCGTAGCGCCTCTTTACGGTTATTGGCGAACCGCTCCCAAAACTTGTTTTCGGGTCCAACGTTGTCATCTCGAATTTTCGCGTCTGAAACTTCCTCAACGGGTAACCATCGAAGCGGCTCCCTTTGAAATCGCGGATGTGTTGTTGAGCGCTTCGCGAAATAAATAGAAGCGAAAGGAAATTAACCAACGGGACGGCCAACGGGCGATTAACCTTATTGCTTGAACTTTTCCTCTCCTTTTCGTCCAACAATTAGGCAATTGCATTTATGATTATGCATATAACGAGATGATCAGTAATGTATTTCTGTTACGATTGTTCGGAGTAGGCAGGAAATTAGCGAAGTTAGGGTAACGAGTGACTTGTCGACGAATTGAGTAATCTGGGAAGTTGGCAAATTTGAATATGAATGTATTCAATGCGGTTCCTAAGTTGTAACCAGCTCATAATCCAAGGTGCGAGGCAATTTTGGACATTCATTGAGTATAATTAACAGCGGAAAGCTAGCCGTCCGGCATACAAGTTGAGAAGGTGCGGCTTTAATTAGACGCACGCTAACAATTGTTTTGTTTTGTTGCAGATGACATAGAATGGGTTGGGCGGCGCTAGGGCGGCGTGCGGGTGGTGGCGGCCGCTTCTCGCCAATCCTCTCGCTGTCTCTCGCCTCCCTCGCGAGCTCCCTGATACTCGTCGTGCTCTGCCTGCTCACGTCGGCGATCACCCTTGCCACCTTCATCAAGGCCGAAGACATGTAGGTATCTCGCGACGGAGGCTCTTTTGGCCGGTGGTCTCTCTCTCTCTCTCTCTCTCTCTCTCTCTCTCTCTCTCTCTCTCTCTCTCTCTCTCTCTCTCTCTCTCGACTGACACTCGACGTCGGCGTTGCTGTTTGTTCGCAGCTTCGAGGAGGGCAAATCGGACAAGGAGATCTTGGATAATCTGCTACTGTCGACGCGTTACGACAAGCGTCTGTTGCCACCGGTGCAAGGTACCTTGAGGCCACCGCCCTCGACTCGGCAATTAGACGACGGCGAGGCCAGCGAAGCCGCCGACGAGCTTGTCGACTCGATCGACGACGCTACCGCCTCGCCGCCAACGCCACCTTACCAGCACCAATATCATCATCACCATCACCGGCACCACCACCAATTCCACAAAACAGCACCACACAACCACAGTTCACTGTTCACTTCCCGTCGAAAGGGTATTCAAACTTACCGAGCCAGCGAGAAAAGTCGGATTTCGCTCTGACGCCCGCTGATACTTTTCTCTTTATTTCTTCTTCTTCTTTTTTTACGGCCTTGTGCCTTATCCAGCTACCTTACCTTACCCGGCTACTGCGAAAATCTCGACGACATTTTGATCTCGAACGAGCCGCGATGTCGCATTAGCCGGGGGAGAGGGGCTGCGACGCATAAGCGAGTTACTTGTTTTTGCCTAACACGCGGCGCAAAGCACTTTGCCAAAGAGCGCTGAGAAAAAAAGACTTTTCCTTTGTTGTCGTTCTCGCTGCGCTGGTGCGACGCTGCGCTCCTGAGAGCGCGCATCGCACAAGTGTAATTGGTCGTCGGCCTCTCCCTCGCCGTGGCACGGGTCTGGCCGAACGGTACGTGGGCTCGCTGTAATTCGACGAGCGCGCGCTCCGTCGGCTCACCCGGACGTCCTCTCTTTGGGGGCACACCGGATTAACGGCTGAGAGACGATCGACGCATTTTTTTTCATTTGTTTTCTTTTTTTACCGTTAACGATAAAACGCGGATAAAGATAAAGCGAAACGAGCCGTAAAACATTGAAACGGCGTGGTCGGTGGACGCGTCGCGTAATAATGGCGAATCCATAACTTCTCGACGACGACTTATAGCGCAATATAGCGCGAAATCCCACGAGTCGTCGCAGCCGCGAGCGATTGGCCGTTCCAGCGCTGCGCCACTCCCCGAGAGCCACGGACTGCGAAACGGCCGAATTCGTCAGTTCGGAACAAGCCAGTCTCGCGTCCCCGCCTGCCCGGCTTTAGAATCTCCGTCCGCAAAGATCCAGATCGTTCGGGCATCTCGGCGATGCGCCGAGCTTTCAGGTATGAAAGTATTCCGATAATGAAAAAGTCTCGCGCGAGCGGGACTGGCGAATCTCTCGTTTCCGGATAGGACTCGATCGGCGCGCAATAAAGCTCGCCGCGCCGAAAGAATGCCGAAGCGGATAGCGAGAAGCGCGCTCGTTTCCCGAAACCCCGTCCGGAAGTCCAATTAATCCAATCCCGTCGACTCGGCCGAGTTTTCCATCGTCGCGCCGGACGCAACTATCGGCCCGCGACGGGGAAAGCAAGGGGAAAGTTTGTCTGTCGCGTGTCTCTTCCGGGCCGATCTCATCTGCATAGAAATCCAATCGAGTCGGTTCTCAATGGCGTCTCGTCGCTGCGGCTCTGCGAAACGAAAAATTTATCCTCGCTCGCCGTGCTCGAAGGGAGCGCGGGCGTACTGCCGGTAAGTAAGGCCAACGGACAAACGTGGAAAATGCACTCGCTTTGCGCGCTTCCGCACGCACGGAGATCTCTTTCGATCGCGCGAAAACGTAAAAAACAAAAAATATATATATACACAAAAGGGAGCCCGGATAATTGGATCTCGGCTTAGAGAAAGTAGGCCGAGTAAAGGCGCGGGCTGCTTAAGAGTTCATTACGCCGCGCTAGAGAAACGATCTCGTCGTATAAACAAGCCCAAGACGCTGCAACTGCATTGCCGAGGCTCGCCCCGGGCTCGAAGCAGCACAAAAGGCATCCCCGACGGCGAAATGAAATTTTCTCCGGCCGTCCGCACGGCGCAAACTTCCGCCGCCGCCGCGCGCGGCCTTTGTTTCGTCTGACGCTTACAAGCGGCTCTCCTTCTCGCAGCTCGCGCGGCGAGGAAAATTCGCCCCCCGCCCCCTCCTTGACCCGCTGACGCGGAGCACGACAAGTTATCGGTCCGGAAATTCCTCGCGACCCTTAGAAAAGGTAAGAACGACGTTGCGATTGTTCGGGATGACTGATCGGCAGCGCGCGCGAACGAGACCAGAGCCGCAATCAGGCCGTCGTGGAATTCGCGATAGATCGGCGCGAAACGCCTCGGCTGCAGTGGTGAAACGATCGAATTTCGAGAGTTACCACGGGCAACGGAGGAGAGACAGAAAGAGAGAAAGGAAGAGAACGGATCCTCGGGGCAAGAAAACCGAGCGCAGGGTTATTTCCGCGACGCGTTGTCGTTAATTAAGCGAGCGCCCCGGACGAACACAGTTTTCGGCGAAAGGGGCTCCTTGCACGCGCAGTAGAGAGCGAGGGCAGATTGTGTTTCTTTGCCTCGTAGGCTCTTTTTGTTCTGTAAATACGCCGCCGCCGCCGCCGCCGCCGCCGCCGCCGCCACCGCCGCACGCAATATGCGTCCGCTTCTTTTCGCTTTCGTCATGGTGTCCTTGTTTGCTTACGAGAGGGAACGTTGGATCGTAGAATTGAGCAATCTGTCGTGCTTTGTTTATTCATTGCGTATCCAATCAGCGACGACGATGGAAACGAAAACACGAATACACGCAGCTGTAGCCTCCCTATTCAGTCAGTCCATACCAACCGAGGAATGACCACCACAGACAAATACTTGACATCCATGTATATATTCGCTTTTCATTTTCTACCGAATTGTAATGTCTCTAATCGTTTCGCTCTATACACACATTCATACATCTACATCGTCTTTTTACTTTGTGTCTCTTTTTCTCTCCTTCATTCTTCATTTTGCTCTATTCTGAGTATTGCAAGTAATATCCATTAATCTTTAGAATACGTATCGATATAATTTGATTGATATATCACTAACTTGGTATGAGTATTGCGTGTGTATGTCTAACATTCTTTTTTAATACTTAACTAGATTGGTTCGATCAATACCTCGTGTAAATTTGGACATTCTCCCATCATCCACCGACATTTGCGAAAGTAATCCATGTAGTTATTTACAAATCGACTAATAACGCGAGTGATCGATGTGACTGGCAATATAGCAGAATACTCGTAGTACAGCGCGCAAAGTCACTTACAAACGAACTGAAAAAGTGCCGCGCTGAAATCCAAAGTGCAGTAAAAAATAAATGTTGGCCTGTACACACGGCCGGCACACAATAACTGCATGGCTTACTCGGCAACGAGCCAATTATGCCGGTACACACGTACAAAAGGAAAAAAGAGAAAGAATAAACGCCAGTTTCGAAATCAATGGACTGGCGCGTTGCCGACGCCTTCTTTTGTTACGAAAATCGAAAAATGAACAGACGTTGGGATTTGAGAGAATGAACGCAGGCTGTGTGTGTTTTATCCCTTCATATTTTTTATAACATGAAATAAAGGTGGTTTTTATCGCACCGATGCATAAGAAAGTACATATCGACTCGACTAACGGATCTTTTTTCCTGATAGAAAATTCAGCGACACATAAAGTGTTAAAAAGTTACCTATAAAGAACACCTACGAAAAGAACCGCCTTTGAATCATTCACCTCCTGCACATCGCAACCCATTGTCTCACCCGACCAATCGCGAAACAATGACGAGGAGGATTTGAAAGGAAAGGGGGAGAGATGTGGCTGCCACGTGTGTTGGGTGTTCCAGATGCGGATTTCTGCTGCGGGATGCGCCGGCCAGGAGACGCGCTCGACGCTGCCGCATCCGCCGCGACGGACGGCTCCTCTGCGTCTCCGGCATCTCCGGCCAAGACCAAAAACATCTACACGCCGCACCAACACCTACGCACTCACCTTCGCGGTCCGTTTCTCTGTTCCTCCCTTCAATCTTTGTCTTCTTGACAATTATCTCTCTCCCTCTCTCTCTTTCTCTCTCTCTCTCTCTCTCTCTCTCTCTCTCTCTCTCTCTCTCTCTCTTGCTTTATCCTACTTTTCTCCGTGTTCACTTTCTTTCTCTGCTCTTCCGTTTGCCTCCTTTTCGCGGGCTGTCTGTGTACGACGTGTATTATGCTTGTGTTTCACGACGGTTGAAATTTACGTGTGGATGGACATTACTAGAATACTTGTGTTTAATGACGTTACCATTTTGATCGATGATACGATAGTTTATAGGTTAGGTCTAACATATTAGCTAGTTGGTAAAAACACCCATAATTTTAAGGTTTTAATTGTTCAATGTTAAAATGCATGACAATGATACAACCTTGTTTTGTTTGCAAACGTTAGTGACTTAAATTTAGAAGTGGAACATAGCGAAAGTTGGTCCAGACGTAGGTAATATTACTGCCATGTTACATGTTGATATTGAAGGGCTCTAGAGGCGAGTGTCCTAAAAAGTAGCACATTGGCTTTCAATAACCGAGTTTGAATAATGCAGCGAGTGCGAGAGCAAAAAGTGGAATTTCAATGTTTGATGAAGGCAGAGTTTGAAATTTTTTGACTGCCACGCTCGCCGAGCGCCAAAATATCTAACGAGGGGAGAGAAGATTAACGAGCAACCTATCCAATCGGATTTTCCACTCAGACAGTGCAGAGAAGAAGAGGACAAGCAGGAACCCTCCGATAACGAGACTCTCTCTCCCTCTCTCTCTCTTTCTCTCCCTCTCTCTTATTCTTCTTTTTTCCTTCGCCACGCGACTCCAGGTTGAATAATTCATAGGCGCCGCCGTGAAGCTTGTGTCCCTTCTTGTTATTTGCACCTCGGCTCGTGTGCACGCGAATCGTCGCTGTGTTTGCGTCGCCTGGGACATTTCGCTCTGGATTCTCTCGATCATTCACGCGAGACCTCGGCGAATCAGCGAATCTCGCTTGGGATCCGAAGCGAGACACATTGCGTATTTTTCCTCTCGATGCATTTGTTTATTCCTATTATATGATCTTTGGTGTCCTCGTATCGTGCACGTTTTTATGACATACCGACACTCGTGCACTACACACACCCGCGCGCACACGGATACACACAGAAACACGATTCTATGACAATATCTCACCACGAACTCACGGCAAAGATGCACAGACTGCAGCGTTCCATTAAAATCTTTCTTCCTCGGCGTCACTCATCTCCCTCGCCTTGAATCAAATTCGTTCGTCAATCATAGTAGAAAACTCATTTATAGGCGTGGTCGAAAATATTGATTCTCCTTTTTCGCAGCAGCGCTGGCCCGCTGCCAACGCTAATAACGTTAAAGCAGCTTAAGGGAAAACAAAAACCGGACCTCGCGCCTCTTTCCGCGGAAACGCTTCATCAGATTTTCCCGTTGAACTTAATTGAATTGTTTTTGTTCTATGCTTCTTTTTGTTAGAGCCTCCGAGGCTGTTGAAAATGAATGAAACGCGGAATCGGACAAATTGAAATTGAGAAAGTCCGTTTCTCTATTGTTCGGGCTATTTTATTTTTGTTTTTGACCCACAGCGAAGCAGCGCGGCTGATTCGTGAAAAATTTTTAATTCCGCTAAGAGCTCGCGGGCGCGTAATATATTCGGGGATTGTCCGACTGCGCGACGTTTCCATGCCGATGTCGCTCGAAACGCTCGACGCACTTTTGAAATCGCCCGAAATAATTACGTCCCCCGTGCATCCGTTCGTATGACAGACGATCGAGTGATAACGAATATCACATTCGCCCGCGTAGCCGGGAAGTCACTTTGGTCCATTATCGTCGGGCGAAGATAAAAGTCACGGGGCGATGTATCTACAAAAGTATACAGAGAAAGAGTTCGATCGACGCCGCTGATTGTGTAACGTACCGTGGCTGAATTGTTCATTCCGCAAATCTCTGTGTGCACTTTACTGAATGTTTTATAATTGATTGTGAAAAACCTCTTTTACGTGTTGCCAATTTGACCGGTTACATTGAGAGAAAACGAACGAAAATACATTTGCACACAGGCTTTTCTCTATTTATTTCTCTCTCTCTCTCTCTCTCTCTCTCTCTCTCTCTCTCTCTCTCTCTCTATCTCTCTCTATTTTCTTTTATTTAATACGCGCAAATTGATGTCGATTTTCAATGCTCCAGTTCATTTTGCACATTGTCGATGTACGGTATTGCTGCTTTATTAACAATTTAGTACAAGCAAGTAGTGCAACTCGACGTATGGTCGGACGACGCGGCGCTAGAATTAATCCTCGTCCTCGAAGTGTAACCATCAGACTGTATAATTACCCTTCCTCTCGTAATCGACCTCCATAACGCATGACCTTTTGCAAGACGTCCGACGCATGGCATGAGGCATGTATACATTGGCGCTTGATGTTCCTTGCCTAAATGCCGCACACATCCACACATATACAAGCCAATAATTGCTAGATTGCTTCTCGAAGTACACACCAGTTTTTTATGCATCATTCTCACGCGTTCACACTCTATATTGTTGTCGATGTTCTTTTGTTTTAGCTGTTGTTATGAATACGAACGACAAGCGAGTTTGAATATTACAATGGGGTTGATCTGTTGCAGGTACCTTGACTGTCAACGTTAGCGTGCTGCTGCTTAGCCTCGCATCACCGGACGAGTCTAGCTTGGTAAAATCACCTTCTCTTTACTGCGAATCAGGATTGACGAGGTTGCGAAGAGGGCAACAAGTCTGAATTTCGACTTGCCACTCGAAAGGTTTCCGAAGATCGCGAGATAAGCTACTTCAAAGACATTGCCGTGCGATTCCAACGTAGACTCGCTTTAATTTCGATTGGTAGTAGCCTGTTTTGAGCACGAAATCGAGTGCTGTGAAAGTCACTCCGTTCATTTCAGCGAACCCGTTTTGTCTGAAAGGAAAGGAATTTTTCCTCGTTAAAAAGAAAAACGATGAAAAGCGAAGTCTCCGCTGATCGCGATTGCTCAGTTGGAGATAAAGGTTACTGGCTTGCTGACATGACGTAATGAGTAGTCGACAATTTTATGCTTTATACAATTGAACAATTATTGGCTGAGCTGAAGGGTGTGAACAAATTATATATAGTAAATTATTCTCAATTAAGTTATTCAAGGTGATTCGCTTACCTTGACCTACATCCCCGATAAAATTTCCATCTGTTTCTCGTCTCCAATGAAACGACACTCAAAGCCAACAAAAACGCCTGTTAATTCGACTCCGAGGCATAACTCACCACCCTCCGGTGAATGCTAATGGCGAAAAAGGTGCAGGCCAGCAGTTAATTGAGCTTTTCCCGGCGCTTCGTCCGCGCGCGAGATCGATAAAGTAGCAACCTTGCATCGAGGAGATGTCCGTCGGGACGCGAAGCAGGAAAATCCATCTCGCCGGTGCCCCTCATGCATACCGTGCGTTTTCATTAGCGCTCATGGAAATTGATGACGCGCCGCACGTACCCTCTACACTTGCCCCGGCAGCGGAATAAGAAGTTGCTCTTTTCTTTTCCATTCCGCTGGAAATGAGCCTTGCCGTTTGATGCCAGCTGCCATTGACGCTCAAGTAAATTATTCCATCCTCGTTCGTTATTATGGTATTCATTAAGGGGCTCGTGTTTTCTCTTGTCGCTAATGTGACCCGGCACAAATGTAATTTCTATGGCTGCAGAAAAACCAATCAACTTATTCATAAAAGTAAACGAGACGCGGAGTCGCCCGTTGACCAAATTAGCGAGTCTGAAAGCATCGTCAAAATAAGCGGCGTACTCTTGCGCTGCGTCACGTCCCACTCCGAGACCAAATTTTCCTTAGCTTAAGAATTTATTTCTCCGTAAGCAATCGTTAGCGTTGTTTTAAAAATAGATTTCGCGACCGGAACTTCTCGCAGGACTACATCTTGAATAGAAAGCATCGACGACTGGAAATAGGACGGCATGTAAAACCATCTCGAGCCTACGCACCATAAAAATAATATCAAGCTTCAAAGAGAAACCAAGTTTCAAAAAGTAACTAGAGTATTCATTAATATACGTTCCGCGTCTCATCTCGGGGCGTCTTTATACCGTCTACTGCCGAGACTAAAAGATTAGCTTCGTTTCGCATTCACTTTTGAAAAGCTCGCCGGCGCGCTCCGCCTTGAAAAACGGAGAAACTTGTATTTATCCGCGGCCGGCGGTCAAAGAAAGAAATCGCTCGAACCGTCCAAGTGCTATCGAACGACTGGACCGACTCCGCCACGAGGCTGGGACGAGTTGTACGGCGAGAAAACTGTTTGCGATTGCAGAAGTACGAGGTGGAGTTCCTGCTGCAGCAGCAGTGGTACGACCCGCGACTGCGCTACAGCAATCGCTCGCGCTACGAGTTCCTCAACGCCATTCACCATCACAACGACATCTGGCTGCCCGACACCTACTTCATCATGCACGGTGACTTCAAGGACCCGCTGATACCCGTGCACTTCGCCCTGCGCATCTACCGCAACGGCACCGTCAACTATCTCATGCGGTACGTAAGCGGGTCTGTGCTTTCGGCCGGTCGCGGCACACTGCCGTGACGCCTGGCCCCTCTGTCGTTATTGCGCGCGACCGTGCGCGTCAAATCCCGCCAAATGGAAAGCCGCGTCGAGTCGCGCGCCTCCTTTCATTGGGCCTTTTGCGTTGATCTTGCCGCAGGCGCCATCTCATACTCTCCTGCCAGGGCAGGCTCAACATATTCCCCTTCGACGACCCGCTGTGCTCGTTCGCCATCGAGAGCAGTAAGTACCACGGCGACGCGGCCGTGCGCGCTCGACGCTTAACCGTCTCTCCCCCACTTGCAGTCTCGTACGAGCAGACGGCGATAACGTACGTCTGGAAGAACGACGAGGACACGCTGAGGAAAAGCCCGAGCTTGACGACCCTCAACGCTTATCTCATACAAAATCAGACCATCACCTGTCCGATCAAGGCCAGCTGGAGAGGTGAGTTCTCGTTCAAGCGCTTTTCCAGCTTCGCAGCTGCTTTTCTTCGCTCTTTCTCTCTCTCTCTCTCTCTCTCTCTCTCATTCTCTCTTTCACTCTTTGCACACTGCCGCTGCATTTTTGTTTGAGCGTCGATTCTCGTCGCGACGTTGTTTTGGACGCTAAACGCGCGCTCAGCGACCGAATGTTTTTTTCCACTGAAAATCAATCTTCGTAATTGCGTTTGCTACTTTTCAATCTAATTTCTCTCAAAGTGTACGCGTCGCTGCTCGCGTACTCTATTTGATTAAATATACAAAGATCATCTAAGATCTATAGATTGACAAACAAAAAACAAGTGCCTCTTTGTCACGGTGAAAATGAGCATGTTTACGAACGAAATACGTTAATTCTGCTATTAAATTGACGGCTCTCACATCGTTTCATTACGTTATCGAAGGGTAAATTAAAAGCAGACGCGCTGCGAAAAACAGACTCGAAAAGGCAATCCAGCCGATTGACCGGGCAATCGAACGCGCGCGTGTGATGTTGTCCCAGCAACACTGGAGCCATCGAAGCGCGTGGGTGCGTTCGTACACTGCACTCGTGAGAAAAGTGGGTCAGCGCTCGTGCTGCCGAGACGGCCCCGCGAGGGTGAGCCAGCCGTATACGGTGGAACGCGCACGCGCACCGCTGCTTGCTTCACTTTCGGGCCTTACACGCACGCACACACGCTCATCCGACGACATGCATTGCGCTGACACATGGTCAAGCTTGTTGTTCGTTGTCGTCGTAGTGTAGCCAGGCTGTGTCAAGTTACACAATGCGCACTCACGCTTTGTCGTTCGCCTTTCGAGGCGCAATTATTGTGCAAATGACGTGGTGGGTTGGCCGAGGGTACGCAAGATGACCCGCAAACGCGCCAAAAGTAAAGTGTAGTTTCTTGTTGATTAACGACGAGTTTTAGAAATACCGGATTGGCTCGGGATTGACACCATGAGGACGACGTGTTTAGCATGCTAATGGAATGGATATCGATTATTATTCAATATCTTTCGATATGAAGTAGTAGATTGTTGTTGTTATTTTAGTTTATAGAGATTTATGTTATAAATTGCACAGTTAGAAAAAGAAACCCTAGTTTTCTTGGCAATCTTGGTCTCTGTCTCTCGTTTGACGATCGAAACAGAAGGAACAGAAAACAAACTGGTAGACTGTAATAAAGACAAAGCCAAATGTGGTTCCCACATCGCTGTGGTTTTGCTTGCTTTTCTGGGATCAACGGACAATGTAAATTTACTAAAACGATACCCAATTGTCAGCGGAGAAGATATGAAACACTAATGTTTATCTGAATTGACTCACAGATATGTTGTACACATCTTTTTTCAGACTCTCTTTACACACTATTCAATTTGATGCGTTCTCTTGACTTTTTTCCGTTAATATTTGAATCGAGATCCATTTTTTAATCAGTCAATTAATAAATGTAACACAGTTCAGCTTTAAGTATGCGGAAAAATGAGTATGTTGATTATTAATTGCAGTCACGATATATTGCATAACATCATGAAAATTATGTAGCTTATTAGATGTAGCCGATAGTTTCTTTGTTAATATTATTTTTACTTCATAGAATTTATATTCATTAGTTGGTTGCGCCGATTTAATTTCTTAGAACGTTTTCAATTTGGTTTCACTAATGATCACAATGTTGTTGAATTTGACAATTAAAATTATTGCACGTGTCAAGGAATTTTTCACTACTTCTACTGGTATTCGGCGTATAATTTAAGTACTCGTACGACCAAATTTCAATATTTACGAGCTACTAAAGCAGTATATTATTTTTTTATTCCTACAACCTCGATTGGGTACAACGTGAAGACTCTCGCAGTGTAACGTTACGAAAATATTTTCAGAGCAATAAATAAAATAAACGAGCCACACGATGTGCTAGCAAATTATCGCATTAAAGAAAATTCTCGTGGCAACTATTTATATTGGGGTATTACAATACGTGATATAAAATACATACCACGTCGACCGGATTTGACACTCAATGCAGTCCTATCATAGAGAGCTAGTTTTGCAATAGAATCGCTTGGTGCTTCATACAGCGTAAATTGCCATATTATATTATTGTAAGTGTCATGTTAAAGAAATCGATAGTCAACTTATCGCTCGATTCGTCTGCTGTAGTGAAACAGCATGTATTTGCAGTCCGTATGATCGCGTAAGCGCGCCCCAATAGCGATCGCGACGAGCGAGAAAACGACGCGCAGAATTTGGCATCTCATATTCCGAAAGAATGATAAAGCCAGAGCGATGGTGGTGACCACATCGGTGGCTTGTGCGTCAAGACAAACCTCGAGGCCTCGCGTGCTTTGCCGATGCCTCAGACTTTGGCGCTGGGCTATTGGGATATGAGAAATGACGCGGCCGGTCTCTCGAACGTGTTTCCTCGAACTTTCGTTCATTCGCCTTGTTCTTTTTTCTAGTGCTGGCATTCGATTATAGAGAATTATTTGAAAATTTTCAGTATTTTTAATTGTGCGTAAAGAGTGAATGCATCGATGTACTCGTATTCATTTCGGATTCTTCGTAATAGATGAACGTGTCATTAGTCATTTGCACAGATCTTTAATCGATCGTTTTCATATTATTCCAATAATGCACAATACTTGAAAATCTATTCTCGAAGCCAGCAAGATCTTTTATTATCTTCCTTCTATCGCATCGTGGGGAATGCAATTAGTTTTCTCTTATACTTATCCGTGTCATTTCTAAATCCCAAAGTGAAACCTTATGATACAGTAGTACGTAGAAGATGAGAGCGCTGTGAATGAGAATTACTTTACTCTTTTTTTAGAGCAATTGAAAATTACTTTAAAAAAAAAATGATGAGGCTTAAAAAAACTAAGTGTGCTTTTTTCCTTTTGAGAAGAAAAAAAGTGAAAGCTGGGTGCGACAGAAGCGTGTCAATATAGATAACGAACAAAAAAAATAGGCAGATCGTGGCTGTTCTGTTTGCAGCTGACGGACAGATGATCGTCGACCTCGAGGACGAGTTTGACGAGTTCGGGGACTCGAAGTGCTCGCTGTGCCAGCGCAGGTTTGAGGAGCAAGGTAAACCAACCAAAAACAAACAAAAAAACCATTGTGTGTGAACTGTGTATGGCTTTGTATACGAAGCCCCCTTGCGAAATTTTTTTTTTACCTTTCACTAACATGGCATAATCTACGTGAGAAACGTACGATAGTGAGACATTGGACCAAGCTTACCAAAAACTAACAAGAAGTCCTTCGATATTGCATAATATTTTTGTATTTTGTGTGTTTAGAATTAAAGTACAACATAGTTAGAGTGTGATTTAGTATAAGTTTAAATACCCGCCATTGCGATCAGATAAAATTTAGAAAAAAAATCAAGTGTGATTTTTAAAGCTAAAATAGTATAGACGCTTTGCCAGAAAAATTTAGTTCAAGTGAATCAACGTTAGATGACGAAACTTTTCGGAATTCACTAGTCAACGTCTCTTTTTTTTTATATTGTTGATATCGCATGTGAAACTCATACGAAATGTTATACTCAGCAACTGCAGTGTAATCGTGAAAACAAAACTTGCATCCACGTATCCCCAGACAAAGCAATCAATTATCTCTGATCCGCTCGTTCTCCACTAACAAGCTTAGCAAGTATGTACATAACATCCACAGCTCACGAAAACAATCGAGGCGCATCGAGTTCAGTAGAGAACCTTAGAGACTATACGTGTATCACGCGTATACAGTAGACCTCAAAAGCTTCAATGACAATATGGATGCCGATGTTGTTTGTTGCGTTCTTTCCCCGGGCGGCCTGATCCGCAACGAAGCATCGCAGCAAGTAGTTTGATGTGTTGATTGTTTTGGTTATGCACGTTGTGCTCGAAAAGCCGACTGCGCGCTCGAGAGCAGAGCAGTCGGCAATTCGGAAAGAGAGCACGAGCCAGTCGGAATTATCAACGTCGCCAGCGCGGGGCCAGTTGGCATATATTACACCGTTGCGCGAGTGCGCATGGCGTGTGCAGCGTGTGCAGCGTGTGCAGCGCGAGCAGCCCTAATTATCGCCGTCACGCGAGACGCAGCGTTAGCTTCGTTTAGAAATATTCTTCTCATTGGAGTGACATTGGATCGACGATATGCTTTAATTTTATAGAGCTATTAGCGATCGATTAGATGCTCGCTAATAACTCCGTCGTCCAACGATCGTCACAATTAGTATGGCGCTAATCACGCTCTGATTATTCGCCCGGCCAGATCGGAAAACCTTCGAACTCGTTAGCGGAGCCGTCGCTCTGAATGTCGCCGTCGAATGAAAGGATTCCATACGGCGCCTCTCTTTCAGCGTCGTCGCGACGCAATATGCCGCGAGTTTCCGGGCGTCAGAAATTCGCGTCACGCGCGCAATGTCAGCGACGCGCGGACCGCGCGAGCGATCCGCTCGCCGAAAGTCGCGCGCTCGCCGTGCTGGCGGGTATGCGCTAGACGTGCATTGGAGGCGGGTCGCGCGCGGTTTCGCCGCGGTCGGCGGCTCGTCATTTCACGCAGCACGCGACGCAGCACGCGACGCAGCACGCGACGCAGCTCTTTCGAGTTCGCACTCCGACGGGAGCACGACGACCCATCCCCGTCCGAGTGCGAAAGTGGGCAAAGCCGAGCGGAACGGGGCGATAACGCCGAGGGAAAAAATGGCAGGGAACGTCGATCAAAGTGACATTCTCGCCGCAGGTAACTATAGCTGCCTGAAGGTGGACCTGATATTCACGAGGGACCGAGCCTTCTACTTCACCACGGTCTTCATACCGGGGGTGATCCTGGTGACCAGCTCGTTCATCACTTTCTGGCTAGAGTGGAACGCGGTGCCAGCACGCGTGATGATCGGTAAGTGTCGGCGCGCGGGCGCGGCCCCTCCCCCTCTCTAAAGTGAGCCCCCTTGTGCGCCAGGTGTGACGACCATGCTCAACTTTTTCACCACGTCCAACGGGTTTCGCTCGACGCTGCCGGTCGTCTCCAACCTCACGGCCATGAACGTCTGGGACGGCGTCTGCATGTGCTTCATCTACGCCTCGCTGCTGGAGTTCGTCTGCGTGAACTACGTGGGCAGAAAGCGACCGCTGCACAACGTCGTCTACCGCCCCGGGGAGAATCCCGTGACTCAGGTACTCTTTGCCGACCGTCGGCAGTCACCGTCTCTCTATTCTTGGATTTTAACTCGACTACCGTGCGCAACTGGGCTGCGTCAGGTTAGACGACAAGGACCGTGTTCCCCTGCTCTCCCCTTTTGCGTTGCTGTCGTACAAGGCTCGAGGTAGTGAGCATTGTGCCCGCAGTCGATGCACCATTGCGCTCGTTAATCTGTGTCTTCTTGCCGCTTGTGCGCACGCGCCATATCCCGTGGCTCCTCTCGCTGGCCACTGGCCGGGGCATTGCGCTTCCGAAGGATGCCAAGCCACGAGGCGCAGAACGATCGGACGGTCGATCGCACTTTCAACGATGCGCCCTGTCTCGACGCTCTGCTGCCGTTATCGCCAAATATTCTCTGTCAGCCACGACAAAGTAGCTTGCAGCAAGTTCGCGCACCTCACGACACTCATGACAATAAGCTAGAGCGTATTATATTTATGAAGCAGCTCCCTGTGTATTATATCCTTTGAATGCATATCACACTCTGTACAGGAGCTTGCGCCGGAAACAAGACGTTTCTCGCGGCGCGAGCGTTAAAATACGTCGAGGTTTTGCGAGGGAAAGGACCGCCTTCCGCCCGACACATATGCAAATTTTCACTCTCGCTCCGCGCGTAGCTGTCATCGTTTCGTTTCGCCGTAAAGAAGAAATGAGAGAGAGAGAGAGAGAGAGCTTGCTTTTATTTCTTTTCTTCATTCTGTCGAAATGAAATTTCTCACGGCAGTAACTGGATTTCGCCGGCGACAATCTTCCACCGTGGAATTCTATAAACGAAACTCTCGCGCACGGGGGTAACCGGCAGAACTTCCGCGAGACGCTTTCATTTTTCCTCGACGTCTCGCGTGACTCCACGCGCGGATCACACGCGAATCGTCGAACGACGCGCAACGCTCTACCCCCCGGTACGCACGCGCCGGCACACAGTACGGCGCTACGCTCGTGCGGACTCGGCTAATTTACATGGCAGCGGACGAACCAATGACGATCCATTCCGGAACGCTATGTGCATTCTTCTGTTTCCTTGCTTTTCGCTATTCTACCCCTCTCTCTCTCTCTCTCTCTCTCTCTCTCTCTCTCTCTCTTTCTCTCTTTGACACCCGTACACTTTCGATGTGCTTGAAAACTTTCTTCTATTGGTTATTAATTTTTAGTGCCATTAATTACCTCTTTCGTAGCCGAGAACATATGTGCACATTCGAATTGCAAAATGTTCTTAAAACTTTAAAGCCGAAATACCGGACATCGTTTACGTTCCGAATAACCGTGCGGATACGCGCGTCACTTGTTTCTAATCCACCACATTGTCCGCTTGAGTTTTCCTTTTTCACTGGACAAAATTTACACACACGTCACTGGAGATTTAAAAGAGACGACGTTATTTCCTTGGCAAATACAAGTTTTCTGCATGTATGAGTGCAACATGGCTTTTCCTAGCGATGCGCTCAGAGTGGATAATCTATTATTCTTATCCGTACACGTGAACTTTTTGTCCTCTAACTCTCTAGGAAATATACTCTGTGTAGATTTTTTCACTATCTCTGCTCTTCAAAGGTTGTTTTCTATTTATTTATTTATTTATTTATTTATTTATTTTTTTCATTTATACTAGACACGCCTGATTTGTGTACGAATTTTAATTCAACTAGTTTTGTTTTTTTTCACTCCTCACGTTTGTTCAACTAACTTTCTCACTATCTTTCGTTTCTTTAGAATGTAACTTTATAATACTCTCAAAAAATTGCACACGCAGGTTGCTTTTTTTTCAAGATATACCTTGATGTTAGACCAATAAAAAGACAATTATAAGAATAAACAGAATAAATAATAAAATTATTATACACCATAATAAAAAAGCATATGACCTTCATTCATTCATACGCATCCATATAAACTTTTTTTCCCTCTCTCGCTTTCTCACTCTGCGAGGCGTTATTTGCATTGGAGTTTATAGGACGCGTAAAATTGGTGACACGGCGTTATATCATTGCCGCAGCAGCGGGCGAGGAGCGCGCGTATTGTGCGCTTATACCACGCGCACACGCCCTCGCCCACGCTTGCCCAGAGCTGATGTCGAGATAAGCGAACAGTCGCAAACAATTCATTCGCGGCGTTGTGTTCGAAGGAGCGTTTTATTTTTTACGATCTTGATTCGTTGCCCATCCTTTTAATCGTGTGACACGGAAAAATCTAGAGTTCGCTTGCCTTCCAGCGCGAACGCTAAATTTGCGAAATCAGCTTAATGGTACGGTGAGAAAGAAGATGAAGTGGAACCGCGAACAAGAGCGTTTTTCTCATTAAACTTTGTCCGGAACGAGTGCCTCATCTATACGTTAGTGCACGCAGTTATATATCTGTTGCGACCCGGAGTGGTGGAGGTGGCGCACGCGAGAAAAAAAGTAGGCGCTGAAATGGAGAAATTCAAATAAAACGCCCTCCCGCCCCCTCCCCGCCAAATTCAAGAGCCCGAAGAGAAGAGTTAAAGCGGAGTAATAAAAAAAAGAAAAAAAGAAGAGACGTAGTAATTAGCTCGCCTCTGGAGAAAAATTACGAATCCTAATTTCGTATTTCTGCCATTGTTTGACGAATAAAAAACTAAAGAGTCGATTTCTTTTCTCGTTCTCAAGGGGAGTATTTTAATCCGCGACTGAGCGATAATACATTCTGTCTCCGTCCACATACAAACACACGTACACGTCGAGCGACGAGCACTAGTTTCCTTCTTACTACGAAAGAAACACACATTTTAACAATCCATCTTTTTTTTCGTTTGCAAGAGCAAAAAGTTTTGTTTGTACAAAAGTGTCGTCCTTCAAGCACACTAAACTTGTACTATTTTTCTTTCTCTTTCTCTCTCTCTCTCTCTCTCTCTCTCTCTCTCTCTCTCTCTCTCTCTCTCTCTCTCCTCTCTCTCTCTCTCTCTCTCCTCTCTCTCTCTCTCTCTCTCTCCTCTCTCTCTCTCTCTCTCTCTCTCTCTCTCTCTTTCTCGACTACGAGAACAAACCCAAGTTTTTTTTCGGGAGGGGGCGCAAGGAAAAAGTTGCCTAATGCAAGTAAGTCCGACCGAGGCTCGAGCTCCTCTAGTCGGGAGATCGATTTTCAAACGCGTCGGCAATTTTTCAAGCGAACGGATCGCACGATTTCTGCTGCTTTTATATGAAGTTCAATTTGTTCTTTTACTTAGTAGGTTTTCTGATCGATCAACCATACCGCACGAGGAAAAAGTAAAGCCTATTTTTCACGGCCGACGTGAACGGCATTTGTACGGGAAAGAAAGGAGTGCGATTGCCGTTTCGTGTTCGCGTTAATCATTAGGCAACTACCTCCTGAAAAGCATCAATCGATTAAACAAACAAAATAAATCAAAAATTTAATTAAACCTCGCGTGTAGTAAAAAACGAAAAAAAAATCGTAATCGTTGGGTGGAATGTTGGTGAGTAAGTCTCTTTGTTTTGGTGTCTGTGATGTTGCAGCGGCTACCAGCGGTGCTCAACAGGATAGGAATAATATTGGCCAGCCCCTTGGTAAGATCCCCCTGTCTCTCTCTCTCTCTCTCACATACACACGCACACTCTATACACATTAGTGTCTCTTTTTCCCACCGTAAAATAAAAAAAAAACAAAAAAACAACTGTGCGGAAAAGTCGCTTGTTCACTTGCACTATACTTGCTCCGCGAGGTGTATCTCCTCTTTCCTCTGCGACACACTCACTGGAGGGTCCATTATCTCTAGAGTAACCCTGCACTTCTACCGCCAGACTCTTTCTCGTCTCTCTTCCTCTCGCATGCTGTACACTCAAAAGTGACTATATAGTATACACTAGCACCGAGTTTCTCTGGCTGTGCGTGCCTCTTCGGATGCTTTTGTTTTGACGACTGGTCTTTATACTCTCGGTGACGATCTGAGAAATTTTCTCTTTCTTCTAGCGTTGACAAATATTGTGTCAACCGACTAACCCGACGGGAAAAAGAAAAAATTCTTTGCTTTCTCCGTCGTCACTGAAAGAATTTCTTTTTTTCAAACGGCCGTACACTTAGCTTTCTTTTATTTTTGTCGCCAAACCAAAGAATAACGAAACAAGTTTTCGCCTTTCACCGAGTTTCTTTGGTTTTAATTAATTCGTTTATAAAGGATTTTCATCCGTACTTTTCCACCATTGCACAGTCAAAACCATTCTGCCGCGGTAATAACTACGTCGCGTTTTCAACTCACTAATTAAATTTTATTAAGAGCAATATGATATTTCCTGGCGCGCACGCATACACCACGCACACACGCACTCGCATAAACTCACGCTTAATTAAATCATGATGTAAATATATCCCACCGTCGATCATCGTTTAAACGAAACAAAAATAATAATAATAATTTACAAGTGAAACGTTTGAGAGGTTTGTTTGTGCTGCACCTGCAATGGCATGTCGAGCAACTATGTGTGTGCGTCAAATTATCCAGCACTGCATGCTTGTCGTTAATCGGAGGTATAATATAGTGCCATGTCAGAGCAAAGTATGTAATGCGCGTAGTAGGCAAATTAGGCAGAAACAAACACTTGGCACGGTACGAGTATGATCAGCTTTCAGAGGAAAAGATTTTTTTTTATTGATTGCTCGGCGAGTGAAGAATAAAGAACAGAGGGGTATTTTATGATCAACGAAATATTTTGCTCTGTCCCGCACTTTCAGCTTCTCCTGACCGATAAAAGTCGGCGCTGCTTGCAATCGCGAAACGCGCATAATGTCAATAAGGTAAGACTATGACTTTGTGCACAAACACGAACACTTCTGTTTCTCTCTTCCTTTCGTTTTCTCGTTCTGGATCACTCACGAGCACTGGAACGTCGTGAGCAGCAAGTCGAAGAATGTCGATCCTGGTGTCAAGGTGAATGTCCTAGATACGTCGTGTTTCCGTCAAAACGTCTCTGTTTTGTCAAACGTCCAACTCTTGAGACTTTTCGCCGTGCTCTCTCTCCGGAATAACGCTGTCAACCAGGACACCTGGTTCTGCTTGAATATCAGACGCCGTAACAATATTACTCGCGTCGTCTGGGACATTTACATCGACAACATACTCGAGCATGGAAGTTAATCGCATCTTTTGTTTTGTCTCTCTCTGCCTTCTCGTTCGAACTCAAAGAAAAGAAATAAACCAAATATCTTACCGAAAACTCTCAAAACTTAAAATCCGCTTTTTCGGCTTTGTATCCACTTGATAGCTGCTTCTCTGCGCTCACCGCAAATAAATCAATAAATCAAACAAAAACTAACCAACCATATACGCCAGGATTGGAAGGTTTTCGCGTTGCGTGCAAAACTAGGCCGATATGTAAATGAGTCGCGTCGAAATTGTATTATTTTTTTAGTTGCCTTGATTGTGCGATACACATATATACACTTTCGTGCGACATGTTATTATATATACATATACTTGCTTTGCATAATTTTTTTACCCCGATATACTATTTTTTTCGAGTTTCACTGTAGCGTACTTATAAATATTGTCTATACATATACGAGAGTATTATATATCTTGTTTGAGCTTGATATACCAAAAAAGCCATACCCCCACCCACTTTACATTGCTGTTATTAGTCATTTGAATTTTATGCGACAAACTCAATTTACTGCCGCATTATACATTATACATATGTATAAAATTGTCTATATAGCGGCCATGATTGCTGCGTCTCCCGTATATACCACCCCTCAACCACCCCCTTTACCTAATGACATTGGATTCATGACTACAATATATACTGTATTTCACCCAGTTTTCTCTCGTCCAAAAAGTGCCTTCTCTCTCTCTCTCTCTCTCTCTCTCTCTCTCTCTCTCTCTCTATCTCTCTCTCTCACTCTCTCTTTCGCGTCAGACTGCATGAAAATTAATATCGTTGGTGTACTATGTACTTCGAAAAAGAAAACTATGCCAATGAATAATGTAACAGAGTCCATATTTTCATGAAGGCTGTATTTTCCTGCAGACTGATAATTATAAATCGAAAACAAATACTGCCGTGAATAAATAAACAGAAAAAAGATACATAGCATGGAATTTGGCTAACAGTATAAATATTCGCGATAGTAGGATCAACTTTTTTTTCATTTAGCATTGTGAAATTGTATATTGGTCTGTAAAAGAGTAAAGAGTCGATGCGAACGATCCACTTTTCACTTAGAAACCACAAGGGACGACAAGAAAAAGGCTTCAGCTTCATTTTTTTCATTATACGCTTCTGTTATAAGCACTTTGATGCAGTATATATATCTAGCTTACATCAAGAACGTAAATGTAGTTTGTCGGGTAATCTTTTCTATTATCTAGCTTGCCGCTTGAAAAAGCCTATCTACATTATTAATCCAAGGACTACGATGCATACTAGTCCTTCGATTAAAAAACAACAAGCTTCTAAAAAAGAAAAAGTCAAAAATAAGAAAACTCCAATTAATGATATTAGAGCACGTATCCGTAGCAGTATATGTACAATTTAAGCTACAAATTTAAATATCCCCGCGCGATTCGAAAAATGGATCGCTCGCAACTTTCCCGATCCCCTTGAAATCGATGCTCGTTGGAAAGTGATTCTCTGCCACGGAAACCCTGCTGTTCGACAGGGTGACAAGAAGAGGGAACCCGGCGGATCGCAAGCTCCCGGTAGTGGTGCTGGACCCAACGAGATTGTCACCTGTACCAATTGCGGCCCAAATCCATGTACTCATGCGGCCAACAATGGATGCGCCGCCGAGGTACTTTCACCGCCGTCACAGGTTTAGAACGCTTCTTTTTTTATATGAAATATATTGCAAAATTATAATCGCTGTTTTCGTAGCAAAAGAGTATCTCTAGAAAAAGCTAAAATTAAGAAGCTTTTTAAGTAAATTTTTAGACTGTCATTCAAATAAATAAAAACAAGTTTCTGAACGATAAAAACATATTCGATAGTGAATTATTAAAGAAATACGTGAGAATCCATCAGAAAATGCTAATTATTGCCGATAATCGCCAAGAAGAAAATGTTCAATAATCGAGGATTTTTCAAAACTACTTTTTTGCTACAGAATTCATGAATTTTTGATGTGATATCGATTTTTTGTTGTCACAAATCTAATCTACAATGATACGAAAATCTAACACCTAATTGCAAAACGTTCAATAAACAAAAGAAAAATTCAGCAGGTGAGAAAGAAAGAGCCGCCACATCCGATCCGAGTAGCGAAGACGATCGACGTGATAGCGAGGATTCTCTTCCCAGCGGCGTACGCGATATTCTTGGCGTTCTTCTTCATCCACTACAAGAGCGTTTCCTAGGGCCAAGCCTTCCAGGCTTACGCCGAGGAGTTGTCTCTCTCACCTTAAATCAAGAACATCATCGCGTTAAGCCCGGAAGGATAAACAAACAAATGAACAAAATGTAACCCTCGAACGACGACACAACTAATTCTCATTTGGAAAATGGAAAACAAAGAGCCGATATAATACAGTGTGTACATATAATGAGGGTCGTTCGCAGAAACCTCGAAAACATGAATATATTGATTGCGTGCGACTTTTTAAAAAAAACAATGGTTACGTACTGTATATTTAATATAATTTTTATTATAAAAAAAAAACAAATCACGATCGACAAAAAAGAGTGTGAGCTGCTAATGCCCAAGGGATTGTGATTTTTGCGATTATTGTTGTTGCTGTTGATTAACTCATTGTTACAGAAGCTCAGCGACAACTCAATATTTAATTATACATACACACTCACAAGAAAAATAAAAAGCGTACTTATTACTTAAATAACGATAATATTATACATGTATAGGTGAGAAAGAGATACGATGATGCACCAATTGCGCCAACATTCTCGATTAATTGTAATAGGTGATAATGAAAGTATGAAGAAAACGAAGTGCTTTCGGGTTCGATTGTGCGATGTAATGGCACTGAAATAGGCAAAGGTATAGGAAAATTCGACAATTATGAAAAGACATGATGAACTAACAAGTCGCGTAATTTTTCACACATAATATACAAAAAAGTAATATGGTCTATGACGGGCATGGGGAATTCAATATTATTGTATACATTCTACATATTCTGCGCGCGTTAATGATCGCAGGTAATGGCAAAAAAATATTTTAGAATATATATTGCTGACATTGTTAGAGAAGTAAGGTATAAAATAAGCGCGTGATTACACGAATATTGAAACAAGTCCACGGGGAAAAAGGAAAATACAAGCTTTCACGAGTTGTGATAAGACACGTGCAAGAGGCGTGCAATGGAATGAGTAAGCTCGATGATTTGTGCTAATACGTAATATCGTTCCTCGCGCGCTGTACCGCAAGCTCCATTGTCGAGCGAACCAATCAACAGAAGAGAGGGAAACTCGATACCGCGCGGGATAGAATTGTACATTAGTTAAAAGTATTGTTATTCCGGTACACTTTCGTCGCGCGTCATTCTTTTATTTTCATTCAAGCTTGCGCGACGATCAGTTTTCATTTTTCTCCGCGATAGTCCAAACGAAAAAAACCATATATGAGTAAGCTTATCGGATCGGTGAGCCGTATACCGGGAATTTTCGACGTTAATCGAATAAAAACACTAGGCAAAAAATAATCATTTACAAAAGATAAAAAAAAGAAAAAAAATAAAGAATGTGTTCTTCTCACTTTTTTCAATTTCACTCTATAAGGGCATATACACACAGACACACACACACACACGCATGGTTTATGTAATGGTTGATGATTTGATTCTTTTGTGCATTGCATTCCTAAATTTCAAAGCACTGCCGTCGAAATTGGAAAAGAAATTTTTTACATAGATTGATGCTTCTTTTGGTCTCTCAATTAAATTTTACATATACTCAATGTCGAATGCTATATAAGCCTTGATTTTTTATTGTAAGGCTTTTTATACATACCGATTTTCGTCGTACAAATTAATTATTGTTATATGAAAAGCACACGAATTTGCTCTTTTTGGGATCTTTCATTATTGAAATTATATATGGAAAATTCGCTTTAATCGAATCGTAGGGCTGTAGTTCATGACAAGTTTGTGCATTATAAACGTAAGAATTTTCAAATCGTCGTAGAATCTATCGTATTAATAAATAAAAACAGAATTATTAATAGATAATACTGCATCGGAGAATACGTGTATAATAATGAAGAAAATTAAATTTTAAGAATTTCCTTATAACTGGAGCAACGAATATTTATTGCATAAATACAAATTTGCTGGAAACGCGACATGCAGAGATTTTTCCACGTTCGTCTCATTAGCAAGAAAAAAAAAAGATGTATTAAGACAAGTTATTATTACAATTTATAACCGAATGGATGGAATATTTAAGATTGCATTAGATTCGAAACTCTGACGATGACGGCTCGTGCAGATGAAAGAAAAAGCTTATAAATCGAACAAAATGCCTACCCACGCAGTACAACAATGTGCTAAAAAGTAATGCTACGACAAAATTATATTTTTCAAATATAAATCGCCTATTTTAATTCATATAAATTGCGATAAAACTTTTAGCGTGAAATTTTTCATCGCGGCTAAGAAAAGACGCATATTGGAGCGAGGAAAAACAGAAATTGAAATACAATTGTTGGCGTTGCGAATCGGTTGATCTTTGAGAAGAGCAAAAAAAACAATACAGATTTTATTACAATACAAAGTTATGTGAAAAAAACACATTAAAGTGATGATCGATTAATGGAAAAATTTTATATTCATCGCGCTAATGAGTGCAAAGTCCCTTAGGTGATAAAAAAAACGCTAACTCATGATAAATGTTTCTGAAAAAATAAGTAAAGAATGCTCCACGGACCAAAGTCACACATTAATCCTAAATATAATACGGGGAAGTCTATAATAATATATTGTATTAGCTGCACTTAAAAACAAATGAGAAACAACATAGGCTGTGGCCCACCACGTGAATCCTAAGAAATATATTGAATATATAAATATAAATATACTTTTACAAGCTTGCACGTTATGATACTCACGATCGTGTTATCAGAATATAAGAAAATACGTATATCGCAGGCATGCACGTAGTCTATATATCTGTATATATATATGAAATCTAGTCATCCGTAAAGTATTACAGAAAATATGTTAACTAGTTGTGTTTCGAAGATTTTTTTTTGTCATGTAATATATATTTTAAATTTGTTAGTTTTGGGTTTTTAGAAAATTGGTTGTATTTGTATATATTCATTGAAGCAATTTACCAATTGACTGTTATTCTTTTCTGTTTTGTTCATTCATTGCTATTACATTGAACGGTGCGATTATGTACATGCCTGTCTTTTGCTATACTTATAAGCGTTTTCAATTCAGTGTATCTGTAATAAATAATAAACTTTTAGACGCATACACTGAAAACCTGATCAAATATATTTAAAAAGCAGAAAAAAATTATTAAGAAAGATTTTCTATATAATTCGTTAAAGAACAAATGATATATATCTATGTATACGTTTTCATCATGCTACATAATGTTTATACATTACGAAATATTAGAAACGTTTAAAAAAATATTGCAAAAAACGAATATAGCAACAACAGCAAAAAATATTTAGTATGAATTATTGAACTTATAACGAATATGCATCGCCGATCATTGCATGAGCAAAACTTCTTCACCCATCCTAGGCTTAAACAAAACTTTTTCGCATTCAAAGAAGATCCTCATCGAGCTAGAGCCATATTATCAATCCGTACTATTGATTTTTCGTTTTGTGTATACATTACACTGTCAAACGCGAGGCGATTAAGCAATAGATTAATTTAGCCGACAAGTGCGTGAAACGCCGCTGTGCGGTTCGAACAATTATACGATTCCTCTTTCCGACTACATGCTCGTTATTCTATTTTTTTACGACAAAAATTGACGCTTCATACAAATTACGTTCTAGGAGCAATGGTGTAACGATGAAACGAGCTTTACGAGCCGCTTCGCAGTTGAGCGCTCCCCTTCTCGTCGTTCCATGTCGGCCGTTGCCAGGCTGGAAGCATGCGCAGAATTTGCCTACTGTAATGCTCGGTTTTCTTTGTTATCGAGGTGCTAGTGGCGGCTGATGGGTTGAGTTGAGCCGCGGGATCGAGAGCAGCAAGAGAGAAGAGGAAGGAAAGAGATAGAGAGAGAGAGAGAGAGAGAGAGAGAGAGAGAAACAGAGAGACAGAGATGCGTGTGCTCGTCGGGCCCGTAGGATGCAAGCCAGAGGGAAAGAGAGCGCGCGAATGCATCGTTGATGTAAGAGTCCGTGAGTATACTAGTTATCTTGGGTCCCAGGTAAACCACAGTGCCACATACCGGGGAACCGGCTCGCGCCCTATCCGGTCGTTGGGGAATTAGGAGCACCGGACCCTAAGTGTATCCAGCTTTCACCAATAGAGAGCGTCATCGCCAACAGCCCATCATTATCGCCGACGGTGATTTCTCTCTCTCTCTCTCTCTCTCTCTCTCTCTCTCTCTCTCTCTCTCTCTCTCTCTCTCTCTCTCTCTCTCTCTCTCTCTCTTCTCTCTCTCTTCCTCCTCTGAATCAGGCCTGCACTCGGACGCCGTCCTATGTCGTAGCGCTCGCCGAGCATTGATGCTGTAGAGCAGCTGTAAACCATGAACGGGCCGGCACCTTTACCACGTCGACGCGACCGTCGGGCAGTTAATTTACCAACGGTCGCACGTATATTCGGCATTGCGCAAGTGCGCGTGGTTTTATTTTATTCCGCTGAGGCAGCGGCCTCCCAATTTTACATGTAAGCCGGTAACGTAAGTCGAGTCGTTTGTCGGAAATAAATTGTTTATTTTGTAATTCTTGTGTCAACCTCGCTTACTGTCCGTCCCTCCACCTGCATGCGACTCTCTCCAGCGTTCGGTTGCTGCGTTCGCCCGACGCTACATTAAGGCGGTCTCTTCGCCTCCCTCCTCGCGCAATAAAAGAATTAGTAACGAGAAGCCACAGGCTTCAGCGAAATTCTGCGAACATGGCTTAACCGTTACAATGGTTTGATTAGTAGTATACAGCAATAATGGAAAAAAATGGAATTTCTTTTCTCCTAAGTAAAAATTATAATACGTAAAAATGCATATTACCTAAATGTAATCTACTCGAACGTTATTGTAAATAAAAAACGAATTCTATATAACTTTTTTGAATTATAATCTAACATTTCCAGCGTTTTATCCTCGAAAAAACAACACCCATAGTCATCAGGCAATCTCGAGTCGGCGAAACTATTGTAAATAAATAAATAAAATAGAGACAACAAATTTATTGAAAACTATCTTCAAAGCAAAAAAGAAGTATCACGTTTTAGCATCACGTAGATAGAGACAGAACGAGCGATACGGAAGTCAAAGAAAAACGCCGAGAGAGATAAAAATGATTAAAAATCAAAACAAAAAAAACAAAAAAGAAAACATGTTTGAAATAAACTGAATCTAAAAAATACATTTTTTTGTATGTTATTTTCTTTATTTCACGCCTCATCGTCGTAAACGTAAATATAAGGATGATTCTCAATTAATTCGATATCCTTTTCCAACTGTTTCAATTTATCTTCCAAAGCAGCTTTCCGCTTGACCTTTGGTGGTGTGTCGATGAGGAAAGGCAGACACTGAAACTGCTTCATCAACTCCGACCATTTCTTTTTTATAGCCTACGAATGAGAGCGGATTAAGCCTCGACTTTCGCTCGCGTTTTAATGAAAGCACACACGTTACCTTTAGTAAGTTAGCTCTTTCGTCCTCGGTAATGTATTTACAAGCAGACTTTTTATTAACGGGTCTCTCCTCGGGAATCACATCGCGACTGCTACGTTCGTGACGGCGGCTTGCTGGTGCTGATTTGTTTCTCTTCAAATTCGGTGGTACTTCGCCGAAATTCTAAAAATAGTATTCTCGTTACAGCTTCACTTTTTTTGTCAATTTTCAACTGAAAAATAATTACCTTCTTATGAACATAGACCGGCATAAGTCCGCTAGGCATAAGCTCATAAGTATCTCCCCTTCTAGTATCCACATGTTTGAATTCCGGCAGTTTAGCCTTCAATTGATTAGCGAGCTCTACATTTTTCTTTGTAAAATCGACTATGGGACGTTGTGGCTTCTTTGCACTCCATTTGGGCAATCCCGGCAGGGGAATCCGATAATGTACGTGGTGAACACTCACCGCCGGTCTCACACCACTACGACGCTTCAAAAAGTCACTCGGACGGATTGTTGGTCCGACGCATGGAAGCCCAAGGGTTTTGTGGGCGCTCTTCGCTCGGGCGGTCTCCTCCCGCGTTCTCTTACTGTGGACTGAACGGTACCTGCGTCGATTTTCACATGTTGAATCACATATAAAATAATAAAAGTGTTCGTAAAAAAAATTACGAAAATAATTGAAGATCATAAGCTCTTTACCTCGGACTCTTAACGAATTTAACTTCTGGCTTAGGTATCAATTTCACCACGTTTTCCTCCCAAATTTCATCCTCATCATAGGCCATCGTATCTTTTCTCCAATTTCCTCTTCAATGAAATACAAAAATTTCGTCCTCTTGCGTGAACTGAACGGCAATCATCACGTACTCGAGCATTCGTATCGAAAATACTAGAATGAAGATGCCGCCTGTAAGGTAAACAGCTAACCACATTGGTTACCCATGGCAATGAAGATTGGGAGTTGACATATTTGTTCAATAACGGGAGGCTTTTTTTCGAAAGAGCATTGTATATTTAAATACGACTGCTTTTCGACATATAAAAATATAAATAATACATTTATGATAACAATAACATTTTTACAAATCTCAGTCTACTTTTTTTTCTTTAGGAAGTGATCCTAATAGATTATATGAAAAAATTTTATTGTAAAATTAAGTAATTTAATTTAATTACTTAACGCTCCAGGAACGGCCCAATTTAAAATCACATTTGATTGACGTACCGTTCTCAATGTCCTAAATACGTTATAGATATTGCTTCGTTTATGATAAAATGAAAACAATGCAATAAATAAAATCTTATTAAATAAAAAAACGATGTACACCAATCGCTACACAAATCTTCGAATAATATTATGCATCATCCTCTTCGTCTTTCTCCTTATCCTTTTCTTTGTTACTACCAATGAAAATAAGTTTGACTTTCGACAAATTCCTCGTAGAAGTAAGTAATTGAGGATCAATTTTTAAATACATGTAGACAACTGGAATATCACAGTAAATACACTTAACTTCGCTCATTTCGTCATCAAGACAAGGATGATAAACTTCTTGACAAATCGGGCATGTTCTATACTTCGTACAAGTCACTTGTAATCTCGTTAAAGCACATCTTGGAAGCTTGTGTCCTTGCAGACAAGAAAGAGCCCACGGTTCCGTGATTAATTCCTCGCAAAAATTACATTTTTCTTGTTGAATTAAGTCGAAAGCCCCAGTAGCTTCGAGAATCTCTTTGACAGTAAGGGACAATGGCGTTTCGGTCTCTTCTTCTTCTCCAGCGTACCAGATGTCTAAATGATTTCTTACAAGACTCATAGAGAGTTTCTGGTTGTCGGTTAGAGTTGGTAGTCGAGTGAGATGCTGGAGATACATCGAAGCACTATAGAAGAATATGTAGGTTTTGACTTGTTCAATCTCTTTTGGTTGTCTGTAATCTTCATCTGGAGAATTTTTCTTCCTTACTGTTTCCATGATGTTAATATTCCAGTAGGTGACTTTCAATTCATACAGAGACATAAAATCTAAATTTTCTATTTTATAATTTATTGCAGGCAGCATACCGCGTTTCACAGCAGATACTTTTATTAATTCCAAGTAGTCCCAGTAATCAATTAAAGATTGCTCTTCGTTGTTATACAAATCATTGATCACATTTTGTGATTGTAAATCATGTAAAGTGAAAAAACAAAGGTTTGTTGGCTCACGATTTCGTAGATGATCATACATCACGGCTGGGCTGCTTACTAAAATATGTAGAAGTTTATTACGCGAACTGATCAATCCCAGATACTGCAAAGCGTCCTTAGCAATGTCTGATTTTAATGGCTTATAGGTCAACTCTTTACCATGAGACTTTTGAACCATGCAAATTTTACCATCTTGTGTGACCATTAAGATGTTATTTGAGTTGATAATAGAAACGCCTAGAAAAAAAATTTTCATTATTAATACTCAAGATACCATGTTGATTATTTAAACATTCAAAATGTTTACAAACCTGTTATTGAAAAACCTGGACTCATAATGAATTTCATACTGATCATCTTACCAAAAATATCTACAGTAAGAATAAGTAAATACCTGTCCTTCACAGCCAAAAGCTCCAGCTGCTTACTGGTTTGTTGTAAAATTTCCATGGAATTCACAATAATTCTATCCTCATTAAAACAAACAGAATATAAGCTACAAGTCAAGCCACCTTCAAACTCCTGCAGTTTTAAAACACCAATTTGTCCATTATAAAATCCAACAAACAGCAGATATTTGTTATCTCCCAAGTCTACCCACAACATTGTATTAATTTTACTACTGTCCTCAGTTAGTTTCTTTCTAAATTTAAACTCAACATTTATCCTAGTATCTATGTATACAGTATCAGCTAACACTCTATGAACTTTCCATATAACAATCTCTGCATTTCTATGAGCAGTCACAAGATATGCAAAGCTTGCACTGCCACCCCGATGATGCAAGCTACTCCATGCTGCATTAGTCACTAATAATCTATTTAGTTGTTCCTTCAAACACGCAGCATCTATTATTACTGTTTCCCTTAAGCTTTTAAAATCCTCATCTATAATTTTGAACCAATCTTTGCTCAATTCATGTATTAAAAACCAATTCTTTTCAATTTGTACTGTAATTTCTAAAGATCCTGCAGATGTTAATACAGCCAGTAAACATTTTTGAGGATGTAAAAGTCCTTTTGGTGACCAAAATACATTGATTATTTCTGGCTTTAATACTTTTGTTTTAGGAAATTCAGGAGTATATGTATCATTCTTTAAAAAAGAGTAAACATTTTCTTTTTTCCAATCGAAAATCTTTGATACAATTTCATCCTCGTAAGATTTACTTGGCATTGCTTTTGGTGAATTGATAAATGAACGAGATAGATTTAAAATAGGAGTAGCTTGATGTGGAGCTGGTTTTATTTCCTGCAACAAATTATTATCATTTAAAATTTTAAGTTAACGCTCACTTTGAGGTTAGAGTAAACAATAACAAAAGTTAAACTCCTTTTTTATAATCGACAAATAATCATAAGATATTAATAATGGATTACAATAATGTATATGACTGACTATGAATATTTAAAATATATAAAAACATCTGTAAAACGGAATTAAACAAAACACTTACAAAAACATGAACTACTTTCTCTGTGACAATAGAGAGTCTATTATCCTGCGACCATTTGCAGGAAAACGTATTGATAACCAGTGGACTTATTGTTTTATTATAAAACTGTTTAACTTCCATCTTGAAAATGGTAAATTAAAATCTTGAACCTATTTTATCATTCTACATCAGTAATAAATAACACGTGCAGACGGTCTCATGCCAGCGTAACAAAGTGTAATTGGTATATAGTCGCGTCATTGTCGATCAGCTGTTCAACTCGCGCAAGTTTTGACTTGTCTACTCAAATGGCAGTTAAATTACGAAGTGCGGAGGGTGCTATAACAAATAATAGAAGACTCTAGTCCTTTAATGCATGATATTTTTATATTATATTTTGAAGCATCCATAGTCTTTCCTTAATTACCCGCGATGAAAGTCACATGAAGGAAAAGAAGATTTATGAGTGGATACTGTGTCAAAAAAATGTCTGACCCGAAACACTACTCGATATCTCAGGGTAATTTCATATCCACTGAGCCAGACACAAGTGGTTTTGACCTGTCCTCTGGTGGAAAATGGATTTATCCAGAAAACTATCCCAGGAGGGACTATCAATTCAATATTGTACAGACTGCCTTGTACAACAACACCTTAGTATGCTTGCCAACAGGTATGAATAATTTAAACAATAAATTTAAAGAGAGCAAAGAACATTCAAAGTGCATCTTTTTAAGGTTTGGGAAAGACATTCATTGCTGCAGTAGTAATGTACAACTTCTGGAGGTGGTACCCCCAAGGCAGAGTTGTTTTCTTGGCTCCTACAAAGCCACTTGTTGCTCAACAAATCAATGCATGCCATGAGATTATGGGTATCCCAAGTAATGAAACTATTGAACTTACGGGTAGGTTTAATATTACGATATAGTGTTTTACATCATAATAATGTGAATAAAATTTATAGGTGCGATAAATCAAACTAAGCGAGCAGTTGCATGGTCTCAAAAAAGAGTCATATTTGCCACTCCACAGACATTCCAAAAAGATCTTCAGAATGACTATATTCCATATAATTTAATCAAATGTATTGTTATTGATGAAGCTCACAAAGCTTTGGGGAAGCATTCTTATTGTGAGGTATATATTTTCGATTTTCTCATTACTTAGTATGTATTATTTAAATTCTATAACATGTAATAAAATTTGAATTTTTTTTATAGATTGTTCGTATGCTATATGAAAAAAATAAATTTTTTCGAATTTTGGCTTTGTCAGCAACACCAGGGAGTAAAATTGATCATGTTCGAGAAGTAAGTTCTAAAGATTTTTGTTTAATATCTGTGTATGTCATGATAATTATTTTAGGTCATTCAAAATCTACTTATTTCTGAGCTGGAACTCAGAGATGACACATCACCAGATATTACACCCTACACCAATGACAGATCAATGGAAAAAATTATTGTTGCTTTAGATCAAGATCTAAATGATTACAAAGATAGATACATTAATATCATGGATCCTCATGTTAGGATACTTATAAAAAGCCACATTCTACAAGGCAGTGCAGCTAATATCTCTAAAGGGAGAGTGAGTAAAAAGCTTCAAAAATTTTATTGAATATATAATCAGTGATTTGTATTTTATTTTAGATATTTCTGTTAATGAAGCAGTATGAGAGCAGACCTAATAAAGCACAAAATCATGGGACAATTATGAAAACTTTAAATATTTTATTGACAATGTATCATGCTTATGAATTATTATTGAAGCATGGGTTGCGAGCATTCTATCATTTTTATTTAAGTATGAAAAAATTTAATTTTTATATATAAAATACCTTGATTATTGGTTTGATTTGTGATTATGTTTCAGATCATTCTGATAAGTTTTGGCTTAATGCAGAAGTAGAGCTAAAATTGATGTTGGAGGACATAAAAGTACATATTGGAGATTTTCCTGTGATACAGCCTTCAGATGATGGAAATATTCCTGATGTAAAGATTTCTTAAACATTCACAACATAATTTTAAGCTTTATTATGATTTGTTGCATATTTATTTACAGATACCTGACAATATTGTTTTTGGCCACAGTAAATTTAAAAAACTTCAAGAACTATTAGTTAATCATTTCAAATCATTTTCTTTACAAAACAAGAGTACAAGAGCAATTGTTTTTGTCGAGGTATATTAGTTACTCAATACTGTTAATTTAGAAATGTACATAATTTTAAAAGTTTATATTTTTCATTGTAGTACAGAGATATCGTTAATGAAGTATACGTTTTGTTATTACAAACAAGACCACTTATTCGACCACAGATGTTCGTTGGTCAAGCTGGACAAAAACAAAAACAGCAACTTGCAGCATTAGAGGATTTTAGAAACAATAAAGTAAATGTATTAATTTCAACTTCTGTTGGTAAGAGTGAGATAGTTTAAAAAAATAATAAATTACCTTCAAAATAAATACTCTAGATTTTTAATTATTCTAAATTGCTAGGTGAAGAAGGCCTAGACGTTGGAGAAGTAGATTTAATAGTTTGTTTTGATATTTCAACTAGTACTCCTACTAGGCTTGTTCAAAGAATGGGTAGAACAGGAAGAAAAAGAAGTGGACGTGTAGTACTTTTACTGACTGAGGGAAAAGAAGTGCTGGTAAATTATTTAAATTATTAAAAATATGTTTGTATTTATGAGTTTCAATTAATAATTTTATTTTTCCAGACATTGAACCAAGCAATGTCAAAAAAAAACTCTTTAAATAACAAAGTATTACAGTCTAGCAACATAGCATCTTCATTAAATCAGTCAAGTCCACGTATGGTTCCTCAGAACATTACTCCAGAATGTCTTCCAATGTTCATCAAAGCTTTGCCAAAAACTCCAAAAGTCAGAGGCAGAAGAGCACTTGCTCAGAAAGTAGCAAAACCTGCAGCTGAAAAGAAACCTAGAAAAAAGAAAAAGGATGCCATTGAGGAAGATGACAACAACTTGATTGAGCACTCTACATCAAAATCTCCATGCAAACCTTCACAGTCTAAATCTCCTACAAAAAAAACTACTACTAACCAAAAGTTTATGGGTAATAATCAGGTAAAGATAAATGATGTATTACAAAAATATATTTTTTAATTGTAAATGATCCATTTACGTGAGAATTCCTGTGTATTGAAAACAAATTTTATCACACAAAAAAATAAGAAGATTTTGAATTTATTCATTAAAAAATTCTTTTAATCAATGAAAAACGTCATTTTCTTATCATTTATTTTTATATAAAAAAGTTATTTACATAATCACATTAGAGTATTTGAAAATTTGAATCCAACAAAAAATTTAAAAAAAAACGTTCTATTTCAGTCATCCATGGTAAAATTTTTAACGGACCAGCGCCAACCAAAGAAGTCACTATATCCTCAAGAAACTGATTCAGGTTTCGCTGAAGACTTTCAATTGCCGGAAGATCGCTACAATCCATACTCTTACATTCATCCATACGAAGTAAAACTTTTAACGTCCGATCATCACGCTCTCGAGTTTTTAACGTTATGCGCAATGAAAAAATCAGAAGAATCGTCATCGATGAACACTTTAGAATTAGACCTGAACTGGATACCTCCAAGATCACCAGTAACAAAAGATATGTTTCGTGATTTGACAATCCCATCGATGGAAAGTCTCGAGTGTATCAGCAATTTGAAGTTAAATGAGATACCTAGTATTGAAAGCGATGGTGACAGTTTATTTCCAGATAGTTTACAAATACGTCGACAATGTAGTTACGATTCGAATGTTTACAATGATTTTACACAAAAAGACGAAAATATGGACGGTAATTACTTCGATAAATTTGAGGATGTTAAACCTAAGTACGTTATAGGTGAAGGTTCAATGGCAGTGCAGAAGAAAAGTGTGAAAGAAAACATCGAGATCGCCGCTGCAGATTTCTTCTGCACATTCGATGAAAGTAAACGTAACTCTATTGTCTTAAGCAAGCAGCCGTTACAGAAGAATTTTGATGAAATGGAGATCTCAGCTGCAGACTTTTCCTCCACTTTTTTCGACAACAAACCCGTAAATAGTACAATTAAGCGAGACGACGACCCAAAAAGAGATTCGCAATCTTTGTCTAACATTACTCCAGCGAATGTGGAAGTGGACTTTGAAAATCTACTCGACGAGTACACCGAATCTGAAACATCTGAAAATCCAGCTCTACTTACCGAAGGTGAAAACATCTTTGACGATCTTCTGGAAGATGACTCTACTGATGAAGATTTGTTTGCCGAACAGAACGTTACAGTGGTACCTAACCTCAACGAAACTGTTCGAGCAAAGAGAAGTGCAAGTGTGAGTCCAAAGAGAGAATCCCCGTCAAAAAAGCAAAAGATCAGTCGCGTAGATTCAGATTCTTTAGATAATGAGTCGACAATAATGGCTACTTCACCGAAACCAAGTAAGTCAGTGCTTAGCGATAAAATAGTCAGTTCAGTGAAAGAAGAAGAGATAGATTCAGAGGAGGATATTTTCGACGGTTTGGATTTTGATGAAACGCAATTTACTGGTGAGAAAATGGCGAATGATACGTTTCGGAAAGAAATGAGCATCAGTCCTGTATTCTCTAGAGAAGATAAAAATAAGAGTTTAGTTTTTCAAGATACGCAGTTAAAAAAAGATATGAGCAAAAGTCCCATATCTACGGATCACGAGAAAAATGCGCTATTAGATGGAGAAAATGAAGACTTCGAGAGTAGAATGATTGTCAGTCTCGTATGTTCGATAGAAGATAAAAACAAAAGTTTAAGTAAAAGTTTTGCGTTGGCGAGAGAAAATGAGAATAAAAGTTTAGTTTTTGAAAACATCGAGCAGGAGGTGCAAAGAAGCGCAAGTCCAGTGTTCTCGAAACAAATAATAAGTAAAAGTCAGGAAGCGAAAAAAGAGATACTTGCTATACAACTGAATGACGACGATTGGTTTGACGATGATTTTGATTTTATACCGGTTGAAAAGAAGGTCAGTAATTTTTTTCCACCCAAAACTTCCTCTTCTAGTGGCTGGATTAACGCACGACAAAGTCAACAAAGTCAGCAGAAGAGAAAAGATTTAAGTGTAAAGAGTTGGTGTACAAATAGTAAAAAGACTGATAATTCTAAGATGTTAACAGAAATAGAAAGGTCGGCACTCCAGTTTTCAAGTCTTAAACCAACGACGAATAAAGATAAAGATGTTTTTGCTATGCCTGTCGCGCTAAAACTTGATAAAAAAAATCAAATACCTGTCTGGAAGCAACGTTTGAACACCATAAAGAACAACGGTAGCATTAGTCCCGGCCTTCGGAAGTATCGTTCAGAAAGCGACTTGTGCAGTAGTGTTGAAAAGGCTCGAAAGAAAGTAAAGAAACGACGCAGACCGAGAGCAAGAAAACGATTGGCCAGTCGCTTTATTGACCAAGAGGCTGAAGTGTCAAGCGATTATAATACTTCGGAAGGTAGTTCAGGTGATGAAAAACTTGATGACGATCTAGACAGTTTCGTCAGTTATACCCAGGATGTATCGGACGCCACTGACATGAAAGCACATTACTTGCAGACCATCAATAAAAGTCCCATCCGAGCTGGTGCTTTTATGATTAAAGAAATTAGGAGAAAAATTCCGGATACAGAAATTTTCTCTCAACCTGTCGCGAGAGAAGAAATAGAGGAGAGTTATCTTTATGTAAGTATACATTATACAAGCTTGATTCTCTTTAACAATTACACTAAATTTAATTTTAAACATTATTTATACAGGATTCCTTTTGCGTCGGCGACGAGACACAGGTGAATGGTAACGAAAACGAATTAGAAGAGTCAATACTTGAAAAAATGGAATCGAATTTAGAAAGCAGACGACGAAATATAAGAAAGAAAAAAGAAAAAGCACGCTTGAAATTCAATTGCCTGAAAAAAAAGAAAGTTTCGAGTAGCAGGGCAAACGACAGCAGCAGCGAAGATGAAGCAGAAATTTTGAGGAGACAAATAATGGAGGAGTCTATAATGTTGAAACAATAGTTAATTTTCAAAGTACTAATTTAATACGACATCGTTAAATCTGCTATGAATGTATATACGTTTTTTTGTAAATTTAAGATTTGTATATAGTTGGTTATATTGTAAATTTTGTAACGTATATGTTAAATTAAGTTATTATGAAAGTGAACATATATTGTTTTATGTGTATATTAACTTTGCAATACTGCAGGAGCTGTGATTCATTATTAAAATAAATGCAAAAGTAATACTAAATTTCAATACAATTTAATAACGAAAAATTAATTTTCTACGTTCTAAATTATTTGTTATTGCGTTTGTTATGCATTGTACACAATATTTAGAATTTATATAATTTTTATATAACTGACATAATATTTTTGCTAACTATGAGGAAGAAAAAATACGATTTATTTATCAAACAGGATAGTTATTTATATATATTTAATGCATCATAAATTTTAGGCCTAATTCTACATAATTATTAGAAATAGTTTTTTGACAATTACTTGCAAATTTTTTACGTAAAGTCAATTTAAATTCAGCGAGTCATTTATTAAGCTAAGAAAATTTATTGCACTCATATATGTTTTGACAGGGTCTCAAAATATTAATTGTCATCAATCAGTATTTATTTCGATGAATCATTAGCACGACTATCATCGAAAACACGAGGAAGAAGCCATTTTGATGCTGCCAGCTGAGTCGCCAAACTGACGGGGGTGGAAACATGAGTTTCCTGACTAGCGGGCTGTCGAGTTTCCTTGCCGGTCGGTTGTAAGCCAGTGGTATCCCGCCGAGTTTTCCCGAAGCGAAGCGCGTGGCTCTACTATTTTTCAAGTGTCTTTCCTTTAACATCGATGTTCTTTTATAATTGTTGTAGATTCAGTTCTTGAAATCGGTGGTAAGTTGATTTTTTATTGTTAAATCGGCTCATTCAGTCAGATATTTTCGAAAGTAAGGCTTATTTTGACGATTTGTTCGGTAAATTTCCCGTAAAATCTAGTATTTACATCAGTGGCTCCCACTATTGGTGACATGGGACGACAAGACGAGACTGAGAGGGGAATTTTGAAATAGACGCAATTGCTAGTGATGGAGAAACAGTCGTTAATTTTCCAATGCTATTAATATTATTTGATCGTATATTATACAAAAAATAATTTTCTTTCGTTTGTAACAGATGGAACCAGTGACACGTTATGGCTTAGACCAAGAAAGAAGAGCGATATTAGACTATTTAACCGCAGATGCGTGTGTTTTCGAAGAAAAATTCAAAACGCTCAAAGTAAGAGCGACAAAGTGCGCTGAAGAATCCAGAAACATACGATCAAAAGCCGTGAGGATACTTTATCAAAAAAATCACGATGTACAAGTACACGAGCAGCTATCGAAACAGTTCACTGAAAGCATCGCTAAAGCACCGAGCGAGACAGAAGAGATATCTTTGGCATACAACGACAGATCGAAATTCTTGTTTCACATTCGGAAATACGCCGAATCCGTTAAAGACATCGAACGTGCTTTACAAATAACGCAAATAGATAGTTTAAAAGTCGAATTGTATTGTCGTAAAATCGAGTGCTTCGTAGCGTTGGGTATAAGCGTCGACAAGAGTACTTACCTGAAAACCAAAATGTACCTTAGTAAAATTGACAGCTCGGACGAGAATCAACATAAATTAAAAAAATTGATGAAAAGAGCGAAGCAAACGATGGATCAAGGCCAAAAAGACCCGCAAACGAAAGATCCGAGAGAGCTGATATGCACATCGTCTTCGGCAGCAAGACTGACTCACAGTCAAAGATACGGAAGACACTTGGTGGCGACACGCGACGTCAAGCCTGGAGAAATCGTTTGTGCAGAGAGATTTTACGCCGTGACGCGCAATCCAAGTGAACAGTACACTTATTGCAGTCAGTGTTTGAATGTATCGTTGACTTTAGTTCCGTGCAGTCAGTGCGACTTGAACATGTATTGCTCGGAAAGCTGTAAAGCTAAATCTTGGGCTAGGTATCACGATGTCGAATGCGCTCTCGTTACGCCTATTATGCAAATTTGTCCAGATTTCGATTTTTCTTGTCGACTAGCTTTGAAGTTCTTTATTATGGCGCTTAAAGAAGCTGGTTCCTTGAAGAATTTGAGAGCAGAATTGACGGAAATTGAAGCTTGCAAAGGTATGTCGAATAAAAAATCAAACCTGTTTTCGCCGTCGCTAACATGTCATTGTAATTTATTTGTCTTTTAGACCCATGTTCGAGAGGAATGATCAACGGCAAATTTCGTAGTAATACATTCAAAAGTGTATTTAGTTTATCTCATCCATTCCGATGTGAAAAATTGAAGTACCTAACCGAAAAGTGCGTCGTTTCCTTGATCGCTATTGCTAAGTATTCCAAGTTATTAGGACAAACTTTCAAATTCATTGATAACAGAAAGATGGCTACAAGTAGGGATGCAGTTTTTCTTGGTGGGATGCTTTTGAAATTTTCACTTATAGCCTATTCAAACTCCATTGATGTAAGAAGAATAACTATGAACAATTTAGAGCCGTAAAAATGCTTCAATTAATATCAATCGTAAACTTGAAAATTCTATTTTTTTCACAGTACTTAGAAAATTATACCGATGTGATAGTACAGAATGGCCAAATTCATCTGAAAAGAATGATATCTGCTTCAAGAGGACAAGCATTAGCTCCAGTAACGAGTCTTATAAATCATAGTTGTAATCCAAATGTTAATAAGTTGTACACGGACGACGGTAAAGTTATATATTATTGTATATTACCAATAACAAAGGATTCTCAGGTATACATATATCATCCTATTATAGAATGCAACGATTTCATTTTTACGAGTTAATTTGAACATGAATTTTTGCATTATAGATTTTTGATTCCTACTGTCCGCCATTTTATTCCACATGGTCAAAAGATGATAGGCAAAAATATCTCGAGGATTTTTATCAATTTAAATGTAAATGTGAGGCATGTCGTAAAGATTGGACGTCAGCTCCACGTCACAACGATGACAGAACGGAACACTTAGTAAATTGATTGTTACTTTCATCAAAACGCCTAAAATATATTTAATAATAAATGAACTTATTTTGCAGGAATTACTACCACAGCACATCACCTCTAAAGATTCTGAAACGAAATCAATTTTCAAAAAAATATCCAATTATATTAAGATAATAGTGAAATCTGGAGATATGAAAACAAAATTAGAAACTTTTAGTTCGATAGGTGATGACATTGAGACTCTTTTAAAAAATGTGGATTTTCCATCGCCTCAAGTGATAGTGTTTTTTTACTTGTTACGATTGGCATACGACAAGACTTATGGTTGTAGAAAAGCCGTAATACCTTTTGGAAATTGCAGAAAAACGTGAATGCCAATTAAGAATTAAGAACTGTTGTAAAAACCATTGTGCTAAAGTATTTTTACGTATTTTTTAAGGAACCAAAACTTCCTTTGTAGATAAATAATATATAGTATACAGTATATACAATAATAAATAATATACAGTAATTACGCATGAATTTTCTAATTACTTTGTTATTATATTTATTAATAAGTCAACCACATTGAACATTTCCTTTCCATATTCTTCTATTGTACGTGGAACACATCGAGATGTAATTTTATTATTAATACATTGACAAATATATTCTATACATCGAGGCGTTAGACTAAAATATTTGTTTTTATCTGCTCTAATTTTCGAAGACTTGACGTCCATTCAATCATTTGCTTTTTTCACTCATAGGATATTTGTTTAACTGTTCTATAAATAAATTAATTGCAGCCGACCGTTGCGAATTTGAACGAATGACCGTCTCCTTGCGAGCAAAGAGGCGAGAGAACATTATCTTAGAGGAAGAGGGTAACCGAGTCCAAGGGGAAGAGACGAGCTCGTGGTCCTGAATCTAACAATTCGGGAAGAATTTACACGTGTCCACACTGTGAGTTATAAAAGTGTTCTTTTAGTTGGAATTGGGTACGCGTGAGCTCCAAAGAACTGCGCCCCGGGGCAGAATCGAGGACTACTATCGCAGTGATAGAAAGGTGGAGTATCGAAGGATCAGAGAAATGCAACGGTTGAAAGGGCGATAACTGTCAATACCGGTGAACAGTGTTTCAGTAGATATGTAAATGGGAGGCAACGACCATTTTCCTTTCTGCCGATTCAAATGGCGCACCCAGCCGACAGCGATAACCGTCGAGTTTTGGTCTTTTGTCAGCGAGTCTTCGGCTTGCGTAAATCTATATGTTCGCATGCGTTATAGCTCCGCGAATACGATTTCTCTCTCTCGCGACCATTTGATATTTGTATAAAATTGAGTAAACTCTCAGCCGTCACCGTTGTATAAACTGTTTTGAGAAAATATCTTTGTATTAAACGATAACAAGTCGCGCACGTGATTTAACCTGCCTCACATTGCGTATTATGTGTATAAATATGTATATATATATATATATATATATATATATATATATATAAATTGTGTGAGTGTATGTGTATATACATACATATATATATATGTATATACACACACACACACACACACACACACACATATGTATGTATGTATGTATATTCATATAAAAAAACAATCATATAATACAAATAATTTAAACAATCCGCTTAGGGCAAAGGAGAGAGTTAATAGTGTAATTAATTTAATCCGCTTCTCCTAAGCTGCCCTAAGCTCCCTAAGCGGCTCGAGAAGGAGACAACACCACACCGGCGGGAATATATAAGGAGTGACGGTCCTCACGGCAGCCAGTAGGGAGGACGCCGTCGAGCTGGCAGCAGTTCCCTGCTTATATCCCTTATATCCCTGCATAGATATATATATGTATATATATAAAAATAGTCAAACATTTAACATATATTTGATGATTTTATATAATTGATGTTATTTAGTCACACAGCGTTCCATGCATAGTAAGAATTCACGTAAACTTGAAGTAATTTTGTAAAAAAAATTTTATTTGGCAAGCATTAATCGGAACACTTGTATATATATGTCAAGTTCCATACATGTATAAGTTGTCAATTTTTTTTTCCATGCTCATCTCGGAACCGAAGATGTTATCACCAATGAATAGCCATTGTATCACTTTTAATAATTATTAAAATTTATAATTATTTATAATTATTTATTTTATCAGCTGTCATTGTGAATAGATTTTAATACGGTAAACATTGAAAACCCAATCTTTAACATCTTTAAAAACATATCTTTATTAGAAACCGTCCGAAGTAAAAAAAATTCAAAATTTTATATGTATACCTTGGTATATGTTTCCATAGATAAAACAAACATTCCATGTCCACCAGTTATGGTGCAAGGCTTAACACTACGGTTCATTATTAACAGCAGCGATGTGCACGAGCATTTTGGGGCGTTGTACCAGTTACATCTATAACTGAAAACATGATTATTATAGCCATGTCGTTATATTGAATGATATGAATGTGCTTTACCATTCATCAAACACTGATGAGCTGGAATCTATCACCTTCTGGCCTTGTTTAAAAATGACGTAAAAATGAACAAAAAACATGATCATCGCCATTACGTAGCGTAAAAAGTAAAGAGGACTATTCAAAGCAATGTAGTGCTGAAAAATAAAAATTTACTAAGGGTTTCAATTGAAATCAGCATGTCTGTGGTACTTATGGTACCTACTTCCAAAAGGGTTATTCCAACCATACAAGTGTTGAATATTAAGACGATGAACCAGACAAGATGGTATACTTCTTCAAGCAACGCAATCAGACTGTGAACATATTTGAAGTTGAATAAGTGAAAAGTCTTAGTCGGTCTACCTCAAGAGCGAAGGACTTACTGTAAAACTTCGTTGTGCATATCAATTGCTGACTTCAAAAGGGCGTTGGCTTCGTTGACCGCTCTAATAGATTGGTTAAACTTTTTATCTCTGCTCAGAATATCCGACGCTTTACGCAAACGCATTCTGGAATGACATACGAATATTAATCATCCGTGCGGTAAAAAAACTAGTATATTTGCTAGAGCTCACCTCACAATTTCGAATAAAGTACATACGTGGCAAACTCCCATTATAAACGCCAAATCAACAGCCAAATCATTCATCACACAGGCAGCAAGATACATGAACATGTGTACTAGTATGACGTAGAAATTCTGCTCTTTGTTCAAAAACACATATTCGACAAGGAGGGGCAGCTCCGTCTCCGACCTGTTCTTGCCGATCAAATAATTGTAAAACATTTTGGTGAGTGGCAAAATGAAGAAAACTGCACCCGCGCTGGCTATGACTACTGCACGATCACAATATACGTCTGTTTGATAAATCATTCGAGGAATTTTATGGAAGGATCGTTCTATTTACCCATATAAGTGAATGAAAATTTAAATCCTGCGTCGGAGAACTTCCGGAGGACAATAACTTCGTTTTCATCTTTAATGGAGTCGATGTGCTTAGCCACTAGTTCGTATATTGTGCGCCTCTAATTGTGCACAGAGCAATCGCAATTTATCCGACAGTTAGATCAAACGTATTTAGTAAAGGCTTTCATTTAATTTACTTGTTTTTCGTAAAATAGAGGCATCACCAACTTCGTCAAGATCCCAACTGTCAGCAGCACCGCGTCGCTATTTTCGATAACGACGGCCAGATCATTGCCAATTCCTTTTACTAATCTTATGCACTGAAAGCGTTGCATTGTAATTGGTATGGTTTAGTCGTAGACAAAAAACGCTCAACAGATATTAGAATATCGCTTAATGGAACGTTACCACTACTATCAACATCGTGACGAGAATGAAGAACAAGCAGCTACGATGAACGCGTTGATCGAATCTCCGCTGAAACGGCCAAGAACCTACCAATTTTTCGAAAACAGCCACGAACCGCCAAGCTCGATGTCGGAAAACTACCATTGTTACTGCTGCAAGACTCAGGAGCAAGCTTACGAATTTTTCGGGGCGATACGCATTTCTCTTCGGATATCACTGCAAACATCTGTTTCGGTTTTTTGTTATAGTTTCACATATTCTATCAGCAATTGCGCCATAATGGACTAAGTTTCAACAGCCACGCGTATACTTATTATATATGCAAATAAAAGGATACGAGAAGTTAAAGGCAATGTGGGTGATACGAAATTCTCTCTAACCATCACTTCAACTATCTACTTCTATTCAATTTCTTGTACTAGTTTCAGTAGTTTTTGTGTTTTTTCAGTAATTGCGCCATAATGAACTAAGTTTTGACGACCACGAGAAATTGAAGTCATTGTGGAGTAGTTGATGAAAATAACGTCTGAAGTTTCCGTAAGAAAACAAAATCAATTACAGGGAGGATAGGTAAGTCAATGTTGACATTTGGAAATCTTTCTCGTCGGAATATTTCGAGTAAAATAATATGCTACAACTTTTTTGACAAAAAATCGAGATATAATATTACGCAGATTATAGGTACGTAAATGACAAGCCGGGTCATACTGTTCATTTTATTATTTTTTTATTTCATGCAGGTATATTTGCCATTTTTGTTGTTGTTTTACATAAGGTCGAGTGACATCATTAATAATCCTTTGTTTATAATCTCTACATTATTCTCGGTTATTTAGCCAGAATGAACGTTTTTTTTTCATTCAGTTTCTCACCAATAAATTCCTGCTCGTTTCAACACCAACGCAGCGATTTAATGGGGTTTACAAATGGGTTTAAGTTTATTTTTTCTTATCTAATTATGTTCAGAAAAAATGAATGATTAAGCTACACAATCTTTCGCGCTCTTTGTCGAGAAATCACGTACACAATTCAAAACACATCATCGTCACCCTCATTCACTCTCGCTATCACCTACGCCATTTTTTTAATCTCTATTGATGTGCGTTAAATATATAGAACGATATGTATAAGAGATAACGAGCAATATATTTTAGCGCAAATCCAAAGTCCCGAAAAATATTGTACATCGCTTGAATCGCGATTGTGACGCGTCGAGCGTGTATTATTCTTAATTTTAGCCATTCTTCTTCTTCATTTGATCTTCCTTCGCAAGAGACCACGACAGTGAAGTTTTTTCTTTACCGTGAAATTACAATTCATCGTCAACGAATCTCGGAAAGAAAAGCGAACGATTTTCACCATGTAAAGTTTTTACTGTCTACGAAAAAACCCTGTGAGCGTCTGAAGCTGTTAATCTGACAGCCATAGTACGATATGTCGACGTCTCCAACTACTCCGGACACTTTTTGTAATTTCCCAATGACGTGTAGGCCTGAACTCCAAATTTAGAGGATTTTTCAAAGGGACAAACAAGAAAAGAAGGGGGAGGTGGGACAGCGCCCGAAATCTCGCTTGCTGGGGCAGTTTTGACTTTTGGCGGACTTATCACGTGACGCACGTTAAAATATTCGGGCAAAAAGAAGACGACGCCTCTAAAACATACGGCCGGTGACACTTCAATCTCGTACGATAATCGAATATCGACATGCAATTTTACACGCGAGAAGTTTCGCGCGGAAAAACCTGGTTTCCGCGGGTCATCGGAAGGCCAGGGCCTTCCCTTAATTCGATTCGGCAGAAACTTGTTTTCCTGTTAACTCTCGAGCTCGACAATCATACAGGAAGATTACCCTGTTACGAAGTGGGACAGGGACTGGTTATTGTCTATGTATAATACACATTTACGCTTTTTCAGCTACGTTGCACCTTTGGAAAAGCCGAAAGCACGTCGAAGAGAACGAACGCGGTTGTATTTGTAACACGTAAACGAGAACGATCAGGCGCAACCGCAGCTTCAAAGATAGAACGGGCTTATTATAATTTATCCTTCGCGTCCGTTCGCAGCGAACCGTAGTATTATTGTATCATCTTTGGTCGAAGGAGCAATGGCGCTCCCTCAGTTTTCTCCCCGTCGGTCGAATAAATTGCTTCTTTTGGTCGAGTATTTTTCGTTTCACCTCTCGATAAAGAAAAGGAAAAATGAACGACGGAAGATTTCAGTCAGCCTGGCCCCCGCATCAATTATTATACATGTAAACGTGTGTGACAACGGCAGCTGTCTCGCGCTCGAGTAGCGAAGATCAGCGTGTGGTCGGCCGAGCGAGGAGACACGATCGTCGGAAAGCCGCAGTCGTCGTGGCATACGAACAATCTACGAAAAGACGACGTTCCTGGTCGAAGAGCTCAGTTTTCCATTAACTTGTTTATGTTGAAAAATTGGAAAGTTTAGATTTGATTTTCCTTCTAGCGTAAAATTCTATTATAAGAAAGGTGGCAGCGGGATGCGTTGCCGTGCGCGAAGAGAGATAAAAGTAGAAATGTTTTGTTTGAATTTGCGAGTAGTAACAGTGTACCTTGTGCGAAGTAACTTTATTCTCGTTGGTAAATCTGTAAAGAGGGTGCATGTAAAAGTCATTTAAAAAGTCGTGGATGAGAAGTGTGCGATAATCTCGATCGTGTTTTAATTCCTATTATTGGCTTCGAATATGGCAATCGAAAGAATTGTAAGGGACATTCAACGTCCTAAGTTCATTGTACTCTCTTGCGAATCTTCGTTTCATTAATCATAAAAACCGGTCCTCTTTCACTAACATACCCGTGTTGCAGCGTTGATTTAGAAGTAAAGTTTTCCCGTATCGATCGACCGACATGAATTTCATTATTAGTCGATTCCCCATTGGACATCGCTGCGGTACGCCTCCTTGGTTTATTGAAAAGTTACAAAAATATAGCTGGCCAAATTAGATTTAACAGTGAACGTATCGAACGCAAGTACAAAAATAGACGTGAAATAATCGCAGTAATAATAACTTTATCACTGGTCGAAAAATTGAACGTAATCATATCCTCGTATCGCGTAGCATCCGATTACATATTTACAAGCGCATCGTAATTTCAACCAAAGGGTAAATCGGTGGAAAGAAGTCTGCGACAAAGGTAGAAGAAAAGCCAACGGAAAGAGAAGCTCAGTCTGGTGCAGCTCCCGCGCGAACGATTGGCAGTTTAGCTGAGAGCCGAGCTGACGGCATTGAGCTTCTCGGTGAACTGCTGCACCCACCACTTGGTGAGGTTCAGGTAGAAGTCCGAGCCCTCGGGCTCGTAATCGAGGTACGTGAACTCCTTGTTGCTCGCCGGCTTGGCGGGCTCGATCTGCGTGCCCTCGTGCCACTCGTTGAACGACGTGATGGATATGACGCTGGCGCCGCTGTTGAGCGCGCTCCGCCAGGCGACCTCGTAGTACTGGCCGTGGCGCCGGTGCCGCGTGTTCTCCGCGTTCCACGGCCGTACCTGCGGGGTCGAGAGTCCGGTCAATCGCCGAATAATCGTCGCAAGGGAGACGGGCGTGTCACGACCGACCTGCGTGTCGATGTAACCCGGGCCGATGCTCGGGATGAAGATCAGTCCGTTCTGGTTGGCGAACTTGCCGAGGTCCTTCCAGTTCTTCCACGAGCTGCCGTAGCTGAACCCATTGATGCCGAAGTAGGTGTAGAAGCCGTCGAAATGCGATTTCTTGATGTGGTTCTTGTGCTGCGAGTCGACGAGCAGGCCGATGTAGATGGCGTCGAGCTCGGTGCCGCGGAGCGTGAGGTTGCCGCGCTCGGAGAGCAGCTCCCACCAGGCGCTCGAGGGAAACACGTACGAGTCGTAGATGTAGATGACCGGCAACACGGCGCCGCTGCAACAGCAACAGAGCGCGGGGGTCAGGCCGGGCGTGCGACCGGCGGCGCTCGCACGCGCGCGCACTCACTCGTCCTCCCTGCGCATCCGGCAGAGCGCCGGGTGCGAGCCGTAGCGCTCGAGCACGTATCGGATGTGCTCCATCAGGTTGATGGGGTTGCGCCCGGCGTAGGGCTCGATGTGGGGCGCCACCCGGAGCTGGTGCCTGTGCGCTGCGTCCAGCAGGTCCGGCATCAGCGAGTCGGTCTTGTCGCTGGCGCTGGGCGGCGTCCACGAGACCACGGCCACGCCTGCGGCCAAGTGAGCCCCCCGTCATGGTTAGCCACGCTGCCCTGAGTCGCCCAAGGGCGGCGCTCCACTTACCGATGCCGGCATCCCGCAGCTGGCGCATGTGTAGGTCGATCACCTGCGGGTCGCGCGAGCTGTAGCAGCCCAGATTCGGGTAGTAGTTGGCCCCGATGTCGGCCGGCGGCGAGTGCGCGCCCTCGGGGAACACCCGCTTGTCGTTCTTCTTCCAGCTGGGCAGGATCGCGTGGTTCCAGTGCTGCCAGGCGCCGTCGTAGTCGAGCGAGCGGTACCAGGCGTAGTAGAAGATGTGCACGTTCGGGTTCGCCTCCACCGGCGCGCTGCCGTTCAGCAGCGGCAGCACCCTGTTCCTCATCCGCCGTGACATCCTCGCCACCTTGCTCTGCACCATCCGCTCGCGCATCTCGCGGTAGCGCCTCTCGTTGCCCTCGCGACGGCCCTCGCTGTGGACAATTCGTGCGCGCATGCGAGACAGGCACGCCGAGAGCGGGCGCGCTGCTCCGCTTGTCGTTCGAGCGGGTCGCCGACGACGCTCGAGACGCGCCGCGTCGTCCCGTCGGCGTCCCCTCGAACGACAAACGACGGCAAACGGAGGGAAAAGCCGGATATCGGACAGGGAGTGCTGGACGTGGATGTCTGGCCGCGCGCCCTGTTGGCGCGAAGGCTAGGTAAACATCTCGTGCCTCATCGCCGCGTCAAAGGGAGAAGATGGGGGGGGGGGCGAGGGGGAGCGAACTCACTGCGAGGTTTGCGTGGCCGAGGCGGCGACGGCGGCTGCAGCGGTGCTGGTGCTGCTGCTGGTTGTCGTCGAGGAATCGATAGGCTGATTGGCCAGCGTGCTCCACTCGACGGCCGCGGTCACCGTCTGCAGCTGACACTTGACCGCCTCGAGCGGCGACAGCTTGACGATTATCACCGCCGCCATGAGGGTCGACAACACTAGCACTGCCGCCGACAAGTAGAAACACTTACGCAGCGACACCGCCGTTATCAAGTTGCCAAAGTACATCTTGACGCGACGCGCGCACTTTCGCCGCCAAATTGTTAATCGCCGACTTTTCACTTGGACGCTCGGCTGCTGCTCTCTCTCTCTCTCTCTCTCTCTCTCTCTCTCCCCCTCTTTCTGACGACGTTTATGTCCGCATCTCGACAACCTCGACGCAGGCAGGCGAAACGCAAAAGATACGTCAAGCTCCCCCGGGGGCAGCGACCCACTTTGGCAGCGCCACCAGACAAGCAAGGCGTTCGCGTTTACATGGGCGAGCGCGCAGCGGAGGTGGCGGATTCGCTCTCGCGCAAGCGCGTCACGACGCTCTAACTCGCGCTAAACCAGCTGCGGTGGAGGGGTTGTTTCCAGTGATACATATCCCTACCAGGCGACTATTTTTACGCTTTTGTTGTCGCCGGCGCCGTGTCGTTTCGGATTCAGGTTGGAAACACCGATGCATTACTTTCGGAATAGTCGAGCTTCAAGTCAGGGCTCTACGCATTAAGGATATTTTATTTGCTTAGTAATTTCCAAATTATAAACAATCGTTTGTTATTGCTGAAATGGATAATTCAATATTTGTCTACTTTGACTAAGAGATGAATGATTTATCCAACAAAGATTTAGTTTACAACAACATTTTTTTCAATATTATATCACGTAAGCTTCTAAGCTCTAATTGTATCAAGCATCAATGTCGCAGTGACCAATAGTAATCCGACAATAAATAGGTGAGAACAGTACGAAAAAATTAAACGAATAAATTCACCGGATGTACTAAAAAATAATATTGACTAATAATCACGGCATTATTACTCAATATTAATAATTCAATAGTAAAAACTCACCCCGTAATTTAAATTTGAATCTATTACGCGGGCTCGGATTTACATATACGCATGCGCATCTTATGCCAACAAAGTTTATCAACATCCGCATAACATCAACAATAATGCGTGATGATAAATTTCGCCTCTCGTCTCATGCACGTCCTTAATTTGTCTTGCTAATTAATTTATTTATTCGAACTTAAAAATAACGCAATTGACGACGACTATAAAAATTGAATATACCGGAAAAAAGACTGGTGGCGCGCGCAGAGTGAAGCGTTGCATGCCGGGAGGAACGTTGATAGCTGTGGGCTGGTCGCCATCTTGCCAGTGGCATGGCCTCCTCGCTGCTCCATCGCAGCAGATCGCGTGTGCTGTGAAATCAATCGTCCGACTACATCTATTTTCTTCAGTTGGTTCTTCATCACAACGCCAAAATAATAGGCATCCGCTTCAAGTTCTCTGTGAAAAGCTAGTCCTCGCGATGATGAGTTACCTCGGCGAGGAAACGATTTATTAACAAAAATAAAAACACAAGTGGTGTATGCCTCATCTCTGTACGTGTAAGTGTGTTGTGTGAGTTGTGTCGTCGACGTCCTGATGCCCGTCGTAGCCGCTGCCATTCACCATGGATGCCGTCAAAGCCTTCAACTCCGAGGTGATTTTTTTCTCATACCGATCATTAATTTTCAGCAGCTTTTTCTGTCTACCCACGGTTCCATCTTTCTAAATATTTGATGCTGGTGTTCGTGTCGTGCTTGGTCGTCCGACGAATGAATCACTAGCCGACTCTGTATTACACGTTCGCGATTATTGAAACTCGTAAAAATTGTTCGCGTGATTTCGGTATGACTATAAATTAATGGATTAATCTAATGTTAATGATTTTTATTTTTTAGCTATCGAGCCTCTACGATGTCAAACCGCCAATCTCAAAGGCCAAGATGAACTCCCTTACTCGGGGCGCCATCAAGGCCATCAAATTCTACAAACACGTTGTGCAGAGTGTGGAAAAATTCATTCAAAAAGTTAGTACCTTTCTTGGAACATGTAAAGTACATTAACATTAATGGTGTAAACAAGACTATTACATAATGGCAAATATGCTCATAGCGATGGCTCTTTTGTTAAAATCATTGACGTTATAGACCATCGTTTATCGAATGAATACTAATGAATTAATTTTAATTTTCAGTGCAAGCCAGAGTACAAAGTTCCAGGTTTGTACGTCATAGACTCAATTGTGAGACAGTCAAGGCATCAATTTGGTACAGAGAAAGATGTATTTGCTCCAAGATTTGCCAAAAACATGCAAACCACATTCTTAAACTTGCTGAAATGTCCACCTGAAGACAAAAGCAAAGTCATACGAGTGCTTAATCTCTGGCAAAAAAATGCCGTTTTTCCTCCTGAGGTTATCCAACCTCTGTTCGATTTAGTTGATCCTAATCATCCTATACATAAAGAACAGACAAATGGTTTGTTAATTATGGTTTTACTTACAGATATTTGATAAATAGTTTTACAGCGTAAATGATTTTAATTGTAGGAGTTTTAAATTCAGGTAATAATATAAGTGCAGCCAAGGCTTCACCACCAACTGCCAAAAGTACACCAAAGGACCAAAAGCTGTTCACTACAGCTAAACCCATTGACCCAGCATGGCTTGCACAAACCAAGATGGAAACTGCTAATATAGTCAATGCCAACAAATTACTGGTAAGCAACCGCACATGGTGTTGTGACCTTGCACATATCAACTAAATCAACTGTTAGTTTCTCGATCGATTGCAGCATTTACAGCAGTTACTGCTAAAAAAACAGGAAGCTGCAAATGAAGCATCACAAAGTTCGGTTAAGTTTGATAAGAAACTTCTTGATTTTGATTATGGCGAGGAGGAAGATGATGATGTTCAGGTTGCCACTTCACCAAAGATGAGTCAAGCAGCCATATCACAGCACAATGCCAATGCCATAGCCACTGCAACCAATAATCTTGAGAGCCTTGGTCTTTTACTTGCTAATCCTGAGGTACTCCAAGTAAATAAAACATTGTATTCTACAATTATGGTCACTGTGATAGAATGACTTACATGTTGATTATGATCAAAATATGCGGTTGTCAATTTTATTCTTTATGTATTTGAAAGTTACATGACACGCTACAATAATCAATATTTTAAGTCAACTTTCTACAGTTACAAATAACAATGACTTGACTGTATACTTATGAATCTTTCTTATTACCAGGTCTTGAGGCAGTTGCAAACACTTCAACAAACAATGCAACAGAATAGCACAAACACAGCTCAGCACGAAATGGAAGAAAAGATGCGCAAAATGCAGCAGATGAAACAACAGGAAGAAGAATTTGATAAACATTTAGCTCAAACTGTACAAGTAAGTCAATACTTTTAATTTTTCATAATCACTATAAAATCACAACTAAATACAAAATTTCCAATTATTGCAGAATCTACCATTCGCCGCAGAATGTGAATTAAAGCCAAGCGACATCATGAAAACGGCACCACCACCTCCTCCACCTCCACCACCGATACCTGTTGGTTTTGCTCCAGTGGTAATGAACCCAGCGTTATTACAAATGCATCCTGATATGAGTCAGCCACCACCTGGTTACCATCCACCGGCAATGCCATTTGTCTCGCAGCCACCACCGTTAATGAGGCAACCATCTATTGCCCCTATGAACGTGCCACCTCAACAGAGCCCACACCCCGAAGAAAAGTAAATTAATTTTCTGTTTCGATAATGACGCTATTTAAAGGATCCTGATAATAATTAATTTTGCTCTTTATAGTAACGTGAATCGAAGAGAAAGCAGTGTAGAAATCGTAAACTGTGAACAATCGCGTTCGCAAAGTAGATCACCTGATAGATTTAGACGGCGTAGCAGATCAAGATCGCCACGGATACGAGGCAGGGAACGTGAAAGAAAGTCAAGGTCCAGAACAAGATCAAGATCTAGGTCTAGACGTCGCAGGTAACAATCAAATTGATTTTTAGTGCAAGTTTAATCTAGTCGTTTACATAATTAATTGATATTCGGCTTGAACCAACTTGCGAGAGTAAATTTGAACTTTTGAGCCTTGCTGTGAATACAACTTCTATGGCATGGTCAAGCAAGTTTAAAACAGTGATTGATTTAAATGATTGATAGCAAGTACATATTGACGAGATGTTGGGATGTTTGTAGATCACGTTCAAGAGAGAGGATGAATGAAAGGCAGAAACGAGACGATAGCAGAGACAGATTTAGAAACGAAGAAGATAGGGAAAAAGAACGTGAAAGACGTAAACGCGGTCTTCCACCATTAGTCAAAGAGAAAATGAGCGGTAAGTTATTTTGCAAACATATTTGTATAAATCTTCATTGTGTTTCTTGAATTTGTTTTGATGAAAGATTTAACTATTTTATAGTGTGCAGCACAACGTTATGGGTAGGCCATCTATCGAAGTTAGTTCACCAAGAAGAATTATCGGATACATTTGGAGAATTGGGTGATATTGTGAGCATCGATCTAATTTCACCACGCGGCTGCGCCTTTATTTGCATGAACAGGCGTCAAGATGCTTACAGAGCTCTGACCAAATTAAAAAATCACAAGTTGCAAGGAAAAGCAATAACTGTAAGTGTTTTTTACGATCGATTATAATTACAATAAAGAGCGCATTTAATTAACAACTCGGTTTACAGTTGGCATGGGCACCCGGAAAAGGTGTGAAAGGCAAAGAATGGAAAGACTATTGGGAAGTCGAACTAGGTGTTAGTTACATCCCTTGGAGTAAGCTAAACAATGTTACAGACCAAGATCTTGATTTACTTGAGGAAGGTGGAATGATTGACGAGGAATCAATGCCACCAAAACTCAAAGGACGAAGGAAAAACACTTCGCCCTCAATGTCAGATTCAACGCAGTCGACTCTCATTCAAGGTTCGTCGATACCTACGGTGACGGATGGTGTCGTACAATCGTCACCAGTGAGTAGTACTCCAATTGTTGACACCAGTCAACCACCACCGCTCAGACCACAAGCTCCACCACCACTCTTACCCCCGCCTAATCAACTCCAAATGATGCCGCCTGGATTTAGCATGCCACGTAAGTCATCAACAGACATTAAAATAATTGTTCTATGATAATAATTTTTTCATAAAATGATAAAATTTCACCGACTACTCAAATAGCAGGAATGCTTGGTCCAATGGGTCTTCAAATGCCAGGTCTGATGCCAAATGTGCCTATCGGTGTACCTCCGCCAAATATGCAAGGCTTGATGCCGCCAGGTATGATGCAGCAACTCATGCAATCAGGAGTCAATCCTCCATTTGGTGCTGGTGTTGGCGTTGGGTTACTCACGCAGATTCCTATGCCTGCACCTGCTGCTCCTTCTGATAAACCCAATGCTACTGGTAAGATTTTTTATTTACTCGAAAATGCGTTTGTAAATTAATTTAATCTTTTGTGAAAATATAACTGCATAAGACTTGAATCAACTTGCCATATCAAAATTAGAATTTTTTAGTTGCACGAGTAGATTCGGTTGTCACTGTAGTCAAGCAAAGTTAAGACAATCGTTCGACAAATTTATTAACGCACATTAATTTTGCAGGTATGCCACACAATGTACCACCATTGGGCGTCCCACCACCAACATCCGAACCCGGAATGCCAAATCTGCCAATGATGCGTCAGCCTTTCGGGGTACCTCCGATGCCAATGCCACCACAACAACCACCTCTTCCTCAACAACAGCATCCAGATGACATGGACGTAGAGATGGAAGACGTGATGTCAATGCCAATGAAAGACCACGGTAGCAGTAACAATAATAACAAACCCAGTCTTAGTGATCAGTTGCTTGCTGCGATGAAAGACACTAGAAATGACAACGATCGAGACTTCAGAGATCGTGAGAGAGATCGAGATAGGAGAGAGAGAGACCGCGATAGGAATGACAGAAGTGACAGCAATGATAGAGGACGAGATCGTGGACGTGGAAGAGATCGAGGTGGTCGTGACCGCGGTAGAAGAGACAGCAGAGATAACAGAGATAGGGATGATCGACGGGGTGACCGCGATCGCGATATGGATAGAATTGGGTAAATTCTAAAAAATTACTCTCTGGTCTTGTTTTTTTGCATCTTTCTATGCAATTAATAAAGTTATATGTTACGCGATACTAATTATTTTGAAATTTTAGCCACAGAAGTCCGATCCGCCAAGACGAACAAAAGAAAGACAGTGGACCGAAGCAAAGTCTCGCAGATCGCTTACGTCAACTCGCCGATGGCACATTACCTTTGATGGATGAGCGCATTGACAGAGATATGCGTGGTAGTGGTGGTCCAGGACCCGGAGCAGGACCAAGTAATAGAAGTGATCGTAGTGTAGACCGTGAAAGAAATTTCTCAGATGAATCGAGACAACCGCCACCGCCGCCGCCGCCGCCACCGCAGCAACAGCAACCACCAAGTTTGTTGGGTGCTGGAAGACGACCTGGTGATGGTCCACCGTCATTGCTCGATCTACCTGCTCCGAAATTCCCTCCCGGTGCACCTGACTTTCCACGAGACTTTGGTAGGGAAGGAAGAGATCTACGTGATTTTCCACAGAGAGGCCCTAGCGGTGAGTTTGGTTTGAATTCTTTTGCTCAAAAATGTAATCTCAAAGTTGTAACACGTCTTTCGTGTTTATTAATAGAAATTTTTAAGTTCGCTTCTAATAGTTTCCTTTGTTGACAAAGATTTTCAGCATCTATTATCTGCATAATCACAATCGTAATTGATACGGTTATATTTTCAGGTCCTCTTGGCGACCGTGATGGGCCGCGGGGTTTCGGTCCGCGCGGGTCAGGCCCAATGGGTCCTGGAGGTCGTGGTCCAATGGACGACTTTCCAGAGCCACCGCGTAGTCTAATGGATCGTAGATTTGGCCCAATTGACGACTTTGAGGCTGCACCGCGAATGGGTGCAGACTTCGACATGCGAGATCGTGATTTTGAAAATCGAGGTCCACCTCGAGGTCTTGATGATTTCGATCGTCGAGGTCCACCATTTGATTTCGATATGAGGCCACCACGTGGCAGTGATGACCCTCGGTTTGATTTACCCAGAGGAATGCCCGACGACTTTGACATTCGGGATCATCCGGATTTTGATCCCAGGAGGCGAGATTTCTTCATGGAAGCCAAATTCGGACACCCCGGAATGATGGGTCCTAGAGGCTTGAGGGGACCACCTTTGATGGGACCTGACGGTTTTTCACGTGGTGCTCGTGGACTTGGTGAGTGATTATAAGCTTTTACATGACCTGTGCCACTAAATAGTTTTTTTTTTCGTCCCAATCAAAGTTCAACTAACAAATGATAAATCGTTCATTTTATAGCATTACATTCAAATATTTATTCGTATCTATAGGAACTTTAACTATTTTTGAAGTAATTAATAAGTTGACTGTACAAATATCATTGAAGCGACATTTCACTCGAAATATTAACTATTATCTGATGTAAAAATTGAAAATAAAAGTTACTAGTATCGGTTATTGCAATACATATTATATTATTTATTATTAATTCATTATTAAATGGTTTAAATTTTTAATGAGTTAAGAGCAGCCCACGAAGAAACCTAAAACTAAATCATATCACATCAACATTTTGTAAATTATTAGCTCATTGAGAAAATGCCATCAGCTATTCGATAACAAACCGATGTCTTTCCCCGATTTAAAAAAATAGCAGGCCCACCAATGTTCCATGGGCCTCGAGGAATGGGTCCACGTGGCATGCGTGGAGGAATGAGACCGCCATTTAATTCGCGAGGAAGCGGCGCTGGTGGTGGGCCGCCCTTCGATTTCGATGGTCCACGTGACGCAGACTTTTTCAACCGACCTGGCGGTCCACCGTTTGACGAAGGTCGTCCTGGTAGAGGACCGATACCACCATTCGGTGGTCCAGGTGGACCTATGCCACCACCGCTGTTGAACGATGGACTTGCTGGTCCGTGGGGCAATGGACCACCACCACCACAAAGGCCAGATGGTGATATCAATGCACCACCCCCTGCTGGTGGAGATGATAAAACGGACAAGAGATCTGGAAGCTCCGACAGGGAAAGGCGACGAGAGAATAGAAAATCTAGGTGCGTATATATTGCTAAAGTCCTATCAATGATCGATTATTTTCAATTTGTACTATCAATCCGCAGAGTTTGTTTTTTCCCCTAACCAACCTTTTCATAAACAATCGATGATGAAAAAAGATCGTTTTTATTCGCCGCAGCCTGAAAAAAGTAATCTGACATTTTACGTTTAATTGAAAATGCCTAACATTTATTTTTTGTTTAGATGGGGTAACGTTAGCCCTTCGGCCGAACAACCCGACGAAGGACAACAGCAACATCCATCCCACGAAGGACCTTCGTCGTCTGATAATAATGAAAGTGGAATACCTCCTTTAGGAAGTGGTCCTCGAGGTATAGATGGTCCGCCAACAGAAAATTGGGACGAACCACCACAGGAATCTTGGAATGAGCAGCCACGAGAAACTCGTGCAAAATCAATGGAACAGGTAAATACTTGACACATAATAGCTCTGACATTTATGTAGCTTTTTAAATTATGCATGGTAGTGGTTTGTTATAATATTATATTGATTATTTATAATATATATTTGCATCCCCTTAACATCAAAATGAAGTCATTGTAAAAGATTCAAGATGAAATTCTTTAGTACTTTTATAGAATCGTTTTACATGCCCATTGAGTAAAAGTCCTCGCGTATAAAGTTATTAACTGACATAACTTGTCAAAAAAAAACAATACGACGGAAGGTCGTGGTATACAACATTTTTATTATATTCCTACTAAACCATCCACACTTTAACGTGAAAAAAAACTACAATGAAAAACAATCCCCCACAGTCTCTTGGCGATTTCAAGGCGCAAAAGGAAGAAGGCGCTCGCTACGAGGAAGACCGTCCTCAGCATCAAGAGCACTTTGAGTCTCCTCAATGTCAGGAACACTTTGAACCTCCACATCAGCAGGAGGGACATTTTGAGCCTCCTCATCGACCAGAGGAGCATTTTGAACCTCCTCCACAACAGGAACACTACGAGGAGCTGCCTCGTCAAGAACATTACGAGGAACCACCTCCACAGGAACATTACGAGGAACCACCTCGTCAGGAACATTACGAGGAACCACCTCGTCAGGAGCATTACGAGGAGCCGCCTCCTCAGGAGCATTACGAGGAGCCGCCTCGCCAGGAACATTACGAGGAGCGACCACCTCCACAAGAATTCTATGAGCCACCTCCTGTTCAGGAGCGTTACGAAGAAAGAGCTCCACCTCAGGATGATTTCGATGTGGCTCCTCCCGAAGCACACGAAGTGCAACATCATGTACCGGAACCAGTTCAAGAGACTTCACCACAGCAGGACAGCAAACCTGCAGCAGAAGCGCCCACAGAGGAGTCGTAATTCTAGTGTATCATATACCGGAGACACTTTGTGTGTGTGTGTGTACATAGAGAGACATGTGTCTGTATGAGTGAAGTGAGCCTCGGAGTGGTGATAAGGCTTCTTCTCTTCCTATCGTTTTCTTCTTTTTGTTATTCCATTATTATTATTACTTTCGTCTTCTTTTCTTTGCTTTTAATTTTGCTTTTACACGAAACTCTGATCGCGGCGAGTGTACGGAGCCAAAAGTTAACTCTCATGCGTATATGTATATATATGTTGTACATATATATCTATTTTTACTGATACTCGAGTCCGACGACACTGCTGTGATAGTGAACACAGGACACGAAAAATGGTCCGAAAGAAAAAAAACGCGTGCGTAATTTTTTCTTTTTTTTTAATATAAGCGAGTGACTAGTCGAGTTGTTTCTTTTCGTTGAATACGAGAGGAAAACTTAATTTATTAATAATGTACATAGATTTTTATATGATTACTCTCGGGGATTCTTGCTTAATCAAAAATGAGATAATAAATATTTTGTATATACATTAATTTATCAAATGAAACTTGTTTTCTGGCGTTCTCATTTATCTAAACGATTCGATACATTATCCCACGATATTTTCACTTTAATTTCTTTTTCTGAATGTTAGTTTAATTTAATAATAACAGACCTTTTGGTATACAGTGCTGTAACAAAAGTATTTTAGTTCTTATATAACTTGTTTCTTTTAATTTGGTGTATCTATGGTACAAACAGAAATCTAAATTATTTGATAATTATTGACAAAAACAAAATTAAGAAACTCACTGTAAAAAATAGAGAGAGAAAAAGGTGAGATTGAGAGAGAAATAAAATTCGTCGTACGCATCCTGTGTTCACGCACCGCAACGTTCTCATAATGTGCTCGAGGCGCAACGATGGAGAGGACTCGCGCTTGCGCTCAAACTGAGTGACAAGTGCAAGGTACTGTTTTATACCATTCACATTCAATTACCAATTCCTTGTTTTTTTTCTTATTTTATAACTTAAAAGTTACACGTGAAGGAAGACACGATGTCTCGCACCACTCTGAAACTTAGTCACTATTAACATGGGCAAAGATAAAAAAAAATTATAAAATTGTTCATTCGATGTACCCCATGACGGTGACCTTGTTCTTTACTTTTTTCTTCTTTTTGTAAGAGTAACGCCAATGATGAAAAAATGTAAATTTACAAATGGACTTGAGCTACTGCGTTTTAAAAAAATCTAATCCATCGTGTAGATTCTCATGAATTATAACGAGTTATACACTATAAATGTACGTTGTTTTTTGAAATGAAAGATGAAAGATTGTCGAATTCGAACGTAAAGAAAAAAGGAAAATGTCACGTAGGAAGTTGAACAAATACGTTTGTTTCGCAATAAATAACGACCGCGTACTTTGTGTATATACCGTTATTGAAGACAATTTTTACGTATATAACATTTAACCCAGAGAGTTTTTTTTTGCAATGAGATTGATTAATCTCAAAGTCTGTAATGTAATAAGTAAACATAAAGAGCGTACCTTATGAATTGATGACCTTTTAAATAAATTGATTTTTGTGTTTTTTTTTTTTTTTGCGGAGCTAGTTTTCCTATTGCAAGGAAAACCGAATATTTTCAAACGTGATTTTTTAATAAAATTTTTAGCACTGAATTATCGTAGTTCGTTGATTACTGTTAATTATGACAAGTATATATTTTCAAGAATTGCTTGACATTAACTGTAAATAATACGAGAAAGTATAATTCAATGTTGTGTGCACTTTGAAATTTGCTTCGCTTTAGATACATTCTTCATGTAAAGTCTATAATATGATTACTTAATTATTATGGAAATATAAATTTAAGGCAGTTATTTCACATTAATGTATATGTTAATAAAAAAAAATAATAAATAACAGATTGAAAAAATTCAATTTTTCTCGGTAATTGATTAATCTTAATTTTTTTAAATTAATCATGAAAATTATCTTGACTGAGGACTGTTAGGATTAATGCATGTACCTTATAGTTACATTGTTAAATTCAATAGGGCATTATTAATCGCAGAGTGTTGCGTGGCATCGTGTTCCTCGATGCTATTCATGTCTTCAATTTTTTATAAACTAAAGAGTTTGATGATATTGCAATGTTCATAAATTGTATATCAAACTTTCTAGTTGATAAATTTTTCAATGATATATATCGCTCATGTAAAATTGATAATAAAATTAAGATTATGCAAATTATTTGCATATCAAAATCAAAAAAATTAAATAGTTTAGATTATAAGGAAGAATGGACAGAAGTCTTTGCCGATTGGAAACTGTGTAATATAAACTAAGCACATATTTCACTTATATTATTTTTATTCTTTAAACTACAACTGTATGGTTTTTTTCTACGAGAATCGTACAAATATTGAACAACTTTCGCATTACAACTGCAACATGTAATTCTTGCGATGACTGGAATAAATAATCAATGATTACAAACAATAGATGTTTATATTTGAAGAAGATGATTTTTTTATTGTTTTCACATTCGTGCGTTTAACATCTATTGCAGTATCGCAACATATCGCAACGGTCGTGTAAAAAACTTGTGCGAGTGCGCTTTAACAGACATTGCATTTTGAAGAAAGGAGCGAAGTTATATAGTTGTCGCGCAAGTTGATTGACACAGTAGTGTAGCACGTGATAGAGCTGAGAGCGCGTGTCAAGTTCGCGCGCAAGCGACATGCATAATACACGCGCGCTTACAGAGAGATAGGAGCGCGCGAGCGAAGTTATTCTAGCGCGGCGGCGGCCGCAGCGCTTAAAGTGCAGCTTGATTCCGCCGATAAAATTGAAAAGTCAGCTTTCCATCTGTCTCCGCGCACAAAAGCTGCCGACGCTCCTCCGTGAGCTTTATTGCACGCGCGCTTTTTAATATCGCGCGTGCTTACGCAGTATGTTTGTGCGGAGCCGCGGTCCCATTGTTATTCGGCACGCGAAAGAACACAATTGGAGGGCGCATTCCGCGATATGAAAAGTTTGAATGCTGCCTGATGAATAACTCGCGCGCCGGCAGCGCTAGTGTAGCTTCGACGTCAAACTTTGAAAATCAATTAGTCGCAGCAGAAAGCGAGAGAGAGACCGATAGTGCAAGCTCGCAAGCGGCGGTGTAAAATTACGAGACGACGACGCGACGTCGCGTGCTGTACGTATATATAGCTATTCGACTTTGCAATTGACGCTTCTTATCGTTTCGCCTCGCTCTATTGGTTTTCAATAGGACGACGAGCTTCGGTGATCTCGAACGAACAAACTGTCGAGTCCCGCGGCTTTTTCCCTTTCTCTCTCTCTCTCTCTCTCTCTCTCTCTTTCTCTCTCTCGCGTGTTTTCGCGACAAGTTGCGATAAGAAGCTTTACTCGCGAATTTTGATTGCCTTTGAGAGTAAACAATTGACGTTTTCCCCCACGAGGAAATTAATTACGGCCCGTGCGCGCTACCGACCCCAGATTTTCGCCTCGCCGATAGATTTACCGATGGATTATTGCCTAGTTCTCTTCGTTTCCATCGTGCGCTCGTAACTCACGCGATATTCGTTTTTCAATTGTCGATCGTTTCGCTTCCCAACGAGCAACAACAAAAAACCAAACAAGCAGGCGCATTGCTAGTATAGTGATTAAAAGCTATCGGCACACACACACACACATCTATTGTTGTCAGAGCTCGCCATTATGTCGACGCTTTCGAGCAAAAAGAAAGAAAAAGAAAGACAGAAAGAGGGAAAATTCATTCGCAGTGGGCAAGGATGCGTGGGAGGGGCCACGAGCCGATCTATCAAAATGTTTTTCTCAACGCGGCCGGCGCTCGCGGACTCTCCGCGCGAAATAATATCTCTCTCTCTCCACGAGAATGGGAGAAGGCGAAATTGAGCGAATTAAGAAAGGTGATGCATAATAATCCATCAGCTCGCGGGAGAAAGAGGGAAGCTGTATGCATGCGCGCTCTTGGTCTTCTATCTGTGAAAGAAACATCGGTCAGCATCAGTTGTCGAGCGACTGATCGATGATATCAAGTCACTGGCTCGCGCCTGTGCGCTCCTGCATTTTCTTCGCTGGCTCCCGATCGCGGCGAGCTTGCGGAAGCGCGGCAGCGAGCACGGGTTTCGAAAAGTACGCGTTGCCCCGGCAGCTTTCGTCCCCGAGGGGCCGCTGGTGCGAAAGCGCGAAAGGCCGGCGGAAAGTTTGGCATTTTTCAAAACTCGAGAGACATCTTTCCAAAGCAGCCACGGGCGTCGTTATCTCCGACCTATTCATCGGAATCTTTCAGAAATCGTCGCGCATCTCTCGGCAAGCGTGGCGAGTATTTTCTTTCGCTCGCAGGCATTCGGAATGTTTCATTGGGCCGGATGCGGAGAGTTAATCTGCGCGCCAATGACGAAGGCGCAATCGAAAAATTGATCGAAGGATACAGCCGACGAGGGCTTGAAGTGGCACGGCGCGGGCACAAAAAGAAAAACGAGGCTCGCCTCTACTCCTCGCGATCGCCGCGTAATCGCACTCGCGCGAGATCCATCGGGAGTAGCCTCTCTGATTTATTCATATCCTCGGCCGGAAAAAAGAAAGGCAGCGTCGAGAGGAAAGTTGCCGAATCACCACGGGGCATTAGCGCGCGAGATTGATCGATCGCGCGAAACGCGACGGGCCGCCGCGCTAATTATCCCGCTCGCGTCGAACGTCGTCGAGTCCACCCCGGCGCTGATGATGCCGCGCGAGAGCGAAGAACAATAAGCCGCGTCTGCCCCGAAACAAGCGGCGAAGCTTTCGCGCGCCCGTTGCTTTCCGGCTCGCAGCGAGCCCGGGATATTTTCCGAGCCTCTCTCCCTTGTTATCGTAATCACTGCCGCTGCCGCCACCGCTGCAAGTTCTCCCACCTGAAAATGATCGATATTCCGAGCGTAGAATGCAATTTCTCAACGAATCTTGGCACCATACCTACTCTCTCTCTCTATCTCTTGAGCTTTTTCATTCCTTACTTTTTCATTCTTGCCTTCTTAACTAGTAACTGTGTTGACGCTCGTGCGCCCGCGCGAATAAAATCCAATTTCTCTATTTGACTTTGCGACTATCTCCGCTTCTCTCGCTCTTTTCTTTCGCGGAGCATTTAAATTAACGACTCGCGCGGCCGAGGGCGAGCGTACACACGGCGCTCGACTCTGCTCTCCATTGTTAATGAATGAGACATTCGCGCGCGCGAGTATTGATAAATTCTTTATCCGCGTCTCATTGCCGCGCTTCGAAATTCCACGTTGCTTTTTTCGTTCCCCGCGCCAGATTCGCAAACCAACCCCGCCACGGCGATTTTATTTTCTCATATATTTGGAAGGAAAGCAGCTTTTACAGTTTCACGACTAAAAGTCGCCTGGTGTCTGCGTGATTTTTCCCCGCGCACACGCTGCAAGGATTTATATTGCCAGCCATAAAAAAAAAAAGAAAAAGATAGAAGCCACGCCGCAACCGTGTATACATTTTGTTGATATATATATGTATATATCAAAACACACACACACACACACACACACACACACACACACACACACACACACACACACACACACATATATATATATATATATATATATATATGCGCAAACGTCGAAACGAGTTAACTTATGAGGTGGATCGTAGATAACAAGCACGGATAGACATTATTGTTAGAAAGCGACAATAGAGTTGGCAAAGTTAAAGTAAGTGTCCAAGCGCGGAGGGGATGTCAAACTGAATGTCAGTCCTTTAACGATGGGAATCGCGGATAAAGGGGAGCGCGCGCGCGTGTGTGTGTGCGCGCGCAAAACTACGCCGCAGAGAGGGAGCACCGAGTCGTTATCTCTTGACGGACGTGTATCGCGAAACAAAGTTTATTTCCGAATCACGGCGCAGCTGAAAACGGTTACACGGGAATTAATTCTCGTTTGCGAGCCACTTCTCTCTCACTCTCGACCCCCCCCCCCCACTCACCCCCTTCGCTCGCTCACCGCGCAGCCAAAAACGCCACTGCCGCTGGATACTTGTTATATTGTTGCGCTCCGACGGGATTACAACGATTCTCCTCCGTTCTTTCCTTCCTCTTTTGTCGAGCAAGCCACTGTGCGTGTACCTCGCTTTCAAAGTGATGATGGTAATCCGCAGATTAGTTTAATTACGTTCACCTCTCGCAATACGCACCTTTGGCGACGAATCTCAATGACTTCGGGAGTGATTTAATTGAACGACTCAATTAATAACTACATAAGCAAAGTTTTTTTTATTTGTTTTATTCGTTTTCTTTTCTTAGCCTTCAAATCTCATGCGTACAAATAACATTATATTTACATCATGGAATGATTAACGCAACAGTTTTTTTTTCCTCCACATAAATATTCTTATAATGCTTCTTATGTCTTATTGTAATGTATATTCAAGTCTATTTTTTCTTTGCTCACAGCAATATCGGACATACTTTTATTCTCCTCATACATTTATAACATACATTTGTTCGTATTCGGCAATTGACGACGATTAAGTACCTTTTCAGCTTTTCCTTTTTCGATTAGATTTATGGCAGTATCCGTTCTATTTTATAGCGATCATTGATCGTGTCAATCGAAGGGTAACTTACACGTTCAAGTGTATAATACAAAACAGACCTTTCAACCAAGTATTTTACGTCAAAGATATACATATTTAACATAACGATCAACATGATTATAATCTCAAATGAATAATACGAATTTCCGGGAATCATTACTATTTCAATTTCGCTAAAAGCAGCCAAGTAAACATTTTCGAATCTTCAGCGCGACTATTTTACTTTGGAGCGCAAACGAATCCTCGCAGGCAATATTATTTTATACAAATGTGGGAGTGAATTGCTGATAGTTTTGCTTGTTCGGTGAAGAAGAGAAGAAGCCGGGGAGAAAAAAAGGTACGAGAGCCGTAGTTACATGAAAGCGCGGCGGTGCGCGCGATATTCATATGGATGAGACGGTACGCGAGTGCAGGTTTTATCGGCCATTTGGTGGAAATAGAAAGAGAATGAAAAATGATGCATTCGTGCCTAGAGCACACACGCGCGCGCGCGCCAACCCGTTTCAATCAGCAGTATCGATCTCTCCCGACAAATTTTTTTGCTTTCAAGCATGATGTGTGTGTTTATTTTTCATGTTTACGCTCCACTGGCTGCGCGTATACTTTTTCGTTAAAAGAAAAAATAAAGAAAACTATCTGCCGTCGTCAACCTATTAAAATCCTTGAACATTGCAGCTTTTCGTTTCTCGTCAACTAATACTGGGGGGGGGGGGGGGGGGGGTGAAAAAAAGTTTAAAGTGCACTTGCAAAAGATTTTCAAAGGATTTATCAGAAAGAGATTATTTGTTCCTCTCCATGCGTACGGCATGAAATATGAAAGTATTTCTGAA